GCAAAGCCGTTCTGAAGCTCAACGGTGACCTTGATGCCATGGCCCTCGACTGGAAACCCGAAGAGTGCGAAGCCCAGCGCCGTCTGGTCCAATTCACTCGCCGCCAGGAAGGCAGTACCATCCATGCAGACTTCAAGCCAGTGTCGCCTTCTGAGCGTGCCCCCAATAGCATTTGCATCAGCTGTATCCAGTGGGCTGGCAAGAAGGAGTGCTATGTTACCAGTGTAGATACTATTTATCTGCTGGAGTCTCTCGTTGGTGTCCGTTTCACCGTGGAAGAAAAGAACCGTATTCGCCGCAACCTTGAAGGGTTCCGTCCAATGACTGTATCCAAGGCTAAGCCAGACAGCGAGGATTTCTTCAAGGTGATCATGGGCTTCCCAAACCCCAAGCCTCGCAACATTGAGAAGGACGTCAAGGTTTTCCCCTGGAAGATTCTTACTCATGCCCTCAAGAAGATTATCGGGAAGTATTCTGCCAGCTACTCCTCCACGGCAGCGGCGTTGCCAGCACCGCTTCGGTCAAACTACTCAGGTAGCCCTAACATGTCCAGCGCAAGTCTTGTGGATGTTCGCTCTGGGTCCCCAGCCGGACATCAGCAGTCCGCTGGCGTTACCAACACGCTTCCATCTCACACTGCTCAACTTACCCCATCCAGCTACCTGTCCGTCATGGGCACCAATGCTGGATCTCACCCAAGCTTGACTGCTGCGTACAACTACTCCGGCCTACCTAGCCGACACATCCAGCCGTCTCCGGTCATTGTTCCCAGCCAGGCCTCATTCGACTTTAGTGCATATATTGGTCACAACCAGATGCCAGCGTACCAGAACTCTTAAATTCGGGAAATGAAACTCTCACCTCAGCAATTGAACCCGGTCAACTTTTATTCGTCGACTCCGCTTCTCCCCCTTTCCATTTCAGCTTACTCGTTTCTGCCTGCATAGCGAATTCTGCCTTGATTTTGCTCTTCCGATTACCGTTAATTCGCCTGTTTTGCGTTCCCTGTTCAGCATTTCTCGAGAGTTTGGGTCCCGTCAGTCACTCCTTACATACCCCGATGCCATCAGTTATTGAGAGGTTGCCCTATTTTCTCTCTTTTCTCCGGCAACGGCAAAAGAGAGAACCAAAGCAACTGTCTACGAATTTCCTTCCGTCACTCCTTTACGACCTTTTTCAGAAACAAGCGTGGTGTTGGTTGCATATTGATCATCTTGATTGTTTTTCACCGGAAAAGAAAAAGGACTCCGCTTATTAGCCTGAGTCCTCTAATACTTGTGCCACTAGTACTTTCCTTACTGCGCCATGCGTCGGCGCAAAAAAAAATCCTTCTGGGTTATACCTTTCCTTTACCCCTAATGACGCACTAATCCTAATACTGTCCTTCCCTCAAACCTCACCACAACCACCGCCATCGGTACAGCAATACCTCCTCGCTCCGCTCCGCTCCTCATTTCCCCGCCATCCTCACTCGTCTCACCATCTCCCCGACCTTCCTTGTTCAAATACCACTTGTACAGACGTGCTTGTTTCTGCCCAAGGCCGCATAACCACAGCACACAGCAGCATTTTTATCCGCATTTTTGCATGCATAAAAAAGACTTCGAGTTGGGCTGGTTTCACTCCTTTTAGCATTGATTGTTAATGCGCTTTTTTCTGCCTGCGTTGAATTGTTTTATTCCGCATGGGTTACACTCCTTTTCTATTGTTATAGGTTATAGACAGAGCATTTGCATCGGATATGGGTACGGGACTACAGAACTGCTTTCTGTGATTTTTGCCATTGTTTCCTCGTCTTCCTTCCTGTTATTTGTTCGTGATTTAAAAAAGGGAATTTGCGATTTGTTGTTTTCTTGTCTTGATTTTTGTTTTATCTGAGCTCGCTAGCAGAATTGTAATTTTGGATTTTTTTTTTTTTTCTTGTTTGATCGTTTTAGTTTTAGCTATTTTGGACTCAACCTTGGGAAGTGGAAGGAATAAATATATTGGAGTTTATTCAAAATCTTCAACGTCCTGCTCGATTCAGCGCTGGTTTTGATATCAAACTCCACAACGTCCGTCTATTCTATAAATAAACGCAAGTTGGTCTGGTCTTTGCGTGGGGCGAAATCTTAATTCGGGCTTATCAGAAAATTGAGTCAGCGCAAAGACCAAAACTCCTCCAGGCGACCATTCCCCCTCGATTATTATTCCTCCCTCAAGACAAAGCTCTCACGAATACGCAGCAGACACAGCCTATTGTTCACTGCCCCTTGACCACTTGTCACTCGTATCAAAAGATCCCTGGGTAAGCGATTGCCCCACTGCAGCTCTCAACGCTGGTCTCGCCAGACCATACATATAGCTACCAGCATCTCCCTCAGCTGAGCCGAGCTGTCCCCAGGTATTTTCACCGGCAGTGGCCTCGAACTACACAGCATACACAACACCATTCACAATGGAGCAAATAAAGGAGACATTTCGGCGATGCAAGGAGGAGAAAAGATCTGCTCTCGTGGCGTATGTCACAGCGGGGTACCCTGAGGCCAGCGAGACGGTCGATATCATCCTTGCCATGGAAGATGGAGGTGCAGGTGGGTTCTCCCAGGCTATCCACATGGTATTATGACCGAACCTGGTGTCTAACGAGCGTTTGGTGCAGACATTATCGAACTTGGAGTCCCATTCACAGACCCGATTGCCGATGGTCCTACCATCCAGCGCGCAAACACTCAGGCGCTTAAGAATGGAGTCACCGTTACTTCTGTTCTTGAGATGGTTAGAACTGCTAGGAGGAAGGGACTCAAGGCCCCTGTGATGATGATGGGATACTACAACCCCTTGCTACAGTATGGTGAAGAGAGAATGTTGAAGGATGCCAAAGCCGCAGGAGTCAACGGCTTTATCATGGTTGACTTGCCGCCAGAAGAAGCCGTTCGGTTCAGAGATTTGTGCAAAAAAGAAGGGTGAGTTGATTTCCTCTGATTCAATAATTGGTGATAGATGCTGATGTGGCGTGCTTAAAAAGGCTCTCTTATGTCCCGCTGATTGCGCCGGCTACTTCCGAGGCCCGTATGAAACTTCTCTGCGGAATTGCCGACTCCTTCATCTATGTCGTCTCTAGAATGGGTGTTACTGGTGCTACCGGAACATTGAGCTCTGGATTACCCGAACTTTTGAAGCGAGTGCACACATATTCCGGAAACGTCCCTGCTGCGCTGGGATTCGGCGTTAGCACCAGGGAGCACTTCCTAGAAGTCCAGGGTATCGCTGAGGGTGTTGTTATCGGTAGTCAGATGGTGACTGTCCTAGGCGACGCTGCTCCAGGAGAGCGTGCCCAGAAGATCCGCGAATACTGTTCGAGCATCACAGGTCGAACTGTCCAACGCGGGCCTATCCCCGAGGTAGCCGACGAGCCAGGCCTTGCAGACCAGCTCGAGGCTCTTAACACCACCAAGAACCCTGCAGCTATCCCTGCACAATTCGGCGAATTTGGAGGCCAGTTTGTTCCCGAGTCATTGATGGATTGCCTCGCTGAGCTGGAGGCTGGATTCAACGAGGCCAAGAATGACCCCAAATTCTGGGAAGAGTACCGCTCTTACTACCCATATATGAGCCGTCCAAGTAGTCTTCATCTTGCCGAGCGCCTGACTGAACATGCTGGTGGAGCTAACATCTATCTCAAGCGAGAAGATCTTAACCACACCGGCAGTCACAAAATCAACAACGCCCTAGGCCAAGTCCTTCTTGCCCGTCGCCTTGGAAAGAAGAGAATTATTGCTGAAACTGGTGCCGGTCAGCATGGTGTCGCTACCGCCACTGTCTGCGCCAAATTCGGCATGGAGTGTGTCATTTACATGGGAGCAGAGGATGTTCGTCGCCAAGCTCTGAATGTATTCAGAATAAAACTCCTTGGAGCCTCCGTTATCCCCGTTGAGGCTGGATCACGTACCCTCCGTGATGCGGTCAACGAAGCTTTGCGCGCTTGGGTTGTCCATCTCGACACAACGCACTATGTTATCGGCTCAGCCATCGGAGCTCATCCTTTCCCAACCATCGTCCGAACTTTCCAGTCAGTTATCGGAGAAGAAACCAAAGCCCAGATGAAAGAACTCACTGGCCGCCTGCCAGATGCTGTCGTTGCTTGTGTTGGCGGTGGAAGCAATGCAGTGGGCATGTTCTACCCCTTTTCCAATGATCCCAGCGTCAAACTCCTTGGCGTAGAAGCCGGTGGTGACGGAGTCGACACCGCGCGTCACTCAGCTACCCTTACAGGGGGCTCGAAGGGCGTGCTCCACGGCGTCCGAACATATGTCCTTCAAAACGAACACGGCCAGATCTCAGACACCCACTCCATTTCTGCTGGATTGGATTACCCCGGTGTTGGACCGGAGTTGAGTAACTGGAAGGATTCCGCCAGGGCTAAGTTCATCGCTGCCACTGACGCACAGGCTTTAATTGGATTCAAGACCATTTCGCAGCTGGAGGGTATCATTCCAGCCCTTGAGTCTTCGCATGCTGTTTACGGCGCAATTGAGCTGGCTAAGACAATGAAGAAGGGTGAGAACATCGTGCTCAATTTGAGTGGACGAGGCGACAAGGATGTGCAGAGTGTTGCTGATGCTCTTCCTGAACTTGGACCCAAAATTGGCTGGGATTTGAGATTCTAAAAGGCGGATAGACAAAGGACTTGTGCTTTTATGATCGGTCGGTCAGATGATAGATGCCTTGACTTGGAATCACTTAGACAACAACTATATAATAACTTGGAAAATAAAGCTTTCGGGGAAGTGAATTGGGTATATTAGATGATTTTCGTTTTCTAACAAAAGAGAAAAATGATAGTTAGTCGACAAACAACAGAATTGAAATGATATAAGTTGTGCGCAGTGTAATTAATTGCGACTTGTTAGTTAATCCCGAACGCCAAATTCTTAGATATCCCATCCACACCAGAGCTCAGCTCAGGCTCCCATTCCCATTACCCAGACCCAGACCACCCAATATCCATAAACAGTGCATTACACCTTCGTCTCTTTTGGTTCGATAGGAGACGAATCAAGTTCGACAGGGGATGAAATTGGAGTCGAATCCAGTTCTCGAGCCCGGTTCACAGCAGCGCTTTTATCAATCTTCGCTTCCTTGCTGTCCAGTTCATTCGCTTCCTTACTGTCTAGTTCACCTAAGACAACCGCTGCCTTTGGCCCACGAGGAGCAACACCAGCGGAATCCGGCATTTCTGAAATCCCGCTATCAGATGTATCCGGCTTTCCCCCCTGTGGCTCTGATGCCTTGCGACGCCTAAAGAAGTATGTGGCTCCAAGGAGGATCAATAGAGCAAAGACAGCGCATCCAGCTGTAACTCCGCCGATTTGGGCACCGCTTAGACCTGTGTGGGCTGGTACTGGTACGCTTGAGGAGGTCGCGGAAGACGTGCTTGGTGAACTAGTCCGAGAGGTTGTAAAAGTTGAGGACGTCATAGACATTGATGAAGTACTAGGCATAGATGAAGTGGTGCTTGTACCATTATTCATATCGGCGAATTTGACACAGCAGCTGATATCGTTTGGTCCTGGACATGGCCATGGCTGAGGACAAAGGTCAATTTATGATCCGCAAACAACTCTTGGGCGTTCACCTACTTTACCAGTCCCGGAAAAAAACTTGCCATCCTCACACCCGTTGTTCCTCATGCTTCTGCACACACCGTGACCTTCACGTACATTGCAAATATGGACAAGACAGCACTAGGCAGTCATTTGGTTAGAGTTTAGTGAAGATACTGAGAGTCGAAAGGGTGAGCACCTCAATATTATTTGTTCCGGGGTCGCATATTCCAGCAGTAGACACACCCGGGCCTATTAGTCGTTGGATATTAGAACTGCATTTTCTGGATTTGTTTGTCGATGAAAAACACTCGTACAATTTGCCTTCGGGGTACATTCCCCCACCCCTTCGTTGGTAGTGCATGTATTGTTGTTGTCTTGAGTCGACTGTCGCCATGCCAGGCGAGCGCGAGCCCCTGAGCTGAACAGCGGCATCCTGGCAGCTAATGCGAAGACTTCTTCGGCCTGAATATGGCTCTGCCCAGAGCCCGCGATGGGCGTCGATTCTCCAGGTTATATATACTTTGGCAACAGAAGGGGGAGAAAAGAAGAAGACTCCAAGGTTGAACGACAGGAGTAGATCTCCTATCTTAAGTCTTCTCAATGACGAGGCAGCCATTCGTATTTATGATCACTGCGCTCCGCAACTGGCGGGCACCCTTTCCGTTTTGGTGCGTGGGCTGGCAATCAACAGGTTGTTTCACTGATGCAACACTGGCCCTGGGCCAATAAATCGAGCGTTCAGCCTGGCATGGAGTCCAGTTGATTGGCGTTCGTATTTTAATCTTCGTTTTCCCGCCCTTTGGTGGTCGATCATCGGCTTGCTGAGCCTTGTTGCTGGAATACAACGCCAGAGCCGCAATCTAGCAGCCAAAAAGCCTTTCCGGTGGCCGCGCAGAACATCTCAGAGGAGCGACGCCGCCTCTCTGCCCTGACTTCAGCCCCATATTTCATCGCTTCGCCCTCATGTCTGCTGTTGACGCTGAAAGTTGACGTTGAAGTAAACAACAAAAGCGCGGAAGCATATATATCACGTGATAATGACTAAGCAAACAGAGTTCGGCCTGTGATTGGCGGGAAGGCGGGAGCTGGGAAACGTCCAAAGTTGACGTCGTTTCGACGATGTTGTTGGTGGTGGTAGAGACAACCCGCCTCGTCTCGACTGCTCGAAGCACACACACAACCTGCAACTTGGATATCATCTAGGGCCGTCTCGCTTTCTCACAGCCATGGCTCCAGGCATAGAAGACCGCCGGATGGCTTCCGTCCAGCCTCGGCTGAAGTACAACACCGTTGGTGGTGTCAACGGACCCCTGGTCATCCTCGACAACGTGAGCTCCCAGACACGTCGGCATCCCGATATGCTAGATGGCAGATATACTGATGATCCGGGCTGCGATACTCGTTATAGGTCAAATTCCCCAGATACAATGAGATTGTATCGCTTACGCTGCCCGACGGATCTGAACGGTCTGGTCAGGTGCTGGAAGCTAGAGGTAGGTGCAGCAGATCCTAAGGCGTCTATATAGTTAGAACGTATACTAACATGTTCGTCTACTACCAGGGAACAGAGCTGTCGTCCAGGTCAGCATATCGACTTCAGTCTTGATATATCACGGATGCTAATTTGATGTGGTTTTACAGGTGTTCGAGGGTACCACAGGCGTTGACGTCAAAAAGGTGTGGTGAACAGGCTTATATCCTGTGCAGGACTATGGTTGCTAACTTGATAAATAAAGACCAAAGTCGAGTTCTCCGGTCACAGCATGAAGCTAGGTGTCTCAGAAGACATGTTGGGTCGAGTGTTCGACGGATCCGGCCGTGCTATTGACAAGGGACCCAAGGTTCTCGCTGAGGAATACCTTGACATCAACGGCAGCCCCATCAATCCGTACTCGCGAGTGAGTGTATCCACGATTGTCTTTATGTGTCCACAGATCTTATGCTAAGCCGTTATTACTCTAGGTATATCCCGAAGAAATGATTTCCACCGGTATCTCTGCCATCGATACTATGAACTCTATCGCCCGTGGACAAAAAATCCCGATCTTCTCAGCTTCCGGTCTCCCTCACAATGAAATTGCTGCACAGATTTGTCGTCAGGCTGGCCTGGTAAAGAAGCCAACCAAGGATGTACACGATGGCCACGAGGACAACTTCTCCATCGTATTCGCCGCTATGGGTGTGAACATGGAGACCAGTCGATTCTTCACCCGAGATTTCGAGGAAAACGGCAGTATGGAGCGTGTCACCCTCTTCCTTAACCTTGCCAATGACCCCACGTGAGTTTACTATCCCTTCCAAGACTCCGGATGCTGGGGTGGAGCTAATGAAATGGATGCAGAATCGAGCGTATCATCACACCTCGTCTTGCACTTACCACCGCAGAGTACTACGCTTACCAGCTCGAGAAGCACGTCCTAGTTATCTTGACTGATCTGTCAGCCTACTGTGATGCCCTTCGTGAGGTTTCGGCAGCCAGAGAAGAAGTGCCCGGACGTCGTGGTTACCCCGGTTACATGTACACGGATTTGTCCACAATCTATGAGCGTGCTGGACGAGTTGAGGGACGAAATGGCTCTATCACCCAGATTCCAATTTTAACCATGCCTAACGATGGTATTTTTATTATCCTATCTCTAGTTCGCTCCGTTCTTTCTGCCTGAATATGGCACTAACTTGGAACTTCAGATATCACTCACCCAATCCCTGATTTGACTGGCTATATCACCGAGGGTCAGATTTTCATCGACCGTCAGCTTGACAACAAGGGTATCTACCCACCAATTAACGTTCTTCCATCCCTTTCTCGATTGATGAAGTCTGCCATTGGTGAGGGCCGAACCCGCAAAGACCACGGTGATGTGTCAAACCAGCTGTACGCCAAGTACGCCATTGGCCGTGATGCCGGTAAGCTCCCTTTCATAAATTGAAACTCTGAAGCCGCAGTATCTGACAATGAATGTATAGCCGCCATGAAGGCTGTCGTTGGTGAAGAAGCTCTGTCTTCTGAGGACAAACTATCCCTTGAATTCTTGGACAAGTTTGAGCGCACCTTTATTTCCCAATCTGCATATGAGTCCCGAACTATTGAAGAGTCTTTGGACCTTGCCTGGAACCTTCTCCGGATTTACCCCAAGGACCTCCTCAACCGTATCCCCAAGAAGGTTATTGACGAGTTCTACCAGCGTTCCAGCAAAGGTCGGGCCAGACCAACCAAGGATACCCGAGACACTGCTGAGCCCGCTGCTCGCGCCGATAACAACCTCATAGACGCGTGAAAAGCACAATCTTCATCTAGTTTGTGTATGAATCGAGAGGAAATGGGCTAGATTTTTTTGTTACTAATTTATCATTTTTCTCGGTGTTGTATCTAAGCATTCGATATTTATACGCTCACAGCAGTCATTCTCTATGGCAACAACGTTTCTTGGGATAATCAATTTCTTTCAAATCATTACACCTGAGACGATCTATTGTCTCTTCGATTAGATTAAAACTCATTAGGCGTAGTATATCTATGTCTTCCCCAGAATACCAATAATGTGCATGAACAGTATATTAGGCCTTCAGCAAACTAGAAACTCAACGTAGCAAGCAAGTCGTAGTGAGCCCTGCGAAAACGACTGTTATTAAGCCAAACAGGCCAAAGGAGCCAAATTGCTTCGTCCCTGCTGAACGTTTAACCGAACGTTGCCCTATCATTGACGGTGTGCTGGTAGCAACGTAAGCTTGGACCACACTCCCGGTCCAAGCTGCACCAATTTTCCCATCTGTACTAGTAGGGGATGGCATTTTCCAGTCGGATTCAGACTCATACCAGATTCCATTGACAATAACTCCATCCCCACGAGCCAGCTTCTCCGCCTGCTCTTGTGAACAGGTATCTTTCACCTTCCGAAGATAACAAGTCGGTTTAGCCATCGGAGGGGCTGAATTGGTCGCTGTAGTATTTGCATCACCCTTAGTGTTAAATTTAGATATATCTACCTTCTGGCCAGTGGATAGGTCAACCGATCCCTGGACGATGCGCGAGAAGAGCGTGAAGAGTGTCTCCGGTTGGTAGGCAGATATCAAGTGGCCGGCGTCATATATTCGGGTGAATGATAGATTGCCGAACTGGCGAGTCATACCTCCAACATAGGTATCGTTGATGATGAGGGGCGCATAGCCAGCGGCGTTGAAGCCGCGGAGATACGGAGAAGACGAAGCTGCAATTGAAAATGCGGCTGCCTGGCCACCCATCCAGTTGCATATGTAATCCCTGTCCCCGTATATCAGAGCAATTCGTATTCCTTTACTCAGCAGCTTGGCTAGTTCTGAGATGTAATCTCCCCGGTCATAGTCAGCGGTACCGAGGAAGGCGGTTGAAACAGTTGAGCTATAGTCCGTAATATTCATCTGAGCTCCGATTGATTTCTGCACGTGTTCCTGGTTAAGGTATTCAAGGTATGTATGAGGCGGAAATGGATCAAGGCTGCTCTGTGAGATATCGTGGCTGCTACGTCCGAGTTTCGAGAATAAGTTGGGTGTTTCTGACAAACACGTAGAAAGCGCCTCTAGGCACTTTTGATTCACAGCCTCTACCTTGCCAGTGTTTTCAGGGTCGGAAGCTTTAATTTCTTCTCGGCAACCAATAACTTTATCTCGGCAGCCGCCCGGCTTAGAAAAATTAGTCAAGAAGCCGTCCTTCTCTTCTTGTGTGATAGCACTGATACCATAGCTATTGTTGTATGCAAAAATCGGGAAGTAGGGGTTTTGAACAAGGTCGTCAATACAACCTTGCAATATTCCTATAGATCGAACGTTTATTTCAAGCGTATCCGTAGGAGATAACCTTCCTTCTTTCAGCTTTGCATTTTGATCTTCGAAATAAGACACAAAGTTTGGAGCATATTTGCCTCCATAGCTCTCCGAAAATAGGTGAATATTCGCAGCGCCCCGAGACACTGAGGCGTATTGTGGAAACTCCGCTAGAATAGCTTGCAGAACATGCCAAAGCGCTTTTGCAGCAGTGGAAGTGGTGTTTGTGGTGGCTTGCACGTTATTGGAAGAAGTTGTACCATTAAGCCAGGTGGTTTTAGACTGGTTCGCTGGTGGTTCAGATGGAGGAAACGTATATTTTGAATCAAGTAGATTTAAGGAACCTTCCCGCAACTGGTCAAATGAGAATCCTGACTGCACAGGTTGGTCAATGTAGAGCATGTTACTGCCCCTGTCCCAGCCCCATTCTCTTGCGCGCGTTCCAAGTCTATCCTTTGCGATCTCAATAACTTCGCATGGTCCGGTCTCTTGAAACACGCCAACAAGGCTGGTACTTCCAGGTCCTCCATTCAAGTACACCGTAAGTGGCGCGTTTTGAGGGCTGAGTCTCGATTCCACCAACCAGAAAAAGGTGTTGATGGAGTAGTTTTGCTGAATTGACCCTGTTGTAGATGGGGGGAGACTGACGTAGCCAGTATATTGTCTCTGGTAGCCAAATGCTGTCTCACAAGTCCCTGAGACTGGAGTGGTGTAGTTTATTGACACCCCGTTGGAAATAGTGGCGGAAACCGTGGTTCTTGACGTCCCGCTTGAGAAGCTTGAGGATACTGATCTTGCAGAGGATTGCAGGGCCCAATAAAATATCACTCCGAGAGCAAGATAGTGGTTTAGGAGGTGTCCCTAGTCAATCAGTGTCAGGTATCCGTATTTTGTCGAGAATAAACAGTGAAAATTTCCTCACCATTTGCGCTGGAGCGACCAAAACAAATGACCTACCAAAGAATGCGGCGTTCAGGTTAATGCAGTCGAAGAGAATAAGATTTATTGTAGAGAAACAATGAGATTCTCATGTTTGATGGGCAGGAGGCGCAAACTCTGCAATATAAGCAGGCACATACAAAGCTGTACTCCCTACAATCAAACATGCCCCTCAGTAAGAGCAAACGGAGAGTACGAGTTGCCAACAACAAAGAAGCCGTTTGTAGGGGCTCCTCCGAAATATAGTCACGAGAATGGAACTGAAATCTTTCATAGAAAATTCAGGGTATTAACAGCATGGTTCCTAGCCCCGTCAAGGCTCTAGGAACTCCCTTCCGTTCTCTTCTGGGGTATCATTTATGATAGTTCCACATTTGCAGGGATGCTCTGCATAGCAAAAGCCACCTGAACGGAAGATCTTCCTATGATTCGCATCCGATAAGGTGTGTTGGTCGTTTGACAAACGAAGAAGACATGCAGCAATCCCTTCTTGTCCAACATGTGGCGTTCTAGTCGGCCAATGCATCGTGCTAAGAAACAAAGAAATGCGCCGACCAGATTGTTAGTTTGTAGATTATCGAAACTGACAGGCTGATAGTTGACATCGGTACACTGTACGCTCCGCCGTCTTCGCCCAGCATCCAGTGGGCCATTACTCCTGCGGTCCCAGTCAGAATCTGTCCGCCTCGAGCAGATAATTCAGCATAGACCATCAAATCAGCGAGTCCACGGCTTTCCTCACTGCCAGCGCTGGGATCACTTGCAGTTATGGAGCTTCCAATGTTGAAGGAGTTGAAGTTGAAGTTGAAGTTGAAATTAAAGCGACCCGTGACTTTTGGGCCAAGTTAGTTAGCTCGTTAGGGCTAAATCCCAAACGGGTAATTGTAACTACATCCTCAACATCTTCGCGTTTCTCACCCTGTTAATACTTGACATGAATGCATTTCCCGAGAGATGTTACTACTGATGAATGGTCACCGAATTCCCTAAGGCATACTGCGACGGGAGTTAATTACCTTGGGATTCCTCGGCCTCCACAGAGATCAGCAGAAGAACCACACGTTACAAACATTGTAGCATGACCATTGCTGACGAGGATCAGGATATCTGGGGAAAGGAAGAGCGGATCACAACCCTTCTATGGTGGTTTAGTTTGATACCAGTTCATGTTTGCGTTTTTTCCGTAGTGGCTGGTTCCCCTGTGAGCTGTCCGGCTGGTATTCCGCAATTGCAAGTCGGACCATCTTGAATCCCTACAATAACTGTCAGTTAAAAAGAGTTTGGACATCGCTGGAACGATAAGTTTCTCACATCGAAGCCTGCTTCTAGGCTAATGACACGCTTTGGCACCATGAGATATTGTGGCTTGAGTAGCTTGTGAGTCAGGCCAGCCCATTCCGAGCATCTGCCATCCTGGCTTATGGCTCTCAGGCCATGTATTCCCTTCTGTCCTACTGAGAGAGCAAAGCCCTGTAGGCCTGTCGACTTCGCCGACCCGCCAACAATATCCAAATATTGCCTCTCCCCCCCTCTCGTGTATCCCAGACATATATCAGGGCCTCCCTTAGTAATGAAACGGAGTCCGCCAACAAAAGGAGCTTCGCCAGCCACTACAGTGGTGGCTATAATCTGGTGAATATCATCGGGGATAGCAGTTAGTTGAGTGTAAAATTCCTTGCACCCATCTTGGAAATCCCGGCTCTTCATATCTGGATAATCTGGACATTCACTTTCCATGGGATGGATGACTCCGCGGCCCTCTGTCCATCTAAGCTGGTTCTTTTCGATATTCAAAGGACGCAGAGAGGTATCACCACTCCAACCTAAAGCTGCCAGTTCAGATATAGGTGACCGAATAAGTTTCCAGATACGCTTTCTATTTTTCAATCCTGGCTCGAAACGTGTTAGATCTCTGAATTTGAAGTATAACCATTTCCAGTCAAGCAAGCAGCTAGTCTTGTTAGCTTCGAACGCATAACCAAGCTCGAGATCTGGCTGGAATCGAGACCTCCAAAAGGACTGACCCAGGTTGGAAGGGATAATCCGGGCCCATCCTTTCGAGGCCTGGGACAATGCCAATGCATCAAGTGTGGGTAGCTGAACAATTATGAGCTCTAGGAGTTCAAGGGTGAGACTGGTTAGGCAATTAGGCTCAGCATAGCCACTTATTGGAGCTGTGCTTCGTTCAACCATCCTTCGTTTCTTTCGTTTATCGTTGAGTCGTGCTCTCCGTACGAGTGCTTTTATGCGTTTGTCGTCCTTCAGCGCCCCCCACGGATCCCGGAGGAAGAATGGTTCGGAAATGTCAGGTGTGCAGAATATCCTCGAGCCTTCCACCTTTACAACCCTTTGCTCCCACGGATAGTGCTCCTTGACCCTGCAGGCTCCACCATATTCATGGCCCCAATCAAGGGTGCTCATACCACACCCCAGAATGGGACAGGACCAGAATAAGTCCATCAGGCGTGCTATGGGAACTTCGCCCGGGCTAAAGAACTGTTCGAGAAGGGAATAGCATGAGGCGTGGATAATAAAGCCAGAACGGCAGCGCATTGGAACCCGGATGTGCATATTGAATACTACCTCATCCTCGGGATCAAAACTGGCATCTTCCAGGCCATCCTCTGGATCGTCCCATCGGCCGTCAAAATTGGGCGGCGCTCTATATATGAAGTGTGGAGCATTGTTTCTGCTTACTCCGGACACCTCTGGCTGCAGCTCTCGTGCTGGGTTGACGCACACTCCAGTGTTCAGTCAGTCATTGTGGAATTTCTTCCTCTCAGGATTAGACATATATTAACGCTTACATGCTCGATATTTGCTATCCCAATGTACGTTTTGCTTGAGAAGATTATAGTCGGGGAAAACATCTCTGCCGCACAGGACACACCCATGTAATATCATCTTGCTCTGGATCGTCTTTAGTTGAGTATTTACACAAAGTGAGGACAATGGACTATTATGTGCATCCAAAAGTATTGAAGTTAGCATCATTTTCGCCTGCAAAGCTATAGCTATTTACTCGCTGATAAAGTAGCTACGTCATAGTATTGAAGACCGTTGAGATTTTTTGTAACAAAGTTATAACTATGGCAAAGCTAATAAAACAGGCTTAGCTGAGGCGATGCGAAGATCTAGATGTATACGATTTCCGGGCTCGTAGATGAAATAGTACAGTTCATGTCATTTGTAACATCCTTTAGCTCTTGGTTTTGAGCAGCAATCATTTGAATTATTTTTGAGATGGCATACGACCGAGTAGTAGGCACATTAACTAGTTATCCAGCTACTAGTCCGATAACTAACTAGACGATATCCTTTCATTCAATCATCCGACACCCTAGGGGGCATTCTACCCAGAAATTTCAAATGAATCGGGGAAATTGTCAAAGTCTGCCACTACACTAAAAGGAGTGAGCCCACACAAGTAGTAGGCAGAGCTGAAGTTTTTTCGACAGTAATCTATGTTAGAGGGATCAGTGACAATTTTGGCCTGGATATCGATTCGAATTCCTGCTCTAAAGCTCTAAAAAGTCGCTGTAAGAGCCCTCTAACAGAGGCAGACAACAACTTGAGCTTTTCAATCCTCCGAATTTTCGACGTGATAGATCTTTTTCTTTTCTTCCGAGAGTAATCTCACCCACCACTTTGCTCTCTATCTCAGAAGTCTCAAAAAAGTTCGTGTATTGCTCTGGCTACTTCCTCCAGAGTAGTAGAGTAGCCAAACCGGGACGGTCCAAAGAGCCGGGCCCTTCCCACCACTGGTGTCTCCAAAGTTGTAGATCGGTTTTTTAACTGGCTTTCCCTCGAAAGAGAACTCGACCCTTGACTGTCAGGTACAAACTCATGCGTGACAACAGTAATTGCTTCGACACCGTTTCGAAGACGCAAACGTAGCTCTTTCCCTGGTTTTTGTAGTACCGAATACTACGGCCAGGTAGGAGTTGCTCGAGCGGATTATTCACTGGGGTCGTAGCTTGTCTAAATCTAGGATTTGGAGTAGAGATTTCTGCAACACGCCCAATGCTTGCTTGAAGTAATGGCTCTTTTTGATCTTGATCATGAAAGTGGAAGATTACTTCGCTGCCAAATTGTCCCGGCAGCCGTGCACACTCTGTGAAAGGTCTGAGGCCTGTTGCCCCCTGGCAAGCTGTACAGGCACACATCTCAGGTCTTCCTCGTGACTGGACCAACAGGCCGTTGATATACGAGGGCCGGTGAAGATGTATTTGATGAAGTCCCATGCTGCCAGGAATATGGCGGACATTCCGCCCTGGAAGGGCCAACGTCTCTCGGCCCAACGTATTGTGGACAAAGAAGGCCAGTTGCTGGCCACCGACCCTGAGAATACCCGGTGTCACCGTCATCCGGGCGATTTGAGGGCCATAGCAGACCAAAGGCCTATGTCCAGCCCATATATCAGTATCTCCCATGCGTTTACAGCGGCTGGAAGAAAACCTATTATTCACTACCTGGTTAGTAGGTTCGATAAGGCTTGGACAGCGGTGGTCAACGCGGCGAGATCTTGGTTACCCTCATGGGAGGGCAGAGCAGGGGTAGTGGTGGTTACAGCAGCAGAGAGGCAGGAACACCGATGGGAGGAGGAGCCTTTCACCCCAGGGGCAACATGGTCTCGGAGGGTCGAGTCGAAGGGAAAACCACAGGTCTAGGGACCGGGGAAGCAGAGGCAGCAAGATCCTTGAAACCTTTCTCAATCGCGGTAACAACGGACTTGAAACCAGGGGTCTCGCGATGGTAAACGACGGCAAACCCAGGATAGAGACCAAGCAGCGCAGCAAACGAGCAGAGATGAGAAGCACTGGCAAGATAAATGTGCAGAAGGGCAGGATGGGTTGAAAAGATTTTCTCCCACCATCTTCCTTCCTTCCTTCTCACAACCTCTCATTTCTCACTCCCTTCCACCCATCCTATTCTCAAATATATGCTGCAATGTACAGGGGTGAGTGATAGTGGAATATAGACACCAGTATGTGGTTTTCGTAGCCAGGGAACCTACTTCGCTTGCTGGAGTCTTCTCTATATGTGCTCGGATATTCTCACTGCTTTGCTTGCCCGACTCTCCTATTTGGGCTTGGTGATTTTCCCTGCCGGTTATTCCGTCACGGATGTGATGGATTCTGAGACCAGGAATGTCGTCTAGTTGCTGTTGCTATGGTATAAGCTTGGGTTGCTGTTTGGTGTTCCACCGTAAGGGTATTGATCGGATTAGTAGTCACCTTCCAGTAGACCTGGATGTCTAGTATTTAGGGATTTGATTCAAGCTCGCACGGGAATATTATATCCCTTGTTTATATGGAAGACTGGAGCAAGGATATGAAGTCGTAGTATCAGCTGCTTCCTTTCCAGGTCCAATATCTTCGAGTACCTTGAGATCTTCCCCTTTGATCCCCTGGCTAATTATGGTAACCGGCGGTGGTTTGCCTCTCGATAGCTTATATAGCGCTATTAGGAGAGCGTAGCTTGTCATCCTTCCTGGAATTTGCACACCTTGTCGACCCTTTTTGGCTCAAGATGCGGCAAGTAGTTGAATGCATAAGCTGTTCGGGAGTATAGGGAGAGAAGGCAATGTTGCGTTGATTGCCCAAGTATTCATGGCTCCCGGATTGCCGCTGTGCCACATAACGACTTATCAGTATGTCTTGATGTATATTATTGAATACATGAAACATACCTAATTAGGAGTATTCCGAACTTCATAGACTAATCCAAGCATGGAGAACGAAAGGAATTAGACCGGGTTCCCCTCCAACCGGCAGCGTTCGCCGACCTCCTGACGAGCTCGGCGGGCTGCCGCAGAGGCAAGCCCTGCCGCACGAGCATGAGCGACCGCTCAGCGTGCCGGGGAGCCATCAGCTGTCGGTGCAGCTGCAGAAGCTCCTGGAGGCGCGAGCGAACCAGTGCACCAACCAGTTCGGGCCTCGAAGGCCCAAATCTCCACCCGTATCAGGTGGAGCTGGCGTAACTGAGGGGAGTCAGGCGTCTAATAACTACACCGTTAGTTGAGTCACAACCAATAGAAATTTCAAACTTGATCGAGAGATGAAACCTTTGATCCAATCATGATTTGCTCTTCGATGACGTCCTCCCAATTAAACGTGCGTAGTTCTTTAGATCAGCCTTCGGATACTCAGGGGTTAGCCCTTAGCTCAAGGAAGCGGCTAAACGAGTACTTACTTGCTCACAGAGCTTTCGTGGGCCAGCGCACCGTTGTCACAGAGTCCCGATTGTTACAGGCAAGTCATTTATTCAAAGATCTCCCTCTATGACAAGTTCTTGACAAGCCAGACATCACATGTAGTTGCTGCCTGCTAGCTAAAGAGCTCTCTGCAAGGCTCTTGGGAGATATAACTACTCCAGCGGTTTGCAGAGCGTAAGCAGGAGGTGTCAGTGTACTTATCTCCCAGTACATATGATAGGAAGTTCGGGTATCTTAGACATTTCCTAGGAAGAAGTGGTGATGAAATTTGGTAGGAAAGGAAAGGAATTCAGCGAGAGGAAGACGGATATATATGCTGTTTGGGGGGCTAGAGTGAAGAGCTGAGTCTTCACTGGGCATCAAGGGGGTGTTTGGGGATATTCATCTCCAGCATTCACTACTATCCGCATCTCCAGGTCAGTGAAAGAACCACACTTATGGACAAGCGGTGCGGACAAATACATACGTATCAAAGGAGGATAACTGAAAGGCTTGAAGTGCCCTCCCGGCTAAAGAATACGAATATCAACGCTTTATTGAATGAACCTAGCCTAGCAAACGCCTATTCCATGACAAAGAACACGTAAAACCTGCAGATGAGACAAGAATCAAAAACTCCAGTCCGTATCACAATCACATATCCGTCCCGTCCATCCGCCCATCCGTACATCCATCCATCCATCCATGCCGTTTCACTGATATGGAATCTGTAGGGTAAAGTAGGTTATGCATTCTCAACGCCATCAAGAGTAAAACCACTCCGGAACATGACATGGCAGGCATAACAACGAGTAGCAACAGCGGTACGCAGGGGAGTGGGAATTTCAAATAACTAGTTAATAACAGAGCAATAAAAGGCAAAGTGTAGACCGCTTGCTTAGCATTCAGGTTCAAGTTCGAGTTAGGTAGGGTTCAGGGTTGGTGTAGTAGTTGTATCTTTTGTTCTTTTGTGTTTTGGTAAAGTAAGACCATGCAATGCAATGCAGGGCTAAGGTTTGTGGGAGGGGAATCAATCCTGAGAGATGAAAAAAGGGCAATGATATGATGACTGAAAAAGAAAAGCTGAAAAATGGATGATGCAGTGCAATGCTAGAGGACATAATAAAGGTAGAGAAAATAAAGCAAACAGTAACAGTCGTATCGTGAGAGGAGTAGACGAAGAAGAGAAAGGAAGAGGGGGAGGTCGTCGGTTGTATGGCATTAATCGATTTTGGCATTCGCAAGTTTCATGTTGGATCCTAGACCTGCGAGGTTGTTCGAGAAACGAAGAGGGTTGTTCTTGAACTTGGTGTGTTTCTTCAGCTTCTTGCGAGCAACCATCACCGGAGCAGAGGACTTGGTGACAAGATAGTTCGAGAACGAGCCCAGAAGAACGCTAGCAATATGTTAAGACGTTAGTGAGGCTGTGCGGAAGTAATATACGGGGAAAGAAGGTTAGACGAACCCCTTAAGCGCGCTTCGGCCTCTGGAGCCAAGAATGACAAGAGTCGGCTCGAGAGCATCGATCTAGAGGAGGTTTTATTGGTTAGTGCGAGGTCTTAACTATGTGAGTGTATTTTGCATGGAGCACAAAACTTACCGCCTCTGTGATGAGATGCTTGGGGCTCTTGCAGTGTATCACCTCGACCGCCACACGAACCTGCAGCTTCGTCTTGCGCATCAGACGCACGCATGTCTGTGTGAGGCCGTCGATGGCATGGGCCCGGTCTGCCTCCGCCTTCGATAAGGCTCTTGAATCCACTGAACCGGTTGCGCTCTCTAAGCCCTTTTCTTTATGGTTGTCTTTCTCTTTCTCCCTGTCGCTAGCAGAACCAGGGAGATGAGTGGTTGAGACTTGCGGTGAAGGGAACGATGATGACGGCCGGGTGGGTGCTTTTGCACTGCCTCCGGCCTGTGAATGCATTGTGGTAACCAAGTCCAGAACAGCCTTGTATCCGTCGCTTATTGGCGTTACGGATGGAAGGTCTGTTTCAGACGGTTTGGCAGAGGACGATGAGTTTTCTTCGTCGATGGCGTAGATGGCATACATTGTGTCTCCATCACGCAAGATAGTACCGATAGTCCACTCGAGGGCATAGACTGATTCCTCGCTCAGGTCAGTAGCCACGAGATAGCTACGGGTTCGACGAAGGCCTTGCTCAGCCTCCTCTTGCATCTTGGCAAAATCTCCGCGTACGATAGTGCGAATGACCCTGTTGGGCACCGACTGGTCTGTTGGCGAGAGGTAGACGTTCAGATTCTGGGCCTTTTTGATTTCACTGATCTCGGCCTCATCCTCCATGGGACTACCGTCACGGCCACCTCCATCACCCTCATCGTCTGAGCCAACGGGGGTATTGCCTTGGGAGACGGTGATATCGAAATTAGTGTTTGGATGGACACTGGTCTTGTGTTTCATGGGCTTTTCAGCCGCTGCTGCAACAGCACGGTTGTCAGGCTCAAGCAGAGACCGGACTTTATACGTTGAGGACACGGTTTTGCCTGTATATACTTGTTAGCACAACGTCACTTAAATCAGAGTAGGGAGAGAAAAAAAAAAAAAGAGAGAGAGAGAGAGAGAAAAGAAAAGAAAAGCAAAGAGAATACATACGTTCTTCTTCGGCGGCTGCCAGAAGACTTCTGACCTTTTTGGCTGCTTCTGGGTCATCTAGATCGCGATCAGTTCCCTGGCTGTCGCGTTTCTTTCTCGTCCGGCCACGGCCTCTTCCAACGCCCAATCGCCACAGCTCATCATCCGAGCTTATGTCTTCCTCGTCTTCACTGGTGTGGTCCTCACTAAAGCCGCCGTCAGGGGTATCATAGTAATCTTTAGCAAGCCTAGCATCGGAGTCTGAATGCTCAGCTAGGTCTTCGAGTTCCTTCTTCTCAATGTGAGGCAGATGGGCCAGACTGCCGCTTGACCGCTGCAGCGCCGCATTAGATAGCTTTCGATAAGCATGATCCAAGTTGATAACCCTGCCGGAGTCTGTGACGAAGGTGTTGACGTTCGACTTTGAATTGGCTGCCTGTGGATTTAGACTGTTCAGCGAGCGTGGTGCTGGAGACCGCGAGCGCATGGGAGATGTGGAGCTGTGTGGAAATCCACGAGCATGGCGGCCGATCTGTCTGCCACGCGGGAAGCCAGGTAAAGGCCCAAAGTCGGCCCCGGACATGACGGCGGCCATGGAGTTGGGGTGGTGCTTGTTATTACTGTTATGACTGTTGCCGTTCCCGGTGACACTCTTCTTGCCACCCTGGGTGACTCGCTTTGGCAGCTGGCTCGGTACGCTGGGCAGCATGCCAAACTGGTACGCCTCGACGCCGGTCTTCTTCCCTATCGACGGCAGGCCGCCATAGGATGACTCTGAGGCCCTACGCAGGCCTTCCGGCTCGTGTATGGACGGAGTATGGGCTGAGGAGGTGGGCGAGGACGCCGCGCTGTGAGTCTCCCTCAGCGGCGAGGGTGATATCGGGTCGAGCATGCTCCGGACGCTGGCAGACGACGACTTGACCGACCCTGGCCGTCCCGAGGGAGCAGGCGCAACATCGAGCATGGAGCGGATGGGAGGAGCTTGTACGGTAGCATGGTGGTGGGGACGAGGAGACTGGTTGTGCTGGCTCTGAGGGCTCTGGGGGCTGTTCTGCTGCTGCTGCGTGCGGCCCTGGAGGATCTCGAGGATCTCGCGCCGTTCCTCGTCAAGGGCGGACTCGAGAGACATCTTGGGGACCATGGTGAAGGGAAGAAGAGGAAGAGGAAGAAGAGGAAGCGAGAGAGAGAGAGAGAGAGAGAGAGAGAGCGAGAAAATACGAAAGCGAGCGAGGTAGGCTTGGATCTGCTGGCGGTTCTGGTGGAGCCAGGCAAAACCCGCCCGCGCCCAAAAAGCTCGACGGCGACAGAACGTCAGACGGAGGGAGGACGCTGGCAGCGAGTCGTTCAGGACGGACAGCAAAAAAGGGAGGCAGCGAGAGCGTTCCTGCGATGATTCCCAGAGTCAGGATGCTGGCTCGGTCGTGGCGCCGCAGCCACAGGGAGCGTCGCTAGCGGCAGCGCTGGTGGGACAAGGAATCAAGCTGTGGCAGTCAGTCTCACGGCAACAGGACGACGCAGGACAGCGAAGGGGGGGGGACAGACAGACAGACAGACAGAGAGACGGAGAGTGTGAGAGAGACAGAGAGACGAGCAGGCCGGCTTTCAGGGTCGCGATTCAGAGCGCGGGAGAAGGCGAGGATGTGGCTGAAGCAGCTCGTCCATGCTGTTTATATTAGGGCCTGGGCAAGACGAAGAACAAGGAAAGGCCAAGCAGAAGCGACCAGGAAGCCCCCGGGACGAGATGCGCTTGGTCGTCTCGTCCTGGATAGCCGTTTCGCAGTTGTTGTTGTTGTTGTTGCTGGTGGTGATAGTTGTTGTCGCTGGTGATAGTTGTTGCTGGTGATAGTTGGTGATAGTTGGTGTTGCTGTTGTATTTGGCAGAGGACGAGCCGGCTACAGAGTATTAACACAAAAACGACGACGACGACAAGACAGAGACAGCTGAGGACGAGGAACGCCCGCTTGGCATCACATTCGGGCCTGCAGGGAAGAAGAAGCAGAGAAGAAGAAAAAGCGCATGCATCAAGACCCGCGAGAACTCCCTTGCTCCAACAAGCACCGTCGCAGGCCAACCACGCAGCGCCGAATGGGGAGAACGAAGAGAGACCGACACACTAGATAGCACAGGGAGGGCAGATCAGGCGGTGATCGAGGGGACGGGGAAAAGGAATTATGGGCCCTTCTCTTCACGGCTTTGCCCTCTTGCGTCCATTACTCTTATTCTTAGCATTATTCTCGCGTGGCTGGTGCTGGTTCTGGCCATCGCGGTGGCCCCGGTCCCGGTCCAGCGTCCGGGTTCGCGGCTTGTGGAATGCTTCTTCCGGCGGTTCATCGTCCTCTGCAGCCCGCTTGTGCTTGTGCTTGTGCTTCTTCGGGGCGTACTTGGCCTCCAGGTTGGCCAGGAAGGACTCTCCCCGGCTCTTCTGGCGCTGCTGGATGAGCGCCATCAGCGCATCCTCGCCCCCGTCTCCGCTGCTTTTACCTCCTTTCGTCTTCTTGCTGCTGCCGCTGCCGAACAGCTTCTCTTCGACCCCGAGCTCCCGGGCCATCTCCATGGCCTCGCCGGCTTCCTTCCTGGCAGCCCTACGCCGTGCCCGCTTCGTCTCCGCCGGCTCCTCCGTGAACGCTGGATAGTCCGCGACCTCGCCGGCCTCGATGGCGTCGCGGATGAGGGCGCGGAACCGGTCGTCGTCCTCCAACACGTCGCTGGCCATGACTCGCTCGTAGATCCCGTCCATCTGCCCCTTGCACTCCTCATATACCCGCAGCAGGTCCGCCCTCTCCTCGTCCGAGCCCTTGTACTCCTGCTTGAACTTGTCCAGCAGCGTCCCGTCGATCATGACGCTGAACTGCTCGCGGTAGAAGTCCGTCCAGCTGAAGTCGTCGTCCTCCAGGTCCAGCGACTCTGCCGTGTTGCCCGTCGTGTCGTAGCGTCGACGCCGCCGCTCGTCGGACAGAATCGCATACGCAAAGGCGATTTCCTGGAACTTCCGGTGGGCGGCATCCTTGTCCTCAGCCGAGACCTTGTCTATGTCCTCACATTAGCACTGCTGTTCAGTATCATATCACTGTATGTTCTATCGCTTTGCATCTACCTGGGTGGTGTCTGAGGGCCTTTTTCCTGTAGGCCGACCTTATCTCGTCTGCGCCCGCCTGCTCGGCCACGCCCAACACCTCGTACGGGTTGATGCACGGCGGCTCCTCGCAGTCCACGCCGTCAGAGGACATCGTCGCGCTCTCGATCTGCCGTTTCTTCGTCTCCTTCCAGTCTCTTTTCCTGCGTCCTTTCAGCGGTTTTTGTCTTCTTTTTTCAATTAAATTCGACGTCGCGAAAACTCGCGGGGAGACGCGTTGATTAGTAAGAGATGACTAAGATGTCACATTTGATTAATAATATCTTAGTCACCATGTACAGAAGTTTTGTTAAAAAAGACCAGACGAAGCGACGGCGACCTCAAAAGCTCAACACGCGATGAAACATGCACTGGACAGGATGATTGATGGGATGATACTCCTGCAGCCTACTTAGAATTAAATAACCCCTACAGGTGTGGCTGGTGACTTGTTTTATCCGCAACATCAAACATGTTTATATCAGGGGACATCACATCCGCCCAGCGAGATACATACAAATTATCAGCTCCTGATGCATCAAGTCGGATAGGTTAAGCTGTTTGATCAAGGATCTCGCCCTCTCTTCCCCTGACGATCCATCGACATCCCCCATCGAGATCCTTGCATGATCAACGAGCTTGTCGATAAGTGGGATGAGTAATCTGATAACAAATGCACATTGCACTATCCCCATGTCTGCTCCTCCAGTCAAACTAACCATCTCACCAGATAACCACCATGATAACTCCCTAAAACTGGACCAGGTAAAAGAAAACTCCTTAAAAGTGATGAGAAGAAAAAAGATATCCATATGAGCCTGTCAAGTGGCATAAGATACCATGGACCACATTAGACTTGTGACGGACCACGTAACTGGTGGTTAAGCGGGATTCATTTGTCCTTGGAGCTCAAGGCAGCAGCAAGCACGCCTCTCCACCAGGACTCGTCCTTGGGACCCCAGTGAACGACTTCAGCCAGCTCTTCACGGATGACCTGGCGCTGGATGGGAGACAGGACAACAGGTCCCTCCTTGACGATGGTCTCGGCCAGGGCAACCGCGTCGGCAGAGTCGCGGTCGATGTGGGAGTACTCACTGTTACGCTGGCCGCAGAGGCGGATGGACAGCACCAGCAGGTCGGTTGGCCCGATGTAGGGGAGGCAGTCGATGTCGACGTCTCGGACGATTGTTGCCGCCATGGGCATGTAGGGCAGCTATCACGTACCATATCCCCTTGTTAGTCACCAAATATCTGACGTGAATACACGCGACTAAAGAAGATCGAAGATCGATCACTTACGCGGCAGTTGGTGCTGAAGTCAACCTTGATCTGCTTTCCCCCTGGGTGAGAATAGTACAGACAGCCTTCGTACTCAGTGAACATGGTGTCGAAGGCCTGCAGCAATCTGCGGTGTGCCACCTCCGCGTTGGGGATGGTGATCATGAAGTCAACGTCCTGCTCCTCAGTTAGCTGCCAGACGCGACATATACCCCTTCCTGGCTTTTAGACCTACCTCTGGGTCGTCAGTTGGCTGACGCTCAGCAACATATCTGCAGATAGCAGCGCCTCCGATGATGGCCACTTTGGTATGGGCAAGATCAGGGCATTTCTTGAGGCAGAGGATGACTGCGCGAGCCGTGTCCTCCATCTCAGCGAAGGTGGGAGTGGTGATCATCTTTGCAGCTCTCTCTGGCCTAGTCCTGCCTGTGAAGCTCTGTTAGAGGTGTAGGCAGAAGGATGAAGTTGAAGCAGAGAGAGATGAGGTTGGAGATGGAGATGAAGCTGAAGCTGAAGATAAACAAACTGGTAGGTGAGAGAAGAAAGAAAGAAAACAAAAGAGGGAGAGAGAAAGCAGACGTCTTTCCTTTTATACCCTTCTCGGCGTGGGCAGTGGCAGGGGCCGGCGAGACAGGCATCAACCTGCTAGAACATCCCTCTCAGATAGCAGCACTCATTGATCACAGCAGATTACCTTCTTTCTCTTTCTGCATATATCTACCTCTGTCGAGGCTATGAAGGACCTTAGATTGAGTCAGTCTGCCCTGGCAAAGATGTCAATTTCACCCAAATAGGCACATCATCTGCCTGCTACGCCGCAGGGATGTCGAGGCAGCAGTGGCCGCTTGAGGCCGCATTGAATTTTACTTGCTTGCTCTGCTATACAGTATCAGTCATCTTACTACTTTGGTTGGCCATCCCGATCAACGAAGCCTCAGACATATCAAAATACTTACATGGTTGACCTGTTGTCGACAGCACATTTACATGGTATTCGGAAGTTACCGCAGACTATTATCAAAAATGTATTCAACAGAGAGAGCTTAGTAAACGGAAAGTTCCATATACTGAGCATGATATCGTCTTTAAACATATTATCTGCATCAGCCTTACATGACAGCATAACTACCCGCTCCAGGGTTGTATTAGGCTAGGCCCACCGCATCCCCTGGAAATTGGGGATAACATACATATTTGATGGCATATCTCCATGCTGAACGTTTCCTTCCTCCGCCTCGTTCAAATAATTGGTTTGGAGGGCATTGTTCGAACTAGACAGATCCAAGGTCCATCCGATACCCTGTATGAAGCACGGCACAGTGTATGTACTTGACCTCTTCAACGATCTTCTTCCTCAACTTATCCTCACCCTTCACCATTATGGTTATCCGGGAAGTATGCTGCTCTCGTTCATCCGCTGTATACATCCATCCAAGGGTCATGTATACTGGCCATTGTAGGTTGGAAAAGGACTCCCCACAGCTAATAGAGCCTGATATCAAAGTGAGGCTAAATTAATACCATGTCAGCATAGATTTCTACTCCGTATAACCAATCAATAGCAGACTTACATCCTCCACCTTGCTGTATTGGTCAAGAGGAAACCTCGCTCCCTCAGTTAAGCCGTTCACCAGTGTCAGTTCACCCTCCTCGGAGTCAGATTTCACAACTCACCCAACCATCATGCGGGTCCTTGGGAAACTGGCAATGAGCGAAGAAGTAGAAACTTCTCCAAAGCAGAGCAGCATCAGAAACTACCTCTTCAGAATAGTACTCCTTATATAACACCTCAAGTTTTCTGCATTCCAGTCTAACCTTTCCTTGTAAGTAAGGGATTCACGCGTGGTTGAAGAAATACCTACATTTTCCCCTGGAAGACTCATTGATGCAGTCCCTCAAATATTTCTATCGAGCGTTTCTTTACATCTCTTCCATACTTAGTAATGTTTGTAGTTAAGCCTCGATCGATGGATATATTGTATTATATTCTTGTTAGTACAATCTAATAGAAATTGGCTAGATGATGATGGGCTTTTGTCTTCACCAGGGCTGGTTTTAGCGAGGTATTTCTCTGTACCTGCCTAGGATGCATAAGCACAGCTGCCAAAGATAATATTTAGATTCCAGGCCCAGGTAAAAATTAACATTGCTTCAATAGAGATGTAAATGATGATCCAGTTCTGAGTGGTTTAGAGATAACAGTAGGTAAGACGGTTCAACTATTTGGAGGTCGGGCAGCTAAGGAGCTCCGTATGTGTATATTCATCAAACTCTATAATGGTATCAGGTATAAGGCATGCTATTATCTAAGCTGATTTAGACACTGTACCCAGACAGTGAGAATGGGGCGTTAACCAACGCCAAATATGGGATGACCACATTCCTTATATTTTTCTTTGCTGCTGAGGTTTCTATTTTGTACAAAGCCGGGTATAAGAGCATATCTTAAACAGGATGCAAATGTATATACTGCATACTATCCCGTAAGCTCAATATTTATAACCCCATAAAAGTCCGGATTCTTTGGCCTGGATTCTTTGGTATTGGTATGAGGTCGAATGCTAATATCAGCTTCGCCATGGTATGATGCGCTCAACGGCGTAGCATCACCCTGCCTGGTTCAATAAATCCGAATCATGGCGAGACAAAACAACCGTTCCCTTCCATATCTCCTTTAGAATACTTTATCCAACACATACTGAATGGTGATAACGTGGTGTGTTTCATCCCTTTTTCCCCCTTGTGAATGTTGCTTTTGAGCTTAGATTACATAAGCCTAGCCGCAACGGCCCGCACCCTTAACTTAGCCTAGTCCGCTTCCGGCTAGCTTGGCATCCAACTCTTCATCTGCATCAAACATCAACGCTTCGTCTCCTTTTCGATCCTTTTCGACATGGAGTCAGTAGAGCGAGAGGTATGACAAGGAACAGAGAGCCTCGGTTGGTTTTGGGCTCCTATAGTCGAAATGGTTTGGGACCCCATGCTCTACGGAGTTTACAGACCGAGCTGGATACTCCGTACCCATTAAAAATCTGCCTTGGTTAGTTACGGCAGTTCCGAGAACACATGTAGATCACCCTCGCAAGCTACCAAGAGCTCTGGCATCCCAACTAGCTTCAACTCCGTACCTGCAAGACAGAAACACCATGCATGCAAATATTGCTTGAGCCCATTAAGCTCGCTGCCCCCCTGACAGAGGTGGAATGCTACCTGCAGTGGCGTGTCTTATGCTACAAGCAACCACATAGTATATCGTAGCATGGCATGTCTGGAGCCTTTCACGAGCTTATTCTTATTGGGGTTATCCCTTTGCTCGGTCACTCCATGGATCTTCATATTTCTCGCCGTCTAAAGATATTCCATCTTTGCGGCAGACATATCCGCACGTCCGCCGAATATTCTTGTCTTCAAAAGGCGTCTATATCATATGATGCCTGATACGATACGCTACTATTCATACCCTCAAACCTATCTCTCTAGAGTTAGCCAAGTGCCTGTGATGCCGATACTCGCTGCTCTACTCGGAGTATCGGAGTATGTCAACTCGGACGATTGAGGTGAAAATTACGGTCATTGATTCAACATGTGTTTTATAAATGATTAGGGTGATTCTACCACGATATCACCTATATTAGGACAGCCGGAGATTACAGAGGTTGGTAACAAGCAACGGTCAAGTTCAAGGGCCTGTCGGAATCAAGATTTGTCTCCAGGCAGCCGAGGGTGGTTCACTACTTATATACTATGCGGTTCATGAAACAACATGGAACCGTTTTATGGTCAGGTACTCCGTAATTGAAAACAGCTTGTTGGATATGTGAAGAGTTTAATTTGTGACCCCAAGCAGGGTATGAGCACCAGTACAGGAAGACTTAGCAGTAGTATATGATATATGTTCTCAGTAGACGAAGACATATATGGAGAAACATGTTGACGAGCTGAAGTATTCAGCCTCGGAGGGAATAATAAGCAAACGAGACCAGTTATATATAATATAAGACACGAGAGTAGTACAGTTGCCATGGTATCATTTATGGACCTCCAAAACGATTCGATACACTAAGTTCATATTTCGCCACATCTTGTACACCTTTCGAACCATGCTCTGATGAAAATGAATTAAGTTTGATTATTTTATCGATTGATTGATATATATGTATGTATAAGGTAGGTTAGATGTCACGATTAAAACGTAGCGCTCCGTATTTATATAAGTACAGTAAGCCTTAAGGCCAGAGCTGAGCCTGAGCCGGAAACCGAAAAGAAAGCGGAATCAAAAAAAACGTAGAGCCATTTCCCAACCCAGCCAGCCCTGCTGCCAGACAAAATGGATTGTACAGGGCAAGGAAAAAAAAAAAAAGTAAGAAAGCAGGAAGAGCAAGGTCCTCCAGTCAAACAAAGGGTGTTTTTGTTGTTGCTGTGCTGTGCTGTCTATGTGCATGAAACAGGAAAACAAAGCAAGAAATATGAAAGGGGTCCAGAGAGGATGACCGCATAATGAATGAATATACAAGTAGTATTAAACAGGATGGGGTTAGACATAAGGAAAAGTAGGTAGGGGGGAAGGGGATAAAGCCGTGCAGGTTGATATGTTGGTTGGTTGGCTGAGGCTGGGAGCAGCACATGGACCGGTTCGCAATGGGGGGAAGCTGCCCCGAGTATATAGTTAAAAGAAGGTGGGTAAAGGACCAAGCTCGATAGGAGCAGTAGATTGGTGGAAGTAGGAAAAAGAAAGGAAGCGAATGCATGCATGCAAACAGAAGCCGACCACCTGCCATTTCCCCCCTATACCGGAACAAGGGGGGGAAGTATAAAGAGGGAAGAATATCAACAAGTGCCTGAGGGAAGTGGGGGCGAAAATGGGGGCAGAGATTAAAATATTAATAAATAATATGGATAAATGCGTAAATGTGGTGGTAGATGGGATATCTGATAGACAGACAGATAGCAAATAACACAACATATAGGAAAGCCGCAAGACCAGCTGGGATCGAACCGGGATCTAATAGTCAGGCAGATAAAGGAAACAATGGGGTATAAAGAAGATGAGAAGGAAAAGAAAATGAAGTAGTCAAGTCAAGTCCCGTGGAGTAGGGGGCGCGAAGGGAGGGTGTAAAGAGAGGGACGAGAAAAGAGCAAGCAAGCAAATCAGCTATGATCGCTTAAGAGCCGAAGCGAGGACGAGGAAAAAAAACAACCGAAGATGATAAAAAGATAAAACATGACCGGGCCCACCAAAACCTCTCTATGTGTATATGAATGATGAACAAAATGTATAAATGAGAAGAAAAAGGGAAAGAAAGTCAGGAGTAAATGTCGAGTAAGCAGAGGTAAAATGATCAAAAAATGCAGGATAAAGATGAGAGTAAAAAAGAAGGATTAGGAAATAGCGAAAGATGGAGAACAAACGAAAGAAATGAATGGTTTGGATGGATACGCTGGGTAGGGTCGCTGAGTAGCTGGTGGTGGTGGTCGACGGTGGTGGCGAGGTGGTTGGCGGAGGTATGGGTTGAGCGTATCCATTAGATTAGGCCGAGTCGATAGATATGGCGATGATTGAACCACGTCTATCAAAAGCCACCTACGCCGACGGCGCTAGGCCATTGATTGTCATCGTACGGAGGCGTGGGACCTTGTCGATTCCCTAGGTTTGTGGTGACAAATCCCTTGGCCATTGGTTTCGAGGGCGTTTCGTCAGGAGTCAGCGCGAGGCCAATACCCATGCCCATGTTCATACCCATGTTCATGCCCAGCCCGTCGCGTCTGGCAGTCGGAGAAGGGGTAGGATATGGATTGTGACCCGCCCGACAGCTGTCATCCACTGTCCGTATTGATGGAGTATGATGCATTTGTGTGTCGAGGTCGGTGTCGATGAATGGGTATGTGTTTGATGCCTGCTGTTGCTGCTGCTGCTGCTGCTGTCGTTGTTGTTGTTGCTGCAGATGGTGCTGTCGCTGCTGTTGGTGGTAGATGTGTTCGTCGCTAGGCGGCTCAGGCTGATCGGCTAGCAGATGCCTGGCAGCGTTGGAGGTAGAGTAGAGCACCTCCTGGAGGAGTTCATCTTCCTCCTCTGGTGTTTCGTACCGTTGAACAGGACGAGAGGACAGCTGCAGAGCACGTCGAGTCCGACTGGATATGGGTCCAGTTGCAGGATTCTGAGCAGTGTTTGACACACTTTGGGCAGGAGAAGGGATCTGGCTGATAGCGGCGACGCTAGTCGCCTGGGGACTAGAGGCCTTATCCAGCGAATATTTGACATCCTGCAGGGCCTTATCGAGATCCGCAAATCCATTTTTCCCCTTGGCCATAGATGACTGCTTTGCTATCGGGCTGGTGGTGATGGGGTCGATGGCCATGCTCGACCGGTTGGATGTAGGACCAGACCAGGCAGCACTAGCAGCATTAGCCTCCACGTCATCTGCTGGAATAGTAGTCTGATTTCTTCCAGATAACCGACGAGCCCGTTTCCGTAGATGAGAGAAGAAACTTTCTTTCTGGGTGGGTGTGGTAGCCGTAGACCCGTTGAGAGCACGTTCTGCCTCTGCTCGATGGGCATCTGAATAGTGATTCCCATTGCTGTTGACGGACAGCTGGCGAGCCACTTTCTTGGACGCAGCCGGATTGGTCTGCTGTATGCCGTTTTGGTTTGCTGCCTTTCTGTCTGGAGAATTGGCGTTGGTGTTGTTCGCGTGGGAGTTGCCCTGGGCTGTGACGGCATTGGAGAGGGGTGACACAGGCCGTATGGATGGAAGGATGGGCATGGGAGCACCGTTTGCCCAAGTAGCACGCTTCGATTTTGTTTTGACCTGTACTTGTACGGCCACTTCGGGACTGACCTTTACCATGGTAGCCTGCTGTTCGTTTGTAGATGTTTGCTCCGAGTTGTTCTCAGCCATGTTAGCCAGAGCCGGGCTCTCTCGTCCAGTAGCTCCGATAATGGACCGTCTGAACCATGATGGCTTCGAGACTAATGTTGGTGTGGGCGCATCGACATCCTTAACCTTGAAGTTCTTATCGCTCTGGCGGCGGCCGAGTAGACGAGCAGTAGACGACTTGGGCCGTAGCGGATCGACGGCGTCTGTGAAGTATTCATGATTGAGGGCCTGAGTCGAGGTAGGACGAGCCTTGGGGTCCCACATAAGACACCATGTCACAAACTGGCTAAGAGCGAGCGGCCAGTGTGTGGTTGGGAGAATTGTTTCCAGTGCATGGGGAGCCATCTGCATGGTCAGTACATCATACACATAGGGAAAAAAAATAAAAAAAAAAAATAAAGGGTCAATAGAAGGGGTAGAATAGATAAAAGGCGAAAAGCTCACTTTTGGAAACGAGAAACCGAGCCGTTGAGCGAGTTTGATTCCATCTCGCCATTCACCACCGCCGACTCTGGCACCGTTCTTGCTGTACCAGTTGCCAGGCGAGCCCATGATCTCGCACACGCGCCATACCTGGTCGATCTCGTTCTTGCCGGGGAAAAGGGGCTTCAGGGTAGCTATTTCGACTGCCATGGCGCCAACAGCCCACATATCGACTGGAGCGGAGTAAGCACCGGCTCTGAGCAGCACCTCGGGAGCGCGGTACCACCGCGTTGAAACGTAGTTTGTGTACGGCCGTTTCGAGTGCGTCTCGCGGGCGAGGCCGAAATCAGCGATCTTGACGGTGTAGTTTGAGGGCGTAGAGGGCGGCGTGACGAGATGGGAGTAGCGGCTGAAGGTGGACGAGGAGGACTCGAGCGAAGTGTTGCTGGAGACGAGTATGTTCTCGGGCTTGATGTCGCGGTGGAAGAACTGGTGGGCGTGTATGTGGTCGAGGCCAGACAGGATCTGGAAGAGTATGGACTTGACGGCCTTGGGCTCGAGGGGCTTGTGTTCTCGCGCCTTCATGAGCTGGTAGAGGTTGCCGTCCATGTACTCCATGCAGATGTGCAGCTTCTTGGTACCCGGGTCGAGGAAGATGTCATACGCGGGCACCAGGTGCGGGTGTTGCGGCAGCGAGCGCAGGAAGACGACCTCGCGGAGATCCAGACACTCGGTGAAGGAGTTGTACGTCTTCTTCATCGTCTTGATGGCGACCTACAGCGGGCTCCTGTTAGCAAAACTCGCCCTGTCATAGCTGTCAAAAGCTAGCGATATTCTGGGTCAGGAACGGAGGCGTACCATGGTCCCTCGACGGGCGACATTTGAGCCTGCGGTGCGCACTCTGGCCAGGGCGACGCTGCCGAAGCTGCCATCGCCGACCTCCTTGAGGACCTGGAACCGATCCTCCAGCGAGGCCATCTCTATCGTCATCTGTAGTAGTTTTTTGCTCTGTAGTTGTAGGTGGTGGTGGGTGGTGTTGATCTGTATTAGCTATTCGCGGAGTCTGCCAGCAGAACTGCTTTCGAAGGGAGGGAAGCTCAGACGAGCCGACACGCAGACGGTCAGCGGAGAGTCGACGGCCAATGGAGGGTTTCTAGCAGGGCATGTCTGTATTATCTGCGTGAGCTGGGAGGAGTAGCAGTGGTGGTGTAGTAGTAGCAGTAGTAGTTCTTGTTGTTGTTGATATTACTATGCTGGTGGTGGTGAGGCAGGTCGGGGGAGAGGGACATGTCGCGGCGAAGGAGAGGAGAGGGACGAGCGAGCGACGAGGGAGAAGAAGAGGAGGAAGAGAAGCGGACTGGACGAAGCAAAAAGGAAGACGAGCAGAAGAAGAAGAAGAAGAAGAGAAGAAGAACGAACGCTGCGAAGGGGGTGAAGCAGGCCAGCCAGCGCGGCGGGAGCGGAAGAGCAGCAGCAGAGACGATGCAGCCCCTGAAAGCGCGTATCCGTAATACAGATACATGCACTTTTGCCCACGCTAGCAGGAAAAAGCAAAGACGCTCTCGTCGCTTTTTCGGGCTGTCGATGATGCTCCAGGCGGCGGTGGTGAAGGTGAAGGTTGAGGTTGGAGCTGAGGTTGGAGCGGAGATGTCGAGGTTGCGATGTAGTTGTTGTTGTTGTGTTATTCAAGTGTTATTCAGGTGTTATTCAGATGTTGGGTGCTGGAAGTATGCGATACTCTACAATTGACAACAACAGCAGGCGATCGTGGCCGTATATTTACTTCGACAGCTAAGAGAAGCTAATTACCAGTGGCTACGATGAGGCTTGGGCCGTTGGACATGCCCATCCTGACCGTCGGATCGAAGCCTCTCAGCGGCCTCCACGACTGCGCGCAGGACCAGGGAAGAAGGCGGCCCTCCAGCAGCGAGTCGGAGTCCCTCTCGTCGCCCTTATAAGCAGACACACCCCGGGCATGGGTCTGTCGAGGCAGCTCGATGCTTATACTTCCCCCGAATGCAGCCTGAAGGACGGGGGAAGTCAGGCACATCTGCAGCAGCACGGCACCACAAACCACACACGATCACCGGAGGAACCCATCCGCTCTGGATAAAGACAGGAGTAAAAAAACACGCCAGACTCCTCAGATACTTCGAGGGGGGGAAGCCTTCCCGTCGAAGGGGGGGAGGGGAGGGGAGGGGGGGTGATGGTATGCAGCGAGAGTAAAGGGAAATAACTTCCCGAGACCTTTCATATCACATCACATCATGGCCGTGTGACAGATCTCAGTCCTCGTTGCTCGTCCCTCTGCTGGCTGCTTCTCGTGCCCTCCGTCTATCTGTCTTGGTGGTGGCTAAAATAATCTTATTCAGCGGTGTTGGTTGCTTTTTCCTTTTCACCATTTTTCCCTCTGCGTCTTCCTTCAGCAGTCATCATTCTGGACCATCTCTCTCTCTCTCTGCCTCTTCTCCCTCTCGAAAAGAAACGAGAGAAAAAGAACAGAGAGCGAAGAAACTGTCCCATCCCAAGGGCGGCCCCAAGTGGAGAACAAGGCGTGAAAATGGATCTATAACAAATACACAGTTATTAAATCTTACTTCCTCTCCCTTCAACATGTTTGCAAGGAGAAACCCTATTGAGCAGCCAATCGAGGAGATCAGAGCTTGGGGGGGAGAGAAAGCCACTCGAGACAGGAGGCAGCAGACACAGGGGAGAAATAAATGGGAGGTAAAGAAAAGAAAAAGGCAGACCACAGAACAGAGTCAGAACAGGCGGAAGTCAAGCAGTGTAGTGCAAGCTTAATACTTAACTTACCAGAACGAACAAGGAAACAGAGCAGGCCATGGCCTTGTCGGTCTCGTAACGGCGTGGCCTGGCCTTGCTAGCTGTATCGAAACCGAGCAGAGGAATGGGACGGTGGAGATCCGGGAGGGAAGGGCTTCGCTTCCTCCCTTCCTCCCGCCCATTTTATCTCTATCTTATTTTGCACTCCCTTTTTTTTTTTTTTTTTTTTTTTTTTTTTTTTTTTTATTTCATTCTTATTCCCTGTCCTTTTTTCAATTTCCTCTCTCCTCGTTCGTCCATCCGCTGCCGTGGGCCTGGCAACTCGAAGAGACTGCACATCTGGTTGGCTCATTTCGAATATACCGTTGAAACGACTTGAGACACCACACGTTACCTCTTTGTTGCCTGCTGTGCCCCCCCTGTGACTGCTTCTTCTTCTTCTGCTGCTTGTTCTTCTTGACATAAACACGAGAAGGGTTATGTCCGTACAACCAGAGAAGTACTCCGTAAACTCCGTATGTGAAATGAGAGGGATGACCCCTTGAGCTTGCTTTCCCAGTTGCTATTCCTAGCCCGTCAGATTCGCCCTTCATAAGCCACCGCCTGCACCAGCACAGCCAAAGGGGAACCCAGCGCTGCGGCCCCAGTCACATCCTAGCCCCAGAATCAGCCTTTGATGACACGAAAGACAGCAGCAACAACCAGAGGAACGAAAGCAGCCAGAGAGAAGAGAGAGAGGGAAAAACAAAAAGAAGCAAGGAGACCCGGGCCCGAACTTTCTTTTGTGGAATGGTAATTTTGCGGGTTTCATTCTTATCTTCTTCTTCTTTCTCTCTCTCTCTCTCTCTTTTTTTTTTTTTTTTATTTTTATTTTTGCACATACGAAACATCCTGCTTACTCAGTCCATACGTATATCGGACGAGCAAAGTCCGGATTATCGACGTAACAGCTGGGGTTGGATAGATGGAACAGCAATGCAACGCAATACAACTGGAGCAGCCGGGATAGGATGGATACTGAAAGGACGGCATGAGGGTTCTCTCAGGGCTATGGACGAATGGGCAGGAGGAACCGGTGGAGTGAATCCGATTGTTCGTCTCCAACCTCCGTACACGTAGCGTTGCCCTAAATCATGTCCCAAGTCAGCATCCACAACCGCATCCACAGGGCTGGTGCAAGGTCGGTGTGTTAGGCGGTCTGTTTACACCAGAAAAATAAACAAACAGCACGCGAAGGGTGGGAAAATTACCCCCAAGACCTCACTCGCCCTCCCGCCCTTCTTCCAAGAACCGTCATGTCCGGTCGTTGTTGGCGTTGGCTCGGGTACACCGCTCTCAAGCCCTTGCTTTCTTGTCTCTCAACGGAGTATCCGTAGTCAGTCGGCAACTTAGCTTGACCCTTAGCGGAACTCAAGCTCGCGAAAGTCAAGAAGCTTTTGGCCGGACACAGTATGGAGTAGCGTGCTCAGATATCGGTGAGCAGTTGTCTACAGGGACAATCCCATCTCAGTCTTGCCCTCGCCCTTCGGGGCAGTTGACGGTAGATCGATCGGACGGGTGGTTGGCGATAGTCTCATGGCCACCCGACGCCTCTTCCCTGACTGCTTTTCTTTTCCTCTCTGGTTTCTTTTTCCATTTTCTGGGGTCGTGCCGTCGATAGTCGGACTCGTACCTTTCATCAGACAGGTCGGAGTAAAAAGATGTAGATGTCTCTTATTTTTATTTTTATTTTTTCCTTTGCTTGTCGTACTAAAGTACGAAGTACTCCGCAGAAATCTGACTTGGTCGGTCCTCTTTCTAACAGCACTTTAGCCGACGAAGCTGAGCAAAGAGCGCTCCACGGGGAATGGAAGTACTTCATACGGAGTAGTCGAGGGTCGAAGCCCGCGCCTAGTCACTCTAGATCGCCCAGACTTACCTGAACCGCCATGAGGGCCATGAGGGAGTACAAGTAAACCCATAGCGTCAGAAGACAAAACCCTTAATCTTCAATAGACTCTTGCAAATCACCATTGACGGTTCCAGCTGCCTCCCCCTTCGACCCAGCCACGAGCCTTCTTTCCCCCCGCCTCCTCCTCGTCCTCCTTCTCCCCTCCTCCAGAGAGACCTCCATTCTGAACTATATCACTTTCACCGTCAATCAGCGGTATTAGTCCAGTTTCACATCTTTCACCCCCAGGATCATGCAAGCAATGCAGTGTTGCCATCAATCGACCCGCTTACTCCTGCAGCAGAATATCACGAAAGGTGGCGGATGTGCTAGGGCAGACAGATAGACCCTCTGAGATCAAAATGTGAGATAACGTTGATGCGGGCTGATAGCAGGTCTAGATACCGTCCACGACCTGATCCTGGACCACGTCGTGGAGAACGGGGCCTGCAGCTGCATGGCCTGGTGTAATGCAATGCCATAGAGATAATGCGCTTGTAGCATGCATTCCAACTTCGCGGGTGGCGCTTCCCTTTTTGTTTTTTTGGCTTCGTCTGTAACGAGCTGGTCAAAGCAGGCCAGCCTTTGCTACGGCCTTCAAAGCCCGTTCATCGTCTCTCGTCTGTGAGAGTCGGTCGACATACACGTATACACGGTTGAGTAACTAGTTATGGACGGAATTCCCTGTCCCTGAGGCGATTGGCACGAGCGTAGTACCGCATATGTGAGTGAGATGTGCTCCGTCGTCTCGTCTGGCCTTGCTTCTGGGCGCTGGCATTGATTGTTCCTCTGGAAACAGAGGAGGGGGGTATCTTCGATGCCACCAGGTAAACAAGAGCCATTGGCTTCACTGCACCGTCCCGAACAGAGTCCTTTGTGCTCTGTGCTTCGTAACTCTGTGCGCAGGCGAGCCCAGCAGCTGGGAATATACAGGGAACGGCAGACAGAATCGAAAGATACCAGGCCTTCTACTCCGTAATTAGTTGTGGCGCTCAGGTACCAAAGCAGCAGTCCGTACAGATTATCGTGGGCTTTGAGCAGATCTCCCGCTGTTGCCATGGCATGCAACAGCCCATCCAGGAGACTGGCTCTCATCTCCCAGCTGTATCTAGTCGAGTGCCTCGTTGTTGATGGCGATGATGTTGACTGACGTTGATGTTGATGCGTTGTCGTTGTCTCGCTGCTAGCAAGGATCCGCCTAGTGAAGGGTCAGCTGTGCCCAAAAGGGTAATTCTCGACTTCATCTTCAACTTCATCTCTATCTCTCCATGAAAACAGCCAAAACAACCCAAGGAACTACAGAATCCTCTCTACGCCGTACAGTCTTACGATGAACCGTCTCTCTGACGAATTGCTCCGGCGCATCTTCCACATAGCCGCTGACTTCCCCCTGGGCGATGACCGTTTGAGCACATACGCCCGCGTCTCTCAAAGATAGCAGGCTTTCGCGAAGGCAGCAAACTTCAGTGCTTGCTCTCTAATCAATGATGATATAGGCCATTTTGTGAAGATTCTGAGCTGCGTCCCTGCTCGACGTAATGCGCTTCGGAAGGTCTATTTCATGATAGACGTCCTCGGTGAACCGGCAGATGAGATGTGGGATGATGATTATTATGATAGTGAAGATAACGCAGAGGAGAGCTCTGTCTTCACCGAGTCGGTATTCCAGCTGTTCGATGCTTTGGCCCGGGGGGGGAGGGGGGAGGGGGGAGGTTACAAGCACCTATGCGCTGCTAAGTTTGGTATTTGACATCGACACCGAAATGCAGGTGAGCGACTTGGTGAGCGCTATTTGAGACTTGTGTCCCTCGATGGGAATCAGAGGGCTCTACCAACTGTCCATTCTGTTGCAATGTCAAAGATATTAGCATCTTTGCCCAGTGCAAAGACTGTTGATATCCATTTGAATCCAAATGGCCCCAGTCTAAAACATTGCAACTATCAAGGACCCCCATGTCCACGGTATATATATATATATATATACTCGAACCACCGCTTTTAAATTATACCAACCATATTAAGACTAACAAAGCTATTTAGCCATCAACAAATTGTTGGTGACATCCAGCTTTCCTGCTTACAAAAACTAGCACTAAATTAACTCGTGGTCATCTCCCTTAGCCAGGATAAATCAAGCTCTCCATAAGCTCTCCCAGACTGCTCCTCTGGTCACTCTGGAACTTGTTGGGGACTGGTTTCTATACCCAGCATTATTCTGGCTTCTAAGCACGTCTGATTCCGCTGGGAAGCCATTTCTGGCCAACCCTGCAGACCGTCCAGATCAGAGCCAACACCAAGCTTCCCGGCACAAAATTGTACGTTTACCTTACCATATAAAAATACTAATTACCAGATGAATCATCAGTGCTAATAGATCTAATGGTAGCTTTGACTTTTTCAAGTATGACGAAGGCCGCAGCTATGGAGGGGACATGCCCCAAGCCCCAGTAGAACCTAAGGCATTCAATCTTCTTGTCTCTTCCATATCAAGGGCTGTCCTGCAAATGCCTGCTCTCCGGGTTCTGATGGTGGGAATCGGAGCACGCGGCTTTCGTGGTTTTCCTAAACTATGCTGGAACGATGGGAACCACGACATCTGGATTGAATGTCTGGATTCGGGTGAGAAATCGGCTGTCCTGCGCTACAGAGTACAAGAGATGGACCGCAGCCAGATAGAGAACGAGGAGAGGGTCCAATCGTCGTGACGGTGGAGAGTCTGGCTTGGGGGCGACCTTATCCCAGCAGACTGGTCCCCATCCCAGGAGGTACGCGAGTTATGGAAGCAGTTTGTTGGACCGAGTGGAATTACGAATGTGGAGGCATAGCAAGAGCTCAGCTTGCTGCCGTTCTGACACCTCCTTACATGCACGGGCTTCGCTGGGAGTATGGTGTGCCCTTCAGCTAACTCCTGTACAAACACTATGATCCAACAAAGTGAAGCAAGCTGCAAACACCGAGTGCCAGTGCGATTCTCCTTTCACCCAACTAGTTTGCTGCACCTAAAATGAGTTAATCTGCTGAAAACAAAGGCTGCAGTTGCAGTACGTACAGTGGGAAAAATTACGGAACGCTGTACGGAGTAACTTGTCACATATTTCACCATAGAACTCTGTATTACCGCCACTATGGCACCGGGTGAGCTGAGCAGCGCCCATGATATGTTCTCCATATCGTGTCTAGTGCAGCAGCTAAAGGGCCATACTTTCACTAGAACGAGTCGATAGCGATGCAGGACAACTAGCGAACGAACGAGTCATGTGGCCCTCGCCCTTTGCTCGTCCTATTTTTCCCTCTTATCCCATCTTGCTCTCCTCGCTCGCTCTTCCACTCGACTGCTGGGCGTGTCCGTGTCTGGCGTCCGTGTCTCTCTGACAGAGCATCCGAATGGCTGACTCCTGCGGTGGCTTTCATGCTGTGGAGCGTGCGTGGTTGATCCGTTTGTTGATCTACCGTCCTCCTCTTCCTCCTCCTCCTCCTCCTGCTGCTGCTATCTACTTGGGCTGCCAGACTAGCCATGTCGATATGGGCTGGTATGTCTATGCTGGAGGAAACCATAACTCACCCCATCAGTTATCAGCCATCTCAGCCCTCACACAGACATTTTGATAATTACACGCTACTGTGAAGGTACGGACGGAAGGCCCCGTGCATGCAAGATACCAGTTCCCACCCCCAGCGAGTGTCTCTGTCTGGTGGTTCTTGATGAGAACGGATGTACGGAGGAGCTCGCTTTGCTTTTTTGCGGATGCAAGCCGCCAGGATGTGATCTGCCCCCTTTCCCCTTTCTCGAAGACAGCAGAGATGACAGGAGAGAGAACTGAAGAGAAACCGGCCGGCCGATAAATTCTGGCTCGCAGAGCTGCAGAAAGAAAGTCTCTCTTCGGCCATCAGAAACCCTGGTTGGACGAATGGTGTTTTTTTGCACTCCATACGGAGAAACTGCACTCCATCATCATCCATGGATGGTATCCGCATGGACTTGCTGGTTTGAGGCCAATTTGCTCGTTATCATTGATATCCCATACGACAATCCCTCATACGCGTCCACTGGCCGGAGTAGCATGGGTTGCAACCAATGCTTGAACGGCGCGGATGCAGTGGAAACTGAACTGAGGTGTCATCGCTGCCTAAAACTCGCAGGTAGCGCGATAGGCGGCCCTGTCTCCAGATGCATCTTGCTTCTTGGTCGCGTGTAGGGCGGCTTGATATATTCGGGGATGCTGAGTGGTGAGGTATCTGCAGGCCAGGCTATTTTCCAGGATATTTGACAGGCTGTTTAGCAGGTTTTTATCCCAAATATGCTGCATACAGGCTATCTCCTTCCATGACTTCCGCTGGTTAATATATACATGCATATATGCATGCATATGCAATGCAAACAAAACCACCTCCAATCAGCATACTTTCCCCCGCTGTCCAGTAGGATACTGATGTGCCTTTTCTTTCTTTACCCTCTTTTGTCTCCTGGTCGAAATGTCTCCTGGTCGAAATTTTGATTATTACCATCTCAGCCATTGTCCTATCTTGTCACACTTGATTGTTGGTTCTGCTGTGGCTGAAACGCTGCAGCAGTCAATACCTATCCAAAGTAAAGGAGTTAAGATTACTATGCAATTGTATCTATAGAAATTCTATATTCTAATCTACTCTCTTCTCCTATAGATTGATGCTACCAATTTGTTGTTAAGAATCAATACAAGATAATACCTGCAAGAAGCCGTAGCAGATACAAACAGCTTAAGAGGGTCAAAGAGATCCTAACTGACACCAAGACACACTGTCTTACCTTGTGTTATTGCTTGTCTCTCTGATCAAACTTGATATCCTGGGAGGTTGCTTCACCATGAAGAAGATGTCCTCCTGTTCAACTTTGATAGAGGACATCGCATCGCCGAGGCCTTTGGCGACTAAGCAGGGCTCAAGACTTCACTGTCACTTCTCTTTCTTCTATTTATTTCTTTCTCTTCAGCTTCATCTTCTCTTCTCTTTCTTCTCTCTGTTCATCTGCAAAGTCCGAAGACTGCAAAGCCTCGAAGAGCGTAAGTCTGATACTCTGACACCATGGGCAAACACGCCTTTCATTTCAAAAAGAACACCTTCAACTACGATGAGTACAAGCGCAAGTAAGTCACGCATGTCTATCGAGTCAGTGAGAAGACGCAGGTGTCTAACAAGATCATGATGACAGGCTTGAGCGAGTCTCCCTACCAGACAAGTAAGGCCTCCCCAGCAAGCAAGAGTCGAGAGGGTATCAAAATCTGACATCCTGCATAGGATTCTGTGCAAGATCTGCGGCAAGATTTGCTCCGCCAGCAAGTACTCCAAACGCCAGCTCGATGAGCTGCGCAAGGCGATGGCCAGCAACCCCAGCGTCAACGGCCTCACTCGTCCTGGCTTTGCTGGATGCCGTACGTGTATCAGCCACCAGACCGTAGAGCTCACTTGCTGCATTTGCGACAAGACCAAGTCCCTGGAGTACTTCAGCAAGAACCAGCGCTCTCCCCCTGACACTGCGGTATGTCTTCCCCCTCGTCTAGTACCACTTCGTTGCAGGCAGGGTACTTATTGCAGTACATCCAGAGATGCACCAACTGCGTTCAAAGCCATCTCGATGCTGAGCCAATCGCCGAAGTCCTCAAGGAGATGGAAGAAGGGGAGGGTGGTTATGACCCTGCCACCGCACCGGAGGTATGCTCGTTTCCCCCCTTTTTGATGCCTCGCGATTCTGACAATCAAACCAGACCGATGTGAAGGAAATCACTCACTTCCAGAACCTCTCCGTCAACGAAAACACCCGCCCTCGCATCCCCGTGGAACGCCAGCAGGTTGCCAAAGTCAAGCCCCGTTCTGGCATCCCCGACTCAGAGGATGATGTGTCCTTTGGCGGAGTCTGGGTTGAGCAGCAGCGTGATGGCAATGGCAACAGCACCGCTCAAGACGGTGCCAAAAAGGGGGGCGAATTAACAGCCTCTAACAACAAGGGGGCCGGTCAATCTCGCAAGACCGCCCGCAAGACCGCCACGCCTGCAGAAAATTCTGCAGCAGAGAAGTCTACAGCAGAAAAGTCTACAGGAGAGATGTCCACTCCTACCAGTGGTGTCTGGAACATCACCACCAAGGAGAGACGTGCAGCCACGCCACGCAAACACTCGAACTTCGCAAAAGTCCCCGTAAGTAAAGGCTTGTCCTTGGCTATCCCGCTACATCATACCATGACGTACAGCGTTTTTTTATGTTTCCTGCAAACCCTCACTAATGAACATCATATTCAGGGTGTCCGTGTTCCCAAGGACGAGGCTCCCACCCAGCGTCTGCCAGAGCCCACCGGACCAACCATCGATTTCGACGATGACTCTGATGACGAGTGTGGTATCGAGGCCTGGATCTGAGACGATAACTACTCCACCAGTTGAACATCCTGGGTGTCAATCAAGCATCACATTCCACTGACCCAGTTTTGATATTCCATATTATTCATAATTGAGTGGCCCCGAGAAGTTTGGCCTCATGAGCACTCCCTAACGAAGGAACGAATGCAATGACTCCAGCCCTGGCCAACGAAATGTCCTTCGGCTCTTCTCAGTTAGCCATAGCCCTTTGGTAGTTAGAAATTAAACAGTTTCGTGAACAGTTTGCCACTGGAAGCTTCTTTATTTTTTTATTTTTATTTTTATTTTATTTTTTTCTCGTAACTAGTTAGTTACCGTTGGAACTTTAGTGGGCGGGTCGGGCCTTGTACCGAATTACCCCTGAACAGACCAACTCGCACTATGGAGTACTGTAACCAGCAATCTGGCAAGCCCACCTGCCAACTATAGCCGAGCTTGCATCCTGTCTTAATTGCTCTATTATTACTTCGCATGTTTCCTTATGGTGGCGGCACTTCAATGAGGTCATGCTCCCGAGGTAAACAAATAAACAAACATATCAACAGGTTGGGTAGCTAGTTACACATGGGCAGCTTGTGGTAGTGGATAACATCATATGGTTATCCAAGTGTTACAGCAGATTGCTTTCTGGAAAGATTCTACAATACAATAGTTCACGGATAGCGCCAGGTGCCGGCTGTTCATAGTAGACAGTACGGAGTAGCCCGTATCAATGATCAAAAGGCCAGGCAGCTTCCCATTCCTCGCGCTCCTCCTCGTTCTCTGGATACTTCGACATGAAGTCCGCCTTGGTCAATCGAATGAGCTCCTTAACCTCGTCATACTCCTCGTGATCAACGGTGCCATCGACTCGGAAGAAATGCGATCCAACAGCCTCCTTGACATCTCCCATGATATTAATGCCGTTGGCAGCTCCTTCACAGTCGCCATCAATGACTTTCAATTCATCAGGCGTGAACTCATACGGGAACCCCTTCTTCGAATTGCTGCGTATGTCCGGGACGTCTTCCCAGCCCTTGCGGTATTGATCAGCTAAAATAGCAAGATATGCTGCTTCCCCGTCGAGATAGAGGTTTCGGGCAAAGATCAGAAGAGTAAACCTCACTGTTTCGCGGAACTGGAGTGCTCGGAAGAGTGGTTCGATTCCCATGTGGAGGGTATTTCTCCAGAGGGAGACCAGTGCCATTCTCCAAAACAGAGACTCTGCTTTTCGTTTTTTCTCCGAAGCTGTAAGCTCTTCGTCGTCTTCAAAGAGCTTTTGAATCTCCTGGATATCCGGCTGTTGTAGCAGGTCTCCGGTCATACGTGGCCCTTGGTACTCAAGGAAGTATGGTTCAATTGTATGATCATACAGGGGCGCTAATTCTGTTGTCTGCCAGTCGATGATTCCACAGATCTCAGATGGGTTATCAGGGTTAACAAATATGTTCTCTGCATGTAAGTCGTTGTGCCACAGGTGAGATCCCGTTATGGACTTGTCATCTGGAAGTAGATGATCGACGATCTCCATATATGCCTGCAACGCTCTGATCTTCTTCTCCTTGGAAGGACGATATGTTTGAGGTCCATAGAGTCCTATTGGAGATTTTGGTAGCTTTGGTATCTGTGTAATACATTCCATTTCTCTGTAGCCTGCTGCTTTTGCATAGCCCAATGGACTACTCCCTATGAATATATCAGTTTATTATGACCTAAAGCCTAAGAACGCAACGACCTACAAGGCCCTCTGTCAAACTTGACACTTGCTCTTCCGTCATCGAAATGTTGTCTGCCTGTTGACGGCCCAACAGTAAACCGGTCATCCGTTACCTGCTCGCCGTTCTTGTTCGTATATGTCAAGCTGGTTGCATTGGGTATGTCCTCCTTGTAGTATATACTACCATACTGGGAAAATGACGTCAAGGTCCAATCTCTTTGATAGCCTGCTATCTCCTTGACAATGTTAACCTTCATCTCGACATCAAGCTTGTTCCACAATGTCTCCAGCTGCACTCCAGGTATCTTCTCCATTATGATATGTTCTGCACCAACCGGGTTGTCTGTCCCTGAGCTCCAACCAAGGACCTTAGGAGCTGGTGTCCCAAGTATATTTCTAACCTACCTGGCAGTTAGAATTACTTCATATATATGGTTGATAGTCACTCACGAAGTCCATCGTTGCCACTTCAGATGCAGTGGTAAAACGCGGCATGCCAGCATTCGGATTCGGCACTTTGCCAATGACCTGGACACCGTCATCCATGGTTAGAAGTAAGCCCTTGCTGTATAGCCCATCCGCCATCTTCTCAACCTTGATGCACTCTCGAGTTCCAGGACCAGAAATCCGGGCTGCGGTCTTTGCTAACTGATTGACATCGAATTTGATGTATCGTTGTGCCAGCTCTTTTGCCTCATCACGGAGGAACCGAGAGCGTGTAAACCGGAAAAAGGTGTCATCTTTATTCCAGCCTTGGTTTGAATGAAACTTTTTAGTGTTTCCTATATGGATCTGCTGGGATTTCCGTGCTGTAGAGGCTGCGATTCGGATGTGGTGGTTTCGTGCAGAGATTGTCGGCCAGTGAAACTGATTCCGCAACCGAGCACATATAACGGTAGACCTCATGTTAACGAAGGCTTCAGCATCTTAACGGTTATGAACTATGTTTGACTAAGACGCAGGTATTGAATGGCCGACATCCCATGCCTAGCACAATATTTTCTCTGTTTCGGCTTGTTGATGCAGGAATTTTGACCCCCTCCCAGCCACCACTGATGCACAAGGATGCCGATGCCCTCGAGAAGCTACTTTAATCTAGGACAACGATAGACAGTGCAATTCTGAATACCCTTCTGTTGCATATTGCCGGAAATATTGCCGGAAACATGGGAATGAATCCTTTTATTAGTTACGGGCCAGTCGGTATTTGATTGTGCCTTGGATTTCAAGATATGCCCCTTAGGTCAGCTAAAGAGATGAGACGCCAACCAAGTACTCTTTCACTTAGAGTAAACTGTATGGTGGCCCCAGGCTTCGTTTTCATACATATTTACAAGGTTGGTCTTTGTTATAAGATTGACTTGGACCTGTCTTCTCGTACGAGCCTTGGTAACTTTCGGCAGTGGCAGTTTCTAGCTGCCTAGCTGCCTTTCCCAAGGCTTGCAATAACCCATACCTGAGATTTTGTCACGTCTTGGGTACTATATAGATCGCAGCCCATGCCAATTCTAGCCTTAGAAATGGGACCATTGGCAAAGTCCCAGCATTTTGACAATGATCTGTGACCGAAGCAAGCCACCTATCTAAAATTGATCAAAAGGATCCTGGGTTGGCATAAGTAAATATATGCTCGATTTGATCGAATACGGAGTAGAGAATGCCCATTGCTTCCATGGAGTCGGCTTGCTAACTAGTGATAGAGCGGGGAGACAACTCGCTCATGTTCATGTAAGTTGCTTTGCTGCTGAGACATTGAGAGGACTGTCTTTGCTTTATATCCTTCCAGCCTCCTTTAAAATATTGGCATCCTTGGAAACCCACGAGTAGCCAGTGATACTGCTCAAATCAAATAGAAAAACGAGAGAACATGGATATCTCGAGTCAGTCACATACTTGGCCTGGCTTGGTCAGCAAGGCGCCTTGTATTCTAGGCAGCTTGCATTCGATGATCCCTGTCGGCATGGGAATATAATGTGGCTTTTTTCCGCGCGAGTCCGAACGGTTGGGTGACATCTTTGATGTTATGCAAGTTATCACAAGGGAACATCGTATTTAACCGCATGCTTACTTCCTAAATATAGGAATTTTAAGCATTTTAATGACCTGATTTGTTGTCTATGATTAGCCCGAACATTCTTCTCTCGATGGTCAGTCTTCGAGGAAACAAATTGCTCTACAGCAAATCACCACACAAAAGCAATTCGGGGTAACTACTCACTGGGGTTAGTGGAACCAGGTTAGGCTCCGCGGATCACATTTGATAAACTATTGCGCCGACTCAAACATATAAAAAGGAACAAGAGCCCGAATGGAGTCATCCCTTTTCTATGAGGCATAAGCCTATTTGTTATTAAGCTAAACATCACATCAGCAAGCAGTTCCATCAAGATGGATTGCTACTTATGGCTCTTTTTCACTATTTGCCTTTTGCGCATTGAGGCTGCAATTGCCATGTATGACCCTTGCTTGGTCGACGAAACCTTTCAGAAATGTCTGTATCCCAAGGCTCGTGGCTCTGTGCACTTCGAGTTTAAGCCACTGTTCCCCAAAGGTGTGGACTTTGTGTACTCATTCGACTCGGAAACTCAGGAGGACGCCGATCAGCAATATGTCCCCGAAGGCTCGGTTGCTGCACCGGATTCAAAGGTTGCATTCTGGTTGGAGTACCCGGAAGTCAACCTGAACCCAGCAGCGCATACAGAAACATACATGGTGGTGTTGGCGAACGAGAACTTTACCGGTGATCCGAGCGGAGGCAACAACGGCTGTGATGGACTTTGGGGAGCCAAATGCTCCCGGAGCCTAGCAGCATGGTTCAAAGCCGAAATAGCGGGCGGGGCATATAGTCCCGGAGAGGCGATTAGCCAACTTAGGAGCTATTATGGGGGGGAATCTAGAACAGAAGAAGGGAAGCGTATATTGGAAGACACCGGATGCCCCGTTGGCTTCTTTAACGAGACTTTTGGATATGGTATGCCATCTATTTTTATTATAAGGATCTGCAGACAAGCAGCTCACGGTACCTAGGAGCCTTTGCTACTGAAAACGGAGAAGGTTCTAGGAACACTCGAATCAATGCATCTGGAGGTCCCAAAGCTGCGTGGATTGTAGAGAAGATCTCTTCCACTGGGTATGACGAACAAATCAAGAAAGGCGTTGGTATGTTCGTTCTTCAGAAGCCACTGCAGGGTGACCTCTACAAAGACGTGAAAAATCTGCAGCTTGTAATGGCCTGCGTAAAAGCAAAGCGTCTGCCTGAGAAAAATAGCCCCAACCAGGGAGGTGATAATGACATGACTGGAAACGGCGGCTCTAACATCCCAGGACTTCACTCCAGCGGTGCTGCCAGGCCGACATTCTCTGCGGGCTTAGTATCACTGGCAGCAGTTCTGGTATGGGTATCTAGCTAGGTATCAGAGAGGCCATGCATAGTATAGAGATGATACAGTATGCTCCATGTATCTCAGCAACGGTTGTCTGTTGGTTGATTATATCTGTTGCCAGAACCCCAAATGAATTGAAATGGAACAAGGTGAACGAGAATCAAAGTTGAAGACTGCAGGTGGAGCTAAAATCAAACACGTGATTGATAACTGGAACTTTAACTTTAAATTTGAGGCTCCAACAGCCGCCTCGGTGGACTCTGTACTCCGCAAGGCAGCAACAATAATAATACGTCTTGTCCATTGTTGTTCCATGCCCGTCGTCTTTCGCTCTTCATTCCCCAATCTCCAGGCATGGCTACTATTCAAGATCTTCCGCTGGAGACCTTGCAGCAGATCTGCGACTTCGTTGCTTCTGGCTATAGGGCCTCCCTCTATGATTTTGCCCTGGTATGCCAGCGATGGTCTCTGGCATCAAATGCAGTACGGTTTCGAGAAATTCGCCTAGTTGTTGAGAACCAGGGGAAACTGACTGAAGATTTGGATCATTTGAATGGTGTGCTACGGAGTACATCAGGTTTTCGGTCCGTCCGTCGACTTGAGATTAAAGGGGAGCTCCCAGCTGATGTAAATACCTGGGCCCCAAAACGAATAAGACAGCCTAAGAATTGCATGATTGATACCGATGATGAGCTTGAAAGTGCGAAATATACCCCGTATTCAAACCTTCTCGAGCTCCCAGAAGTCACTGTAGAGCTGGATAAGTACTGGACTCCAGTGGCTCATTTCGTGGCCCAACTCCGCGCCCTTCAAGATCTTATCTTTGACTGCGCTAACCAGTTCCCACCGTGCTTGCTGGATGTGCTACACCAAAGCCTACCCAGCTGTAAGCTTCACCTCCATAATTTTGGGCTTAGGAACCTTTATTCCTACAAGGGGTGGTCACGAGGCTTGGATAAACACGAGTACTCACTGGCTACTTCTCCTTCATTGCACTGCATTATCCTGCATTACGGATGGAATGAATCCGAAAGACTACTTGATTATCATGATATGGCTGTGGCTAGAATGAGCCAAGGACTGGCTCCAAGCCTCAGACATGTACAAGTTATTGCCAGTTCAATGTCACCGATCACATACAACAGGCGTGTTGAACACCGACCAAAACGAGACATATTCCCCAACGATACCCCAGACCCTGAAGTTGACGTGCGTGGCGAACTCCACACCATGAAATTTAGTGGATTTTTATTGGGTAGACTTCAGGGATGGAATGAACGAATTGTCTTCTCGTCATTACGAGAGCTTATTCTGGACACCATCATAGACCCGTTCAGCTTGAAAGAGGCGAGCACGTATAATTTTACCTCGCTTAAGACCCTCTATCTACGCCTAGAGAGCGACAATTGGGACGAACATCCCTGGATGGACGGAGCGGCAAGTGTCTTCCTTCGAAGCCTGCCTCCTCTGGTCACGCTTAAACTTACTGGGAATTTTGGCGATGACTCGCTCAAGGCCATAATAGACCGTCACAACTCATTGCAACGAATCTGGCTCTTCCCTCGGACACAATCTCACTTTATGGTGACAGACTTTACCTTAACATTGGATACAATCCGGGACCTTACATCACGCTGTTCAGAATTGAGAACGGTCTGCCTTCTCATCCCACGAGTCCTGGAGTCACAAGACATGGCCGTATACCAGTCTATAGGCTGTCTTCCTCATTTGAAAGACTTGTGTCTGTACCTCGACTGTATTTTCCATCAAGACTCTAGAACGTCTCCCACTATTGAAGACAATTTACCGCAAAATTTTGCAAAGATAAAAAACTCAGTTATGAATGCAGCTCTAAATGAGGATATTGCTCGCAATATCTTCCATGAAATTTACCAGGCTCAGTCCAGACACAGGATGCCAGTTTTTAAACGGCTTAGAGTACAGGCTGTGAGAGTGAAGTTTACAAGAGACATTCCCGAGGACCTACATAGGATACTCAATGTCAGCAGCCAGGGCTTTGAACTTACTATGAACCCGACTCAAAGGCATGGTTGCTATGATATCATTAGTCAACGGTCCAGCCCCCGCATTTTCTGGTAAAGGCTGGGTAACTTCTTCCTGAAGCCTCGATGTCTTACAAGTCCTGAAATTCCGGTATTGACTGAGTTCCACCACTAAGTAAATCCAAACGGAAGCTGTGAACTAGAATGGGGCAGGTATTTGCTCGGTCGATTAGCCATAATAGTCTCTGTGGGGATGCCGCATATACACGAAGAGTGCTACAAGATGGTCCTTTGGCGTATGCTTTGCTGTGTGTGGTGCTCAAGGCTTAATCCTTATCGGCCTCCTCGTTACGCAGATCTGATCTGGTTAATTAGCGGGCCGGCCCTTCCGTATGGTTGTTTTCAAAATCAACCAGTGACCAGCTTGAACACCACGGTTTTCACACACTCTAATCAAATCCCGTCTCCAATAAGCGTTGATGTGCTATACAGATCAACAACTGTTTCACGATCGTAACATGATCCATATTTTAGGCATTTCTTCCTGGATATCTAGACCTCATGCTGCTCTGCTTCCGGTGAAGCTTATCTGGAAAGTCCCTTGCACACCCTAACGCCTTGAACATTGATATACTCAACAGCGCCACAGCCCGATATTGAACTATCAGCCCATATTTACAGACTCAAGAATACTCCCTAGGTCTTAAACATGGCGTTAAAAGAGGCATTCAATGCCTTAATGAGGGAACGCAGTAAGGTGATTGGTATTGATGGAGTTAGAGGCCGTTCTGGCTTCTATGGCTGCATTTCATATCTACCTGTGGCTGTTTTTCATTTTATGCAGTGTCACTTTTATATTGAACTGCTTTTCGGGAAAGACCTGTCAACCTGCCGGTAACTATATCGGCACATATCAAATCATGTTAATCTTGCGGCCTCCCCGGCTAAATTATATATGGATCAGCTTTCTTTTCTCCGGGCATTTCCAGATAAATTCAATGCTATCATTTCTCAGAGCACTCATACCTATCCCTAGCATCTTCGTTTACAAATCAGTACGTTGCTTCTTGGGCTGACAGCTCTTATAGATAACTCCAAGCAACTAATCATTTATCTGGATAGTCAATATGAAGCTCACTAGCATCATTTCAGTTTGTACCGTCATGTCATCGGTGTCTTCTCCCACGCTGGCATGGAGAATCACCGATTATGACTCGAATACCCTCCAGGAAGGTGGCAAACCTGAGCACGGCAAATGCTTCAACGAGATCAAAGGCCCAATCTTCGAGATCGACGACTGTACCCAGGGAAACTTTTTCAGGGGAAAGGATTGCACCGGCTATTTCACTGCCGTGTTCAACGGGCAGGCCTATTTCAGGATCCCTTCTGACAGGGTTAGCTTCCGGGTTTACTGCTCCGCATAGTAAGCCTCCTTCGGTCTTCTTAGGGTTAGGTATAGACATGCTTACATGGAATAGAGGCCAATATGATATGTTTATGATTTGGAGTCGGGTTGCTTCCGGAACTGTAGTTAGTGTTTAAAGGGAATATTAGCAGGTCGACTGCTTTGAAACTGTGTGGAGAGTGTTCTTCGCAATATAGCTGGCTCTACCAAGCCTGACTGGGGCGTGACTGTCTTGCACAAATACATTTATTTCAAATACGCCTCACAAGCTCCCTCAATGCCTCCTCACCGTAATTCGCCCATATGCTCAAATGCGTCTCATCCACGACCCTTAAAGCTGCTCGGCCACCGAGCCTTGCAGCTATCTGCACCCCATGGTTAAGTGGAACAGCAACGTCCTGTTTCCCATACCAAAGCTGCACAGGCAAGTCTGGACGTATATCTTCCACTCGAAAGCCAAAGTCCATGCACATCAGCCTGCCATCCTGTACTGCTGCGTCACTGCCTTGGGAAAAGCTTTGCCGACTTGTCCGTAGGAATAACCTCAGAGTACTTTCGTCCTTCATGATCTCACGGTCCTTTTCAGGCATGGACTTGGACTTCAACACCTCCTTTCGTAGTTTCTGGTATCGTTTCTCATCACTTAGGTCTAGGTTTGCTGCCAGCTGGCGTTTGAGATACCATCCAGTAGGCATGGGAAAGTAGCGGTATCCGAGAGTGAATCCTAGCCAGTTAGCCCAGCATGCGCCCTTCATACCGATGTCTGGAGGGCCGAGGCCACAGATGATCGAGACTGCTTTAAGTTTTTCTGGCGGTAGTGATGCAGCACAAGCGAGTGCATATGGCCCGCCTCCAGAAATCCCCTGTCGATTTTTGTCAATTTTGTGATGTTCTTGAAGCAGCGTTCTGAGATAAATAATCCTTACCAGTACTCCATATTTATCCAGCTTGAGATGGTTTGCAAGCTCTTCCAGATCCTTTGGGTGGTCAAGAAGTGACCGACCTGCATGAGGCGAGCTCCAGCCAATACCAGGCCGATCAGTAGCAATTATGCGAGCTCCCAGCTCCCGGGCAAGATCTTCAAAGCATGCAGCTTCAGTGCGAGCTCCCGGCAGGCCATGTAGATAAAAGATAGGCTTCCCCGTCAACAATCCATACTGCGCATATCCAAGTTTCCGGCCATCCGGCAGGGTTAACGCATCTGAACTGTCGTCATCGAGAGGAAATCGGCAGCTTGGAGCTTCAGATGCATCTGTGGTATTATCGTCTGGGTCGCTCTGGGTATTTGATATAAAGCGACGCAGTATTCGATGCAGAAAAGCTCGCAGCTTTACTAGACACATGACAGGTATAACAAGGCGAGTCGAGAAGATGCCCTCATATGTTATAAGAAGTAGACGAGTACTTCTTATACCTCTGAAGGATCAGTCCATGGTGCAGGAATCCTTCAGGCCTGTCCTGGCCATCGCCAGGCTGGGTATCATCAGGCATCTCAGCACCGGGAGAACCGCCTCAGACGCACCCCTGCGATAGCCAGCCATCACCGTAGAGATCAAAACGCCAGAATCACCCATGTCAGAGAATATAGACGGCCTAGTCAGCCCTGAGACGCGGCATAGCAGCTATATCGATGGCTCGCTATATTGCAGCAGACCCAGCGCCGCACATGACAGGGATCACTTGACGACGTCACAGCCTCGCTCGCAGTCAAGGAAGCCGGCGAAGACGAACAATTTGCGATGCGACTTGCGACCAGCGACTCCCGCCAGCACTCGGAGCCCTCCTGTGCCTCGTCGCCCTGCCCGATCGATGCTCGACATGCGCTGACCGGATAACACAGCGAGAGAGTTGTTGATCTTGGACGAGAAGATGGCGTACGACGGATACCGCGCCTCGTTCGACCCCCCGGGGTTCAATCCCAACGCCAGCGCCAGCAACAGCTACACCAGCAGCAGCAACAACAACATCAACAACAACAACGGCGGCGGCAGCAGCAGCGCCAATATCAGCAACACCAAGCCATCGAACGCACCGTATCCCGGCTATCTGCAGCCATCGTACGGAGAGTATCCTGTCGAGCAAGACCCGTCTTCCCATCCGCCGCCTCCCCCTCCTCCTCCTCCTCCTCCGCCACCCCAGCAGCAGCAGCAGCAGCAGCAACCACAGCAAGTGCCATATCCTGCGGCATCGGCAGCACCAGGACAGGGAGTGGAATATGCTGAACAGGCGACGTACTATCCTCCGCCCGTTGGGCCTCCTCCCCAGGCTGCAGACGCCCTGAAGCAGCCGTTTTCACGCACGTCGTCGCAGCCAGAACCGCCAACGCCTCGGGTACCTGACCCAAACTATCCGTCAACTGATCTGATAGCCCAGGTCACGGCAGCAGTGATACAGCAGCTCCGGGCGCCAGGCCCAGGGAACGCCCCTCCGCCTCCGTCTCATCCCTCGCAGCAGCAGGCGCAGCAACAGACGGTCTATCAGCCTCCAACACCTGCTCTATCGCAGTCAAGCTACAACAGGCAGAGCCCTAACCCGAACTCTCTCAGTCCTCCTATCGCCACAAGCCCATATGGACCGCCTCAGCCTTCTATACCGGGGCAGCCTGATCTTTCTAATGCGCCGGCTCAGTCGTCTTACCCTCCTATCTCGTCTAGGGTTGATGGGAGCGCGTACAACGGCCCTCAGGCGCAAAATCCTGCTGATAACGGCCAGCACCAAACCACATCCCCCGGTGTAGATAGAACGAGACGATCATCTATCGGGTCGTTTAACGGTGGCCGGAATGGCACCAATCCTTCCAAGGGCCCATCTAGACACTCAACTGTCACAAACGAGGCTATTTCTGAGAAGCCATGGGGAACCCTCTTTGATAAGGATGATATGCCTACCAGCAGAGCAGGACAGCTCCTGCGAGGTATTGCTCTTCATATGGTATGAAACTCCCTCTCTGATATATGGAACTCGTTTGCACGATATCTAACTAGTCATAGATTGAGACCTATCCTCCTGGTAATACCCTGGTTATCACGCCAGAGAAGTTGCAGAAATTCTATCGTGATCACAGGGTATCTTCAGACTCATATCCATGGCAAGGTACGGCTCCACTCGTGTATTTCCCTTCATACCAAAGCTAACCATGCATAGATATCTTTGATAACCGGACATCATCCATCTCTCGCCTTTTCCGATCTTTGAGCATTGAACACCACCTCGTCCAGGACCAACTTGACGAACGCCCTGATATCCCAGGCCTAACTCCACGTGGTTTCGAGCGCTGGATGTCCATGATGATCCAAGCACACCCAGAGCGGGAATTTGAGCGTGTTCAAAATATTGTGCAGAACATATCCATCACTAACCCGGATGATAGGATGGAGAGATTCCCAAAAGAGCTACGAAGGAAACTTTTCCCGCAGTTGCCTGACTATGATATCAAGGAGACCCTTGACAGATGGATAACTACACATTGCCATGTCGAATTAACGCAAGGCATGCTTGGAGGGCCTCCCATGCGCCAACCCCGAGCCAAATCAACTGTGGACAATACATCGACCGGCATTCCCTCACGGCCAGCAAGCACTGACGTCCGCCCCAGGCAGTTCCCACCGGCTGCAACTGTCGAAGACGCAATTGATGAAGATGACCATGTCATCGTTGCTAGCGCCGATGTCGCTGATGCTGATGCTGCAGCACAACCAGTGCAGCCCATTGAGCGGGAACGGAAACCTTACAGCATGCCAGGAGGGACCAAAGGGTATCGAGAAGATACCAGTCCACACCCTACCGCCTCTACCTCCCGTCATCCAGACTCGAACTCAGGAGTAAGCTTTGGCAAAAAGCATGTGGTGGTTTATTCGGGTGACGATGACGAAGACTTTTCGAGCCCTCGCGACGATGCCAACTCCAAGTACTCTTCCTCCCATCACGGGAACACGCATCCACAATCTCATGCTCATACCCATCCACATCAGCATAGCCATCCCCATACTCACGATGACTCCAAGCGGCATCATGGACGGGACAAGGATAGAGATAGAGACAGAGACAGAGATCTAGACTGGGACGGGGACAAAAGCCGTCGTCGAACCTCATGGGGCAGTGATGAGGATTTCTATCGCAACCCCGTGTCAGATAGAGACAGAGGCAGAAAAAGAACGGAGAGTCGAACCCGTTTCTCTGATTATGACAAGTTTTGGGAATATCGTTGAATTGATTTGTATGTATTTATGTCGGACCAGTGCCGTTAATGGGCGGAAGCAATGTTGGGGTCTTTCCTTTCTAGTGTATTTCCATAGTTTCGACAAAAATAATAAAAATGAAATGAAAAGTTGTTCATCTTTTCCCACTTTTCCTAAACCGAGCACTAACCTCCCTACTACTCTCAGCATACTTTCTCCTCACCTCTTCCTCCCTCTGATACCTCCTGACAATTCGCTCATAATCCTTCTCCTCCCTCTCCGCTCTTCTCCTTGCCCTTCTTTCCTTCTCATGCTCTTTAGCCTTGGACCGCTTCCTCTTCTTTTCCTCCAGTCCTGCCCCTTCAATCCTCAACTGTTCTACCTGCTCCGGGGTCAAATACCACGGCACAGAAAGTACATCAACCAAAAACTGCGTCCGCTCTTCCCAGAACCGCATCTCCCCAGCCATATCAGGCAGAAGCACGAAACGCTCTAGATGGAGCTGTTTTATATTGCGGAACTTTATCACTGTTCCTTTAAACTTAGCTATTACGCCAGGAACGAGTGACTTGATGTCCAACGCCTCTTTGGTGGTAGATGTGATGTATTCGGAGACTCGTGTTGTGCCTGCAGCTGCTACGGCTGCACCAGTCTTAGCTTTAACTGGCTGGGAGTCCGGTAGTTCAACTTGTCTTTTTGAGCATACTATTTCAATATTTGACCCTGAGCTGTCGTCTAGTGTCAATATTGTTCTTCGAATATGCTCCTCACGAGAGACGATCACACCCGCCAGACAGATGAATTGGATGGGGTGGTTTTTGTAAAAATATATATTTTGCCCTATTGAGATGTGTTAGCCCTTTACACTCGTAGCCTTTATTGTACCGTGTACTTCTGTTTATAATACCTTCGTATCCACTGCGACGTGTTAGACGATGGACATTTACGGCGCTCAGTTTCACCCATGTGAAGTGAGTCGGCGATGCTTTATAGCAGTAGGCTGGATAGAACGTGAGGTCGTCAGGGGGTATAAGTTCTTTCTTGGGATTATTTTGGACGCCATGCGCCATTTGGCCATTATCGCGACGTGATATGGCGTAGTACTGTTAAAAGTTCCGTATATAACTAGATGTAGCGCTTCAGTGTTATTGGAATGCATGTTATATTTTAGCCGAAAGGACTAACTAGTTCGCGTTTTAAGTTCGCGTCTGGCGCTTAATTTTAGTTAGCGCGCTTCCACGACCACACCACCGAACGAACATAATCCCTTTCTGGATACACGTTGATTGTACGTCAAAATTTATACACGCATTCCAGGCACTACGGAAAAGAATAAGCCATGTTGGGTGCCAAATATACCATATAAAGACCATGCAGACGGGATGGGTGGCCATCGTGCGGACAAATGGCCCGCCAGGTCAATGACCTTGCAACAAGCATCATCGCCTAGAACTATACCCTCCGTGCATGCATATTACATCTTGTGCCATTACGGCACAGTGGAAGGCACAGTTGCATGACTTTGACTTCCAGTTACCAGATGCCCTGCCAAAGTGACCGGGGAGCCGGATAGCCTTGGCGGAAAAACAGTGAAGGCAGTGAAAGTGATGGATGCAACAGTAGTAGCGAATACAAAAAAACATACATTGCAGTTTTCCCCTCCAAGAACCGAAGTGCATGCTAGAACAACTTACGCGGATGATTTCATCTCTCTAAACCAGCACGCTCAAAACTATAACCCTATTAATTCCTAATCAGGGCCAAACACTTCAAGACAGATGACCCCGAAAGTGTTGCAGAGATAGCGGGAAGCATCCAAGAGTAAGTGAGAGGGTACAGCACTTTGGGGCCAAACCACGTTAAGAAATCCGAAGGCCAACGATGAGACGGATGAACGGCAGAAAGAGGCAACTGGCCATATACCCAAGCGGTAAATGAGGAGCCACCTGCGCGGTTTAGAAAGCCCGGCGACCGATATCATATACGAAAAATTACCAAAGCAGAGAGCATTTTCGCATCCTTTCATCACATTCTCTCAGCCATATTCAAGATAGCTGACACAGGGATAAGACCCAGGCGCAGTCCTTGCAAATGCTATTAAAACGGCCAGATTGATAGGAGATCCCAATACCCTCATAGGTCATGGTATCAGAGGGGAGATCCTCAAGATCCTCTGTCATCCCAACCCTGCCGCTGCCGCAAAAGCTCGCCAAAAGAGACGAAAGAAAGCGGGAGGAAGCAGAACGAGAGGAAGGGGGAGGCAGCGTTGACATCACCTATAGATACCGACTAACTTGTACCTGTTATGGTCCGTGTGGGTGAGTCATCTAACTATGATACTTGAGACTGAGATATCAAGGGAAACCATTGAGGCTGAAATATTTATATAGATACCGTGCATCGGTTCAAAGAAATATGAAGAGTAGTCGGGGGCACCTCCACGATGTCACCATTGACGCCGCCCACACCCCTATAAATCAATATTCCTCTGCTCAGTATGGGGTAACTAACCTGGTGCTCCCTATAGTTACCAACATAGTGCCCTCTTACATTTTGACGATGCCAGCGATACCAAGATGAGTGAGAAGAGGCAGCAGGAGGAACAGAAAGACTATGGGTAGGTTGGCGGTAAAGTCGCCACCTGTTGCATAACATATCCTGTCTTTTGTGCCGCCAGAATACCCATGGTGGTATGTTATACGCATAAGCGTACCTGTTGATCCTCTGCCCATTTATCTTCTAGATCCTTGATGAGCTCATGGACGAATCATATGCAGTTATACTTGATCTCATTCGCCCAGGTATCCCCGATCCTGGTGCAGCCCTGTGCATTATTCAAGCCATAGACCTAGACTCAATTACCCAAAGGGGCCCCGCAAGCCAATGCCGGACTTCATGTCACCATTCCTTGATGGGACTGATGAACAGATCCGAACTTGGGTGAAAAGGCGTGCGAGCGCCAGCGTGAGATTTTTGCGATGAGAACATATACAATCCTTGACCAAGATTTAATCGGATGGGATATCTGGGTGTTGGGGAAGACGATGAAGATCAACGGATGATCTACGAGTGATTCTAAGCTGAGTTGCAGTCAAGGATTGCGTTGCACAAAACTGTGATTAGCTGGAACGAAGCAGGTACCACCAGAATATAGTACATACGAGATATATAGCCGCAAGGCAATTGATTAGAGAGAGCAGACGCTCGAAGGACCCCAGGTGTGAAATGTTGTGGGAATAGTACGGATACCTTTGAATGTAAAGAAGCTGGCTGAGTCTGATACCAGTCAGTGCGTGAATTAAGGCACCCATCGTAACACCCCCAGAGAGCGGCAAACCAGATGTGTTTGCGGAGTCCACCGTGTCAGCGAAGCAACAAATGAGCCACACATTGGAAACTTACGTAGGAGCTTGGTTTGTGGCTCGTTGGCCGAACTGTAGAGATCGAAATACTCCGTAGTGGTCGCTGGAAGGTTTTCAGCTGGACTTGGCGTTCCCCACAAGGAGCGATTTTGCTTATATAAGCCAACCTTATTCTGAGGACGGGCCGCGGGCGGGCTAAGTGTTAATCACGTGTTTGTGGGTGAGCTCCAGCGGACATCGCAGCGCCAATATTATATTAACTCAAGAATAAGCAAGAAAGCGGAGCTTGTCGTCTGATGCTAAGCGAGATGGAACAGGAGGTGGCGGCGGAGCAACTGTTCCAACATTTTTCGCCTTTCAAAGAAAACGAAGAATACAAGGCGGGGTACGGAGTAAGAAGCCATGAGATGGCCTCAAGAGAGCAAACTGGAATATGTCTTCAGCCGGCATTCCCAACACTTTATGCCTGGCAAACAAAAGACCGTCGTCTAATATTTTGCATGCAGCATCATACCCGCATCAGACATGTTTGCTTCAAATACAACTAACACCCAGTACGCTATAGTATAAGCTAGCATAAGCTAGCCGCCTATCTATGCCAATTTGCATAAGTAGGGCGCTATTCCAGAGCATCATGCCTGTTTTATTTGCTTGTATACCAAATCTGATGCCTGAAAGGAGTTGTTTGCCTGGATGCATCAATCGCTCTACCGAAGCAGTCTGGAAATATGGTATGCTCAGTTTATAAGTTGGGTTATTTCCCTGCCTTATTCTTCTTCCCACCAATACCGCTTCCATTGCTCCACGTATACCATGGCGCTCCTTCAAGTTTGGTTCTCCCTAATTCTGCTTCATGCAAGCCTCTCAGCAACATTTCCTTATCCCAACGCCACTCGACCACTGTCTGGTCGAGATGTATCTATAAGCGGGAATCGATATTATCCACAAACACCCACGCGGAACCCAACATGCAATCAATCAGATTATGAAAAAGTTGACTGCCCTGCTCCGTCTATCTGCTACCATCAAAGAGGCGGTGCGCCAGCCTGCTGCCCTCCAGATACAAACTGCGATCCACCATGGATGAGAGGCCCTTCGCCTCCGATCCAGACCCCTATGCCGTCCCAGTCGGGCTCAACTTCAGAGTCGAACCAGGCCAATGGAAGCGGGAATTCGGGTGTGGGCGTCAGTGGTAGCTCACGGGCAGAAAACCACAATTCGAACAACTTGAACGTGAGCGTAAGAAATGGTGGGACCGCAATGTTCAAAAGAAAATTCGCAGAGTTATTATCTAGACCGGTCCTGACAGTGGCGGTCCTCATTATGTTGTAAGAAGCACGGAAGTTTAATAAATTAACACATTTCAAACTGAACGCAAAGACTGGTCTATCCTCCCTCCATCATTCTTTTTTTCGGATTCCTTGGGATGGGCTCTCCCCTGCGTGCCTCTTCCTCAGCTCTATCAACCAAGACAGTCTGATCCGCTTCATCTACCCTTGAGCTATGTTTCTCCTGCTTTTCGTGCCCAGCCATTGCAATCTCTAATATTTGATCTTCCATCCCCTCGATAAGGTTCCATTGAACACCAGCCTCATCAAGCTTCTTACAGCCTTGGGACTGGCCGACGAAAGTTCCGGGCTCCTTCACGCCGAAATATACCCTGTCAACACCGTTTTTCCCATCTTTCCTTGTTTCGATGATACGGTCCACACAAGGCTTGTTACCGGAAAGTCTTTTCGCACATGGCTCCATGGTAACGTATAGCTCTATCTGAGCCTCGCTATCTCCTCTGCCTCGCTTCTTTTCTAGAATTTCTCCAAGATCCTCCTCAGCCACACCATAATGGGAGGCAAGCTTTGCAAAACAGCACTGTTCTGCGTGGGTGTTTCCGCGTAGCTCTAGAGTGTACCCTGTTGACAGTATTGTTTCCTTAAGCTCCGCGGTATCGCTGCTGGGATAGATACGAAGAAGCAGGATGGCCCCCACGCGAAAGTTGGTTGGTTTAGGAGGCGACTGGGACGCTAATTCTAGACACTGGGATAGATAATGGAGATGCGTTGATAGCGGTACCGTCCTAGGGGAAGACATTGTTGTTGGTTATACCTCGCCATTCAGTAGCAAGCCTGGTGTTGATCTTCTCTTTTCGTTTCCCGCTGAGAGACCTACTTATGACGTGACGAGCCGTATGATGACAAAGCAGGCACGTGAAAATTTAGAGTTCGACAAATGGGCCAAAACAAAAACTCAAATTGTTTAATCTGAGAACAACAAGCGACCTCATAAAAATTATACTCTCGTGAGTACCAACCAAAGGGCTATATGCCAGTCCATAAGGGTATAGATTTAACAACACTGTTATATTCCTAATCGCCCTCAAGAGACTTTACAATGCCAAATGCCCAAGAATACCGTCCCAATTCGGATAACACAACTCCCGACTAAACCCTGGCCACCATTCCGACATCAAAGCCTGGTGCTTGTTTAAAGTAATACCCGCGTTGATTGGTTAAGATCCTCCTCTTAGAACCCTCCACCTCGAGCGTAAAATCACAGTTGAAATGCGTGTGCCCAAAGGCCCAAAAACATACATTCGGGCTCTTCCAACACTCCTCGTCTGTCAAATCCGTTGCAAACCCTCCACTGATAGGACTATCTATATGTATAGGGCCGGTGGCTCTCCCATCGGCGGAAAGGGGCCCATGATGGGTGAAAATGACAATTTTTCTTCCAGGCTCCGAGGACGTGATGGATGTAACTTGTTCATTCAGCCATGCCAGATCACCAGCATGAGCAATGTTATGATCCGGTACCGACCAGTTATTAATTCGAAAGAAGTCGTTCAGTCCCATACCAACAGCGGCCTCTTGCTGGGCAGGAATATGCGAGTATAGCGTGCACCCCAGAACTGTAATATCAGCGGTTACATCGTATCTTGTGCGATCTAAGAAGACAAATGTTCCGAGCCCTTCATCCTTTCGCAGGCTAACCTTGAGCGAAAAGTTGGTAATTTGTTTCCTTGACTCTTCCCAGCTAGAGTTATACGGCTCATGATTCCCCATCAGGAAGAAGACAGTCTGGAACCACCGAAGTTGGGTTTCGATGAAGGAGAAGAACCCCTTGTCGCGGACATTGCCTATGTCGCCTAGCAGAGCGAGATAGGGGGCTTTTGGTGGGGCGGAGAAGAGATCATAAGCCGAAGGAGATTCCAAGTGCAAGTCTGAGAGTATCTGAATATCCATGGTGACGGCTTGTAGAGCATCGGTGATTGAAGCGGAGGCTCTGGATGAGCGTGGTGATATAAGTAAGTAGTTGAAAAGGAGCTCATTGGTGTTTTTATAACTAACTAGCTAACTTTATGGCGTTAACTAGTGTTATAGTTCCACGTTTAGACAAGAAATTGTTGGTCCACAATGTCAGGAATCCCTAAGGTCAAACAACTAGAGGACTCAAGCTGGTGGACCTGAGAGCAGTCGCATGTCATTTCTCTCTGATGTCATGCATTAACTAGTTATTAGGGCTATTTTTCTCAAATTCCCAAAGAAAAAAAAATAAAGAGTACGCGTCCTTTGGGCATAACTGCTGGTTGCTACTACGTCTAGCCAAACTTCCAGAGACCCTGAGGTCTTAAGGTACTCAAGTCCCGGCTATAAGCCTGTTCTTCCTTGGGACCATCTATTCCTGTCAGTCTCTCCCACAGCCACCCCCAATTATACCATTACTCTTATTCGCCAGCCATCGCTTCTAGTCCAGGGCGTTTAGGTTCTTTGGTATCCTGTGCCTGACACTTGTTATTAGTTTTTACCCCTGTTGACGACCACAACTCCTTAATTCGTTAACGCATCTAGCCAACTCCTGCAGTAAGACTGTTACTTCAATGTGCCCATGTTTTCGCTACAAGAGAACAACTGTCACTAGGTTCTCCTCTATACTGCATACTTTTTATTGATACCGTATCCTTTTTTATTGTAGGGGCCTTCAATGATCCAAAGAGCCATCCAGCTATATAAGCTGGCATCTTTGCATACCTCCACCCACACTTTAGGAGTATGCATACGAAACTGGGAACTTTTACCCTCGGATAACCATGGTCTGATTTGGCCACTTTCGACATCTATCCTCGGATTCAAACAAATGGGGGCGTCTTGCCACTTCCCGAAAGTCCGGGCTGACTGCTGCATGCATATACGATCTGATACCACTGTTGAATTTCTCAGGCTGGTAGCGGGTAATTCTTCGGTTTCAAGAGTATGCCAACATATGTGATGTCGAGTTGTATGTATCACATGGATGCTCTGGAGGAGTGCAGACCTCAAGTATGAAGCTTCAATCACACTTTAGGCAGGCTTCAAGCTGTTATTGTAAGTCGATATAAGTGCAGTGCAGGGATTTTTGACCAGTCACTCATTGATGGCTTGGGGAACGGCAGGATGATGGCACGGTGTCAATATAGAGCTTCGACATGCTGCTACTGGTGTGGGAGCAACTCTGGCGCAGCTGGCTGGACACAAACCCCCCACTATACCCGATCATTAATTCCTTGTTAAGGACAACGAGGTAGAACTGGGAAGATTTCTAGGTCTGCCTCAGCTTATCATAAAAGGTATATATAGGGTGGTAGACACTTCTGATGTTGGAGGAAATATCCAATTGTTCACACCTCAGAGTAACGGAGGCTAACCTTTCTAACGACTACATCCTACACCCTTTCTCATCACTCTACTCAACCTAGCTCCGACGCTGATTCAAAGGAAAATATGGACCTCAGAAACTTGTTCTACAATGTTTACTTGTTGTTATTTTTCTTTATTTTTTACTCCCCAGCAATAGCCCAAGATCAGCCTACGTTCCCAGAACTTGAGGATGCTGCCCGAGCTGCGATCAAAGAAGTACAAGAGAAGTTCCCGGAATTTTCTGACACATATATGACCGTTATCGGCGGCCTGGGTGTCTGGAAACATCTTCCTAAGGGACGACGAACGATGGTGAGAAGAAGATACTATATATGTTTATATATTGCTGAGATCTCTCATTCTAAGATGTTAGTTATAGGACGTTGATTTACTGACCTCTATTCCTGGAGCGCCGCAAACTGTGAAGCAGAAGCTGCTCGGTGTCCCAGGAAGCCCCTTTACCCAGCGGTCACAGTACTTTTTGTGGAGGCACCCTGATGGAAAGAATATTCAGGTAGACTTTCCACCATCATGGCAGGTATTTTTAGCCCTAATATTGCTGCAGCCTTCTACAATCACTATTCAAGCCATTCTAACACCCGACTGAAGTCTCCCTTTACGCCTTCTGGAGCCAGGCGCCTCGGCCAAGTCAGACTGCCCGAGCTTCCGTACGCAACTCCCGAAGATCTACTGGCCTTGAAAATCAATAGCTCTGGGCTGCGCGCTACGATCGAAAAAAGAAGGGTGGATGCCGCAGATGCCGATGCTCTTGCTGAGATGCTTCTGAGCAGGGGGCCCATTGTCCTCACTCCCGAGCAGAGAAGGGCCGCCCAAGGTGGACTTGAAGATCTGCTAAAGTATAGCACCAAAGATGAGGCGTGGTGGAGAAGGGCCCTGCAGCTCTAAGGGATATACAGTGTTTGTCTTGAGCCATCGGCCGTCTTTTTATTGGAGGCTCAACGTGTCACTCTCTTGCACGAAGCTGGCAGCGCTTACTAGGCCCGCTGGTATTCGATGGGATATAAGCATCTATTTGTTTAAATATTCTCTCCTTAAGTTCTTTTCCTTCCTTATTGGGTAAAATGGTTCATCAAACTTGATTTGATTTGATGTCCATTTGACTGTGTCGGATTAACTATAACATTCATTTTATCAACTTTCTCTTTGCTTTCGTCTCTATTGAACATCCTGCATGAGCTGCTCTTTTATCTCCGGCCTAGTACTATAGGGTCAAGGGTTAGGCCTCTTAACATTTGGGAGGAGATTGTGATAGGGGATCAGAGTAGCCAAACCTAGCAAGCTCATTAGTTACTCGCAATTGGTGGATAGTAGCGCCGGATGTGCTGAATAATAGACCTTCCGCGTTTATCTATTTTGAGTTTCGAGAGCCAGTGCGGCTCTATCCAGTAACGAATATTTTAGATTCATTCATCCAACTCCGCGCTTCTACCGATACTCCTCAATACGCTCATCCTTCTACCAGACTTCGGACTCTGCTAAGCGGGATATCAGTAATAAGTTAAGATACCGCGGAGATGGCCCCCGCACCACCAAGTTCTACGCTCCAGGTCTCAAACTTTTCACCAGCAGAGTTATCCTACCTTCACACCTCACTCTCGTATCCCAAAAACCCAATTCGACCAGATGGCCGCTCAGCAACACAATTTCGGCCATTAACAGCAGAAACAAACATAGTACCGAATGCGAATGGTAGCGCGCGCATAGGATTTGCCGACGGAACACAAGCAATTGTGGGAGTTAAAGCGGAAGTAGAGAAGACAGTGTTTGTGAGCACACTGGAGCAGAGCACGGCGCAGGAGCACGAGGGCGAAGATGAAGATAAAGAGTCAAGTGGAGGGAAGATAAAAGTGTCGGGATCCGGCTCGTGGGTCGAGATGTCCATTGAGATTCCGGACTTGAGAGATGATGACCCGTTACCTGTATTTTTGGCAGAGATGATGAGGGAGGGCCTCATACAGTCTGGATCCGGATCATTAGCGGAATCAGGTGGTTTAAAGGAGAGGCTGGTTATCAACCAGGGCTGGCATTGGAGGATCTACGTTGACGTGAGTTCCTTGCCACAAGCATATTGTGAGCTACAGTCTACTAATGTGTTCAGATATTACTTCTATCCCCGCCGCTATCATACCCTCTACCGTTGCTATCTCTAACGACACATCTCGCACTACTATCTACCAAGCTCCCGCGGCTAATATCAAAAGACGAAGAAGACCCAATGTTTGACGACGATTGGGACGCAGCTGAATACTTATACCCTCGTAAAACGTCTAAAACCTCTCCTACACAGCATATATTCCGCCCGCCGATATCTCTTCTAGTTATTTCCGTTGGACAAAATGTGATATTTGATCCAAGTAGAGAGGAAATTGCTGTAGCTGACTCTGTCTTCTGTGTCTCTGTTGCTCGAGATGAGAACAAACAGACAACAGGTCGCGGGGGCTTAAAACTACTTGCTATCCGAACAATTGATCCACCAGCCCGTATGACACATCCTGGAGTACCGGATGCCATTAATGCAGCTACGATAGGACTCACGGCTGCCGACACTAGCAACTTTTCTGCGAGTACTGAGAGTGAGGGGGTTTGGACTCCTCGCCGCGGTGGAGTGAAGAGGGAAGTTGTTTCAAGGATTGCCAAGTTGGTTCTTCAACCTGGCGGTGTGGGTGATGAGGTCATGGAGGGACTGGAGATGGTGGATGTTGACTGAATAGAGTGTGAGAAAAGGGATATAACTATTACTCCTGCACGAGGCAATTGTTTAAACACGCCAGCCACAGAATGGCTTGCCAGAGACTTCTGCGCTAGGCCCGGTGTCAACAACCTGTGAGCAGATTGACGAGGCTCCGTTGGACAACAGCCACCATCCGATAGCAGCTCTACGGTAGCAGGAAGTACATGCACCAGGCCTCAAGTGAGCATGAATACATGACATTCTACAAACGAATCAACAGAATCTAATCCTCCAAAAAACGCTTATCGTAACATAGTATACACTAGGGAAATTCAAGTAACCCCTATCTCCCAATAAAAAAGTTAAATGGGCTCTCTAATTTCTCACCAGATGCCCAGCCATCTCTTTGGCTTTCTCATTGGTGCAGTCCCCTCTGAACTCACGCTCTGGACGTTATCCGCGCCCTCTACCACAGCATTCTCAGCCCCTTCAGCAGCCTGCGCATCATCCGCCTTCACTCTATCATCTTCTTCCAGCCCATGGGCAATACGGTACTCCTTGCGTTTATCAATGTCATCCGAAATCCGCTTCCGCTTCTCCTTTGATATCACCGTAGTATGCTCGGCGTGCATCTTCATCACTGTAAAGAATTGAGATATAGTACTCATTGGGCTCGAGAATAGCTGAGACCAGCCTGGTAATAGATGTGCGTATGGAGATGTGCGTTTAAAGTTCGTCGACCAAGTGAAATATGCAAGGGAGAAAAGGACGCTCTGTTCAACACCGTTAAGATTTTGATGTGACTTGATAGATTCACGCTAGTGCTTACCATCGATATCCAGACATGAATACCCTTGTTGGTGAGAAACTTAAATAGCACTGTACCCTCCGGAGGGAACATGTTGGGGTATCTCTTCGTCTTGCGATCTTCTATCTCCTTTGCGGTTGGAGGAGGGCCGGGGTAGTTCCTGGGTGACTTGTTGGGATTAACCACTCGGCGAGCGGGGTGGGATGGAGGGCGAAATTTGTCTGGTTTCTCCAGCACTCTGGGCTTTGTAGGAGCAGCATGAGAGGCTGAGGAAGACGAGAAGTTTGCATAACGGCGGAGCGTTCTTCGTGGTGTGGTTCGGAGATATTGCAGTGAGGACTGAGAGAGACCTCCTCGCGGGAGGAGAAAGGACGGTATGCTTGATGAAGCAGCCATTGTGCCGCCTCCGTTACTCCCCGCTGCTAGTTTGAAGAGATTCTATCTTCTATCCTGCTCTTCTTTTCTACTTCGTCGCTGTCATGAAAGTTGAGATTTATATATCACGTGATATGTTTTTGACTTTTGAGGCTCCCTTTAATCTGATTGGTTGATCATTTGATGTCGAGACAGCAGTTGAAGCCACTATGAATAAAGATGGATTCCAGTTCAATACCGATGGTCTACGCCTATTGTTTAACTAGACTCTGCTGATAGCAATTTAACAGTTGCTGGCAAAGTACTTCAACCTAGTTGCACTTTGCTCCTAGTATGGCCACCTCGCTTGTTCTCTCTTCTCGCCCATGCCATTATTACTATCCCGTATTAACTATCAAGTATATCCTTTCGCTCTCCATCCGTATCATCATCTAGCCTCCCCGGCCCCTTTTTACACAGCATCATCGCCTCCTTACCGTCCCTTACTCAGGTCTATTCAGTCACGTGAAGGATAAACTTCGGCCCGAGTCTCTCCGGCTTTTCCCGGTAACTGCCAAGCCCGTGACTAATACAGCTCTCTGATTGGCTATTCTTCGGTCTTAACCAATCAGCGTCTCCCTAAACCCGCGCTCCTCCGTCATCTGGCCAAAACACGTGCTTTTTCTTTTTCTACGTCAAGAAATAAAACTTTTCAACTTTTTTTGCTTCGAATTCAACTTTTCTTCCTTCCATCAATCCGCTGCATTTATCAAACACACGACTCTATATACCCTCAATCGACGTCTTTTGGACTATACCGAACCTTCGTTTCCGTCTCGCACACATACTCTGACACAATGGCCAAGGGTGCTGATTCTTTCTCTGCTGGTAAGTTGTTGGATTGAGCTGGCTCTAAGCAAAAGGACAGCAAAGGAGAGCTCGGTGCAGCTTGGAGAACAATAGTGGAGATGCCGGATAGCGATAGGAATAATTGGGATGGACATAATGACCTGGTTGTTACTTCACTCTGCTTGTTTGCTGCTGCTGTAGCTCCAGAGTGAAGGATAAAGGCAAGGGCTAGTTTACAGCCAGACAGTCCCATGCATGAGTCCCTATCCTATCTCTCTGTCCTACTGATATCAAAGTCAGTAAGGCTTATCAACACCTACCTGGCATCTTGTTATTCTCTCTGAGCTGCACTGTCTATCTCACTCTCTTACATGCTATCTGTTATCTGTTGCTTCTTATAACGCTCATCATGTGTGCAACATGCTCTATCTGGGCGCTGTCAGTTATTGATAGCCTTGTTGAAGATGAAAAGCGCAGAGAGCAGCAGAAACCACAGGAGCTTTTGAAAGAGATGGATAAAGCTAACAAACCTGCCCGTCTTCCAGGTGATGCCTCCAAGGGTGCTGGTCTCTTCAAGGTCAGTAAAAAGCACCTCAATATTTGCTTTACTTCTTCCCCAGCTAACATGTCTCTAGACCCGCTGTGCTTCCTGCCACACCCTAGAAGATGGCGGCGCCAACAAGGTCGGCCCCAACCTTTATGGCCTCTTCGGGCGCAAGTCCGGCCAGGTCGAGGGTTTCTCCTACACCGACGCCAACAAGCAGAAAGGTGTCACCTGGGACGAAAATACTCTCGTAAGTTTACCTCGCCTTTTAACCAGCAAGCGGTATTCTAATCTTTTCATAGTTCGAGTACCTCGAGAACCCAAAGAAGTACATCCCCGGTACCAAGATGGCCTTTGGTGGTCTCAAGAAGGCCAAGGACCGCAACGACCTCATCACGTATGTTCAGTCTGCCCCATTATTTTTGATGGTAATGCATCTAACAATCGCACAGCTTCCTCAAAGAGAACACCAAATAAACATTTCAACCCGCCTTCTCTCCATGACACACCAACCCACCTGTACCATCTCACTCTTCCGTATACTATCTCCGCCTAATATTCCACTGTTTCTCTACCATTCCTTACCTTCGCCCACACAACAACGGAATGGACGAATTATGAGGACCCAGGAAAAAAATAGAAGGTGGCATGTACCAATAATACCAAAAGAACATTTTCTTCCCACTTAGATGTTACTCCTTTTCTTCGTCTTGTGTTTTTATTGTTATGTTGTTGTTTCATAGTACTGTACCTCTGATAGACCAAGGGAATCTTGTTTCTCTGACTCCCGTTCTCTCCCACCAACCTGTAACATGTCTCCTTTTGATGTCGTGTCCTGCTACTCGAGGGTCACCTTACGATAAAATGAATATATAGTCTCCGCTCTCAGTTCATTATTAATCAGTACATTCTGCTTTCTATCCTGAATAAACGGTACCTTACGAGCCGTACTGGTATGTTATAGCTAGCGGTACAATCATAGGTTATTGAATAGAAAGAGCTCCCACCCTTAAAACTTCAATGTTATGTGCATAATTCTCTATTAATCATCTCTAGCAAACCAATAATGATTTAAAGCAATGGGTCCAACCCGGAGTTTGCTTGCTTGAAGACGCAGGTTGTACTCCGTACCCACAGCCTATATTGGATGGTGATGCCATTAGAGTATTTAAGGTTATTTCAACCACAGTCTTTCAACTCCAACATAAACCAACAACTCCAGGCCGTGGAAGACACCTGTGATATCGGACAAGACTCCAAGATATTAATGTGATGCACATATGTCTCTTCCTCAGGATGCTGAGATGGAGACGGCCAAGAGAAAGACAATCTGAGTATCAGCGTAAAGTGCGGAGCGAGAGCCACCCTGGCAGTCAAGGCCCAAGAATATCAACAGACCTGAGATGATACATAAAGATCTTATACCCGTCGAACAAGAAGATCGTTGTCGCTTCTATGTTGACCTTACTGCGTACGCGCAGCCTGGGGTATGCTCACCTACTGCGAAAGTCAAGCCGATAGCAGACGTTATTCAACAGAATCTCGACAAAAGTCTTATCCTACCGGTCAACCGGGATGCTGACGCATCAACGACTCCCGGTTTTTTGCCGCTAGACAGTGGAGGATAGCCAGCTCAGGCTTGGTCTGAGGAGAGGTCATATGATACTTGTACATGGCTCTAGCGGTGCTGGGTGTGGATATCAGAAAATGGCTCCCCTCATGCTCTCTCACGGTTCCAACGACTAGATGACGATCTTGAGCCAGGCAGCAGCGAGCATTTCTTATACGAAGATCTTAAAGGCTGTCCTTGGGACAAACAACTGGAGGGAAGGGGTACAGGAGTGGCATCCCGCCTTGAACCTGATATGAGAACTAGCGATGAGCTTGATGGTGCAAGGGCTCGCTCTCAACAACTACGAAGAAGCATCAAGAGCACCAGCATCCTGGCCAATAAGTAACATCATAAGATGCAGGCATGGCAGATGAAACACGGCTTCCCGTCGCATTATTGGACCAGCCACCGCCACCAGGCCCGATTACTGGCTGAGAGTGCAGGTCAGTTGGCTGCATCTCCAGCCAACCATGCGCCCGGCGGAGTTACCCTGTAAGACCCGGGCCAGTTGCGAGTCCGGAGAGGGCCAGCGATGATTCTCGAGCTTCTGCAGAGACGAGAAGGGCGGGGATCTCTCGCAGTTCATGATAACGTGACGCAAGTTCCTGGGTTGTCCGGCCTCGACTTCGACTTCGGCCGCAACTCTCAACTACTTCGGCTTCATCTCTTGAACAGCTGCAGAGCGTTATATTCTACTGTCAAGAGAGGAAGAAGTGCTGCCGATTTTAAATAAAATAAGTACACGAGCCATAACTACAGAACTAAAAAGACTGACGATCCAGGCTGAACTGGTGAATACTGGCGGCGGCTATCGATATCGCGCCTGTTTGAAAACCAAATACGAAGAACTGAAAAGACTCAAGAATAAGACCTCAGGTCTCATGAATGAATGTTCCAGAGAAAGTCCCTCTGAGTATCTCTGAATGTATAACTGCCCAGTTTGAATTTGATCCTCTGCTCTGGATTCATCTGAACCGTGTTTCTTACACAACGGACAGCGCATCGCATCGCACCGATCGCATCTTCAACAGTGAACGGTCTGAGATACGACCCTTTATCTTTCTCATTCTCTGGCCTACGCAAGGCAGCAGTCGCTTTTTTCTTATCGATAACTACGCAAGGTTGTCGCAACATCTTTTGTGTCTCTACGTTGTTTCTGCTTTTCCATCCAAGGGTAAGGGGGAAGATACCTACCTTGTGAGCATAGTCGCAAACATCAATCTGACTCTAGAACAAGAGATATCGAGAGACATCAAGATATCGACGGGCATACAAAACGTCGTACCCGATCAACCCATCATTGACAGCAGGACAGTCGTTTCTAAGGCGTCTACCGGGTCTGGGTGAAACGAAGCACTTCCCCCCGCCGCGCAAAAGAACTACACGGCCAGCGCATAGCTGAAGTAACAAAAGAGAGGGAGACGTCGCTGCCATGATGGCAACGGATCCCATACATGATCTGGACAACGTCTTTGATGACCATCCGTCCCTCGATGCCTCGCTAGAAGACTTTGAAGAACAGTACGCGCACCGGTCGCCGTTCTTCGGTCTTCCGTCGCAACATTCCGGCTTTCGCTCGGGTATTTCAGATGCTTCTCCATCTGAGCAAGATGGGAACATCTCTCGGTCAAGCAGCCCATGGTCTCCGCCTGGTCTACGGGCCACGTTCACCAGGCCAGAATATCAAACGCCTAAACAGCATTCAGCTCTAGGGTATCATCCAGCAATGATGGCTGGCGCAGCATGGTACAGACAGCAGCCGTACATGCGTAACCAGCCCGACTTTAAACCAGAGCATTTGCAACCACACAGCCCTGGGACACGGTCCAGGGAAGTCAGTCCTCAGTATGAGGATGCGCCTGAGAAGCCGACATCGACGACCACGGCAACAGTGACGCTGAAGGAAGAGACAAGTGAACTAATATTACCAGCTACCATACCACTACCCCAGGGAACAGATTCACCGGTCAAAGGCCGTTCTCCAAGTCCGTCTCCAGAAAGCAGAACAGAAGCAGCCCCAAAGGCGACAGCAACTTCAACTATAGAAGCGGACGAGAGGAACAAAGGTGATAAACACGAGTTCAAGGCAGTCTCTGACTGCAAACCGGAGAAAGAGCCTGAGTCGATTACGAATTGTAAGATGGCTTGCTTTTTTCCAGAATTTACTTGGAACCATGACTTATTGACCGTCTAGATATCCGATTTGCAGTCCGCGCTGAAGTCCAACATCGCGAACCCTTTGTTGCATTCTTCAACTACATGGGAGCAAAGTTCGATTCGATGACACAGACCAGATCGTCGACATTACTCTCCGTGGCGGTTGCGCTGATATCACTTACATTCATGCGGGCATTGTTTTTGCCGCCGCCGCTACCACCTGTGCCAGACATTGTCAAGTTATCCAGCTTCACAAGGTCATTTGAGCCGCTGATATATTATTCAGAGAATGGCGTGCAGCAGATTGGGACGTTGCAGGAGACCGGGGTTGCAGTATGGGACCTGGCTGAGTCCGTACGGGGAACAAACATGACAAGTGCCCCGATCATAGTGAGAGAACTAGACGAGCTGTCTCAATCGCTGAACTCGCTCTCGCTGGAGCTCACGCGGTTCTTCGCCAATGTCGACGCAGACATTGATTCCATTCTAATCGTGATGGAATGGGCACGAAGAGAGCTCGAAGCACTCTCATCTCAACCACCCAATACCCTATCGTCGATATTTTTCGATAATTTCCACAACATGCTGTCACGTCTGGGTGTGCTTGAAACACTACCAACCAGCCTATCGGCCAATGCAAGCCACGGGCTCAGCAACGAAACAATGGCCGATATGCCCGTTGCACCCATCCCCACACGTCTAGGCTCGTTGATAACGGCACTATTCGGCCGCACCCGCTCCCAGCGCACCCAGCTAACACTAACCCACGCCTTCACCGAGCTGCTCTCGGTGCTTGAAGAAAGCATAAACAACGAACTAACCCACTCCACCTCCCTTTTCACCCTCTTCGAGTCCATAGACAGACAATTCCTCAACCTGCAGCGCACCGTTGTTCGAGAATCCAACGCCCAAGAGCGCGCTGAGGGAGAACTGCTTTCATCCCTATGGACTCGCGTCCTGGGCTCTAATGCAATGGCACTGCGCAAATATGAGAAAAACCGACGCCTGCTTTCCTCCGTGCGCCAACGGACAGTCGCAAACAAGCATTTACTCATGGACCACCGAGGCAGACTCCTCGCGCTGAAAGCAAACCTCGAAGCCCTCCGGCGCAAGCTTGTCAGCCCCCTTCTCAGAGGCGGCAATAGTTCAATGGGCATGACACTTGGTCCGTTGGTGGGCATAAGTACCACCTCCGCACATGGCGGTGGTGTCGGAGGCTCTGGTGAAGATGCAGCTGGAGGAGAGAATGCGATGGAGATGATTATCCATGGACAGATAAAGGGGCTGGATGGAGCGCACGATTACCTTAAGGAAGTCAGGGATAAGCAGAAGGCTAAGTTGATGGAGATGGTTTATGGGGCTGGTCGACGAGTTGGAGGGAATGCGTTGGTTGATGGAGATGCAGACGGGGAGGGCGAAGGCGAGAAGGCTGACATCGAGGACATGGAAGAGAAGTGAGAGAAAAAAAAAAAGTGTCCTTTATTGTCTCTATATGTGATACTCTGAATATCTTGCATGGGATGGTCGACCCCCGGACGGACTGCCACGGCGTTTTTGATAGGCGTGTTAGGGAGGAATACAAGGTGAGTAACTGTTCAAGGCTGGGAGTAGATGTATACTAACAGCGAGGCACAGATTGTTTGGTTTTTATTTTTATCTTTATTTTATTTTTGATATTTCTATTCGTCATCTTCTAATACTTCATGTATAGGACATATTTTTCGTAGCATAGCATATTTAACTACTACCTAGGCATATCTTCCCTCAGTCTCTACCTGGGTTGAAAAATGATTAAACAAAAAAAATAAAGTAAATAGCCAAACGAGCAATGCCTTCGCTTTTATCTTATAATACAACGTTTCCCCAGCCAACCCCCACGCCCGAACACCCAAAAGCACCCACCGAAGTAAAGGTAAAAAAAGGTAAATGGAAATGTAAGCAAAGTAAGCAAGCAAGCAATTAAAAGCCGTATCCCTGACCATAAGGCGTCGCACCGTACGGCGTCGCACCACCTGCCCCGCCCCAGACGCTCCCACTCCCGCCGGCACCCGGCCCAGCACCAGGGCCAGCTCCATTCGCACCCCCGTAGGCAGTGAACCCGCCATCGATACCTTCCGGCGGCTCATATGCATCCGGACTCCTGGCGCCAGCACCGTCTTGATCGACTCCACCGTTAACCATGCCGCCCTGTCCATCGGAGCCCGTCAAGCCGGAAATGATCTCAGCGAGCTTCCGTTGCATCATGATGATACCCTGCTGCACCACTGCGTCGGGTTCGAGGTTTCCTATACTTTCTATATCGATGTAGAATGTGTTGGGGGTAGCGTCGTAGTTGAACGGGAGGTCCTTGGGCTGGGCTGTTTCCCATCCTGCGTTCGCAGATAATGGCCTATACACCGCAGTTAATACACTGACCTATCTCAGAGAAGAGTTGAGGTCTAACGACCAGCGCCATGTTCCAAGACAGATACTTACCATTCCTTGACGGGGTCCTCTTCGAACCAATAATCCACATGACGCAGGTTATTATGCGGATCATACTCGAACCCAACCGCCGCTGTCGGCGCCCACTTGGCGTGTTCCTTTGCAATGCCCTTCTTCACAATACAATTGAACTTGACCTCCTGCCCTCTTCGAAGCTTGCATATGATCGGTCCTTTCCCCTCGGGATCCGTAACCACGGGATTGCCAACCCACTCGTTTGCGCGGTCGCCTACAACAACCAGATCCCTGGCATACACTTTCATGATTTCCTCCGTGGTGCATTTGGCATGTAGCGAGAGGTTGATGACGCAGCGCGCACAGCCGGCTTCGCAGTCGCAGTCTCGCGAATACAGCATGTCTGTGTCGCAGTTTTTCGAGCAGAGGGGTATCAGGCCGAGACGATGGGAGATGAATTCATCGGGCAGGACGGAGGTGTTTACTTCTATCTCGACGACGTCTATTGCGACGGTGGGGATTTCGGCGAGGATGGTGCGACGGAAGGAGTTGGCAAAGGCGAGGTCGACGGAACTGAGACGGAAGTCGACTCGGTATGGCTCTGCCTGGGGGGAAGATGTTAGGTTGGGGGAGCCCTATTGCCTATGGGTTGAGGGTATAGGATATAATAAGCTCACTTCGCGGACGGTGACTTGGGGCCCTTGGGGCTCTATGTCCATGGCGTCGTAGTCCATGGTGGATGGATATGGCTAGGTATGAGGCGGCTCAGTAGTATCAAGGGTGGTATTAAGCGTGGTCTCGGGGGGTAGCAAGTTGTAGATGTCGTCGAGTAGAGTGAAGCAGCTGCAGTGCCGTTGGTGATGATAATTGACGGAGTCGTTAATTTGAACGAGTTCGAGCTCTGCTTAGTAAGGACACTTAGTCATCCCAAATCTTACTCATTATATTTAGTCAGTAAATTAATCATCACTTAGTCATCAATATTAAGCTTAATAATTTATTAGTCAGTCGGAAGTAACAACATTTATCCGACTATCAAAAAAATTGGTCCCGATGGAAGCAACCTAAAGACCAGCAGTATTACGGAGTACTTAGGAGTTGATAGGAGTTATAGGGAGTATAAGAGCAAGGAGGGGAAGAAGAGAGAAACGCCGTCCCATTCTATGCTTTTCGGTATCAACTGTTTTCTATCTCTATCACCAGACCATATCCAAAAGAAGCAAAAAAAGAAAACAGGGCAAGTATGCTATGCAAGTAAAGACCGAAACTCGTGAACCAATGCTTTTTTGTCAGGAAAAAAACGATGCCAATGATGCAGGGAGGAGGATAAGGCGGTTAAAAGAAAAGGCAGAAAAAAGAAAAGAGGGCAAAAGAAACAAAAAAAAAAAGTAAAAAGATTAAAAAAAGAATAATATCCAAAAGAGATGTCCAAAGATATGTAGTAAAAGTAAATGCGGGGGAGAAGGAAGCGGAGGAGGAGGAGGAGGAGGAGGATAACATCGAGAGAGTCAAGTCATCGTCACGGTCGGGTATGTATGTCATATGTCAGCGGGGGTTCTGCGGTCAAGAGTCACCGCTTGATGGAGCTCCGGTTGAGGGCATCGAGCAGCTCCGGCCGGGCGACCAGGGCCGCGGCAGCCTGCGAGTAGGTCACCCACTGCCTCTTCCGCTTGTGCATCTCGGGCCACTGGCTCTCCTCGCGGTCGACGCGCACCTCGAAGAACTGGTAGAGCACGCGGGGCGCCTTGGCCGATATCTGGGTGGCACTGCGCATGTCGGGGATCTTGCCCAGGTCGGAGGTGACGGTGCAGACGACGCCGGCCTCCTCCCAGGCCTCGCGGACGGCGGCGACCTGGGCGGAGGGCTCGTCGAGTTCCCAGCCGCCCTTGGGGAGCACCCAGGCGCCGGGGCGGGCGGATTGGATGAGCAGGACCTTGGACTTGTCTGGGGAGAGGGGGACGACGCCTGCGACGAGGCGTTCGCCGGCGGGAGAGTAGCCTGGAGGAGAAGAAGAAGAAGAAGCTGTCAGCGTCGGTGTCCCTTTATTATCATTATCATCATGATACAGTCTGATATCTTCCCATCTCTTCAGTGCGTAGAGCGGCGGCGGGCATAGCAGGCAGAGCGAGGACAGAGAGCGAAGAGGGAACACGTGCGCGAACCCCGGGCTGGGAGCTTCTTACGCTGGTTTGTCCGGCCAGTTCGGGCTTCCATCGTGCGAGTCGCCATGGCAGAGACAGGAGGGACAGGCGGGACAGGCGGGCGTTGGGAGCAGAGTCGAAGAAGCAGAAGAAGCAGCCGTCGAGCGGTAGAAGAGCGGCGGAGGAGGAGGAGAATAGCGGAGCAGAGCAGAAGAGCAGAAGACGGAGGAGGTCGAGCAGAGGTAAAGGCAGAATAGGGACTAGCGCAGTCAACTACGTAATAGGAAGAGCCAGCAGGCCAGCGACGGCGACAGCAGAGAAATGCAGACTGCAGAGACAGACAGACAGGCTGCAGGACTGCAGGAGGAGAAACGACGGCGAGAGATCGATTTACGATGGCTTCTTACTGGCCACAGCTCGCGTCCTCTACTTATCTATCGAGCTTGTCGGTCCCTTGCTGGGCCTCCCTGCTGGGCTGCTGCTGGGCTCCTCTTGCTGGGGCCCCCTGGAGCTGGCCTGCATCTTCCCTGCTCGCTTTCACCGCCCGGGAGACGAAGGCGAGGGCGGCGGACGGAGGAGGCGAGGCGAAGACGGTGCCAGACGGGCGGATGGACTCGACTGTGGACGGGATGCTAGGGATGCTCTCAGGGATGCTCTCAGGGATGATGGCGTCTCTCTCGGGTGTTTTCTCTTGTCCTTTTTTTCTTTTCTTTTCTTTTCTTTTATCGTTGCTTTTTCCTCCTCGTTGATGGGCTTCCCCGGCGCCCTGTCACATCCACCAAGGCCTGACATGACATGACATGACATCTGCTCTTTGCCTCTGGGACTCCCATCCAGCTCTTCTTCTATTCTTCTCTTCTTCTCTTCTTCTATTCTTCTTCTCTTCTTTTACTCTGCCGTCTTTTGCTTTCTTTCGTCTTTTTCGTCTTTTTCTTTTCTTACAGTTAGATGCTTAGTAATAGTATAATCACGTGATGCTTCCACGGCCTCACGTTGTTGAAGTAAATAAAAGAAAAGCGACGACGAGATAGAAAGAGGCGAAGAAGATAATAGACTAATGACATAGGATAAATAACATTAATAATAATAAAAATAAAAAATAAACGGTAGAAGACAGCATGGCAGACCTCAAGATGACGGAGATGTCCTACTTCTCGCCCATGGGTAGGCAGACCACTCGCCCGCTTACAAGTTGGCTACGCTGACCCCTAGTCAAAATAATAGGCTACCAGAGAAACACCTGCGGATACTGCAAAAGGGCAGAGGGCAGTCAGTCACCTCTTACTCACTTCTTATACCCCGAGACACCTCTGATCCCCTGATGAAGCGGTGCATGCTGACTGGAAAGGCGCAAGTTACTACGCATCCTCCACTGCCGTCCGCGTCGAGGAGTACGAGGCCCTCATGGACCGCGGATGGCGCAGGTCCGGATCTCTCTACTACAAGCCCAACCTCGCCCGCTCCTGCTGCCCTCACTACACCATAAGGTAGCCTCCTCTCTCTCTTTTTTTTCTTTCCTATTGTAAACCCATGCATACTGACAGTGACCAGGTTGGATCCGAGTCAATATAAACCCCGCCGAGACCAGAGAAAGGCGCTGAACAGATGGACTGCGTTCGTGCTGGGTGCAGAGTATGTCCATGCTGCAGCACGTCTGTGTCCTCGATCAAGGCAGGAGAAAAAAAGACATAACCAGACATTCGATCTCGGCCAGCGGGTCCATGAGATGGAGTACCCTTCCCTGCCCAGGCCTGTCAACCCGCTTACCAAGAGGACCATCGAGCCAGCGCACAAGTTCGAAATCAACCTTGAATCAGACTCATTTTCAGTAGCCAAGTAGGTTGCCCCAGTTTTATCTCCTTTTATGTGCCTTGGATGACGTTCGGTTAACGTAACTCGTGGTAGGTTCGAGCTGTTCCTGAGGTATCAGACTACCATACATAAAGAGCATGAGTCTCGCTGGAAACACTCGGATTTCAAGCGTTTCTTGTGCTCCGGCATCAAACAGAAGACAGTCAAACATACCATCACCCAGGAAGACGGAAGTACCACTACAGTTGAGCGAAAACTAGGATCGTACCATCAGTGCTACCGTATTGATGGGAAACTGGTTGCCGTGGCGGTACTGGACTTGCTCCCTCACTCCGTCAGTTCGGTGTATATCTTGTACGTCTCCGGCCTGCCTCTAGCCATGGTTCATATAACTGACCTTCCTTGATAGCTATGACCCCGAGTACGAAAAGTTCGAGCTGGGCAAGATAAGTGCCATGAGAGAGATTGCCTTGACGCAAGAGATGCATTTCCAGCATTACTACATGGGTATTTCATCACCCCCTTTTTCTTTCAACTTGAATCTCGATGATTTATATTATATGCTAAGAGAATCAGGGTATTATATCCATTCGTGTCCTAAGATGCGGTACAAAGGCACTTTCAGACCACAGTACATACAGGGTTCGTCCCATCCTACCCTATTACATCAACGCCCAACCTAACTAATATCCATCACATAGACCCAGAGACGTTCGAATGGCACTCTCTGGATGAAGTGTTTGCCCCAAAACTAGACAACCAACGCTACTTCTCAATTGCAGGCCAACAAGTACCTGATGTCTACGAGGACATACCGGATGAAGATGCCATGTCGTTATTTGATCTGCACATGCCGGGCGTCTTGACAGTGCAGCAGCTAAAGTCTACCGTCGACCTTGACCATTGGCATCTACTCATTCGTGGCATGCTTGTCGAGATGATAGTACGTTATCAACCTTCTTTTCCACTCTTTCTGTCCAAGTCTTCATACTAACGGTACAGGACCTCGTGGGGTGGGAAACGTCGAGCGTCAAGAACCCACAGGCCATCAAGGGCATCGTGGCCGAACTTGCTGCTACATTGGGCCCAGAGGTAGTCAAGAACTCAGCTGTCGTCATGTTCCAGAGCTAACACCATCGCCCCCCCCCCCCCCTTTTTTTTTTTTTCCCTTTTGCATATAACTTCGACTTGGATCTCGATTGTTACATAGCCGGCGATCTATAAATAGTTAGTGTTAGCCGCGAGCGGGGCAAGTTTTAAGCGCAGCCGCCGGCACGTGAGTCAAGCTTCGGCAAAGCAAAATGTTCGCCTTTTTCTTGACGTTTTTATCTTATTTCCTTCTGGATAATATCTCATCATTTAATGCATCTGGCTGCTTGGAGGTGTTGGTGTTTTTGGCCTTGTATAGTCTATCAATGGCACATCCAGACAGACTGCCATCTCCCGGCGGGACGGCCTCCACACCCGAAGACATCGAAAAACACTCAGCACCACCCACCGAGTCATCGGCCCCAGCCCCTCTAACAGTACAAAGCTGCATATCTACATTCTGGTCCCGTCTCGCATCATGGGGTGTCGAGCTCCGAGGTATCATTCCCGTTGACCTCAAGGATCGGACGGATAGGAATGTATTCAGCCTATTCGTCCTCTGGTTCACTATCAGCTGCAACCTGTTACCGTGCGTTGGATCGATACATCCTGCAGTGAAACGTCGAACTGTCTAAAACACCGCTAACCAACGACCACAGCGTTATAACCGGCATGGTTGGCACGTTGAGTTTAAAACTGAGCTTACGCGATGCATCGTTGGTGATTATCTTCTTCAACTTACTATGCACTGTCCCACCCGCATACCTTTCCGTCTTTGGACCGAAGACCGGCATGCGGCAAATGATACAGGCCCGCTATAGCTATGGGTACGCCCATACCTTGCCAAACTCATCATCCCCTCCCAAATACCCCGGCCTGGTTGCATGGTCCATCTAACGCCGTTGATAGGTTATATCTAGTCAACATCGTAGTGCTGCTGAACATGTCAACCATGTCTGGCTTCACGATCATCAACTGCGTGATTGGCGGACAAACTCTCTCAGCTATCAATGGCGATTTGAGCGTAAACGTCGGCATCGTTATCGTAGCCTGCGTGGCACTGTTCATTTCGTTCTTCGGGTATAGGGTGCTATACCACTATGAGAAATGGGCCTGGATACCCACGCTGATCTCGCTCGTGGTCGCCACGGGTTTTGGAGGGAAGTACCTCGCTAACCAGCACACCCCACCGCCAGCAACAGCAGTACCAATTCTATCGTTCGGCGGGCTTCTTGCCGGCTTCCTTATTCCCTGGGCTGCGCTAAGTTCAGATTACTGCGCCTACTTCCATCCAAGCGTGAACTCGTACGTTTTTTGAGCTTCCCACTTCCCGGCACCCTCAACAACTAACTAACGCGTGCATGACAGAAAACACGTCTTTGCAGCCGTATACGCCGGCCTCTGTCTACCAAATATACCCCTAATGATCCTAGGCGCAGCAATAGGTGGCGCAGTACCAAACATACCCAGCTGGTCTTCAGCGTACGAAACCGGTTCCGTCGGCGGGATTCTCGCCGCCATGCTCGCTTCTGCCGGCGGATTCGGCAAATTCATCATCGTCTTACTCACCTTCTCTACTCTCGGTAACATCGCCGCAAGCATCTACAGCATCTCGCTGAACTTCCAGCTTCTACTGCCTATATTCCTGCGCGTGCCCCGCGCCATATTCGCTATCGTGTTCATAGCAATCGTCATACCGGTATCGATACGGGCGGCGGTAAGTTTCTTCGTCTCGCTTGAGAATTTCGCTGCAGTCATATCATATTGGTCCGCTACGTTTGTGGCCATCATCGCTATCGAGCATGTTGTTTTTAGAAAAGGTGATTATGCCTCGTACGATGCCACCATTTGGAACGACGCTGCTGCCTTGCCGAGTGGTGTGGCTGCTATAGCGGCGGGTGCGTTGTCGTTCGCGCTCGTGGTGCCGTGCATGTTGCAGACTTGGTTCCAGGGCCCGATTGCGAAGATCACGGGCGACATTGGATTTGAAGTTGCCATGGTGCTAAGTGGGATCTTGTACCTCCCTTTGCGGGCGCTGGAAATCAAGATCCGGAAAAGGATATAGCTTTTGCCTCTAGACGTACATACGTACATGTGAACGTTTTTTTGACGATGTATAAATAATGAGAGACGAAAAGACGGTATATATTTATAGAAACGTCATATAGAACAATCAATACATTAATATAAAATGAGTTCCTAATATCAACATCATATCAGAACCACTTGTTTGTTTGTTTGTTTTTCTTTTCATGCTTCCACCGCCCTTTTTTGTTGCCTTGTCACCCCCAGAGGCGGGGGCTGTATACCTCCGATTTCTCTATTTCAACCATAAGAACCGAAATAGACGCAAAATCAACTCCAAGAGAGAAAAGGGCCATGTACGATCATCTTCATAACGACATTTAAAAATCCCGGTTTTGTAGAAAAGTGTTAAATGCTAACTAGGTCAGGGGTGAAGAGAAAGTGAGGCTTTTTTTGTTTCATTCCGTTCATGGCGTTGCTTTGCTCATGCCAATCAACCGTTTGACACCAACCTAGATAGAAGTTAGTATGTGTTAATTGTTTGACGTCAGGTAGTAAGTCACATACCATCCAGTTTCCGCATTCATCAGTGCGGTTGGTCAGAATGTCCAGATGAATAGCCTGCGCGGCTTCGTATTCTCTGCTCTGGATAGCTCGGGCTAGCTCAACCATGCTGTCAATTGTGGCAGGCTTCAGCAGATCTTCGTTGTTCAAATGATCGAACAGGATGTTTAGTCTTCGTTCAGTGTCGTTGACTTGGGCCTTGAAGCTAGATGGAGCACGAGCTTTTACGCGCTGCATGTCAGCGGAGAGAATTTCGAAGATTGGCTTGGCATTATCTAGGATGTGTGAACGGTCACCGGTAGCTATGGACGGGTTAGTTATCGGATCAGTTACAGACATGTATTGTAGATGTGGTAGATGATCAACTTACGGTGCTTGGGAGGAGCTGTGGGAGCTTTCTTCTGCGATTGGCCGGTACTTGGTCGGGAGTCCTGTCGTGGAGGAGCACCGGTATGTGGTGGTGGAGGAGGTTGAGTGAACTGGCCTCCTTGTGGTGCATACGGACCCTGAGGAGGTCCTCCCTGTGGTGGTGGTGCAGGCTGGAATCGCTGAGATCCGTATGGGCCTGGGCCGGGAGCCTGTTGGGGTGGTCCCGGAGGCCCGGAGGGTCCAGGTGGTCCAGGTGGGTGAGATGGCTGGGCTGACGCTACCGGGGCATATCGGTTTGATGGGGGTGCGCCGGCTGGTGGAGGAGTGTAAGGGGATGCACTGCGGGCGATGTGTGGAGGACCACCGGCCGCTCCTGTTGGTGGGTGTTGTGCTGGAGGGGGAGCATACAGGTTAGCAGTAGAGGACGGGCGCTCCGGTGGTACAAATTGAGTGCCTCCCGCAGAGCCTGGAGGAGTTGCATGTGATGCTGCTGGGAAGGGACCCTTTGGAGGTGGAGGAACAGGCATTGAAGCTCGATGGCCTGCAACTGGAGGACCAGGAGGTGGAGGAGGACTCTGGGCCTGCTGTTGCTGATTGGGGAACGGCGAGCTGATGACCGCAGGGCCCTGGCTTGGAGTTCCACGTCGGGGGGTTGGAGTCCTTGCAAATCCTTCGGGAAGATCGTTCCATGCAGGGACATTGCTTCGTTCCGTGTGCGGCTTTACTGTGGAGGGAGATTGGGTTAGGCCTCTGGGAGGTGGCGGAACTCCATGGGTTTGCTGACCGGGGAATAAAGGAGGGGCGATACCCGGCTGCTGTGTCGGTTGGTAGCCGGTGGTGGGTGCATAGCTTGATGTCTGAGCACTTGGAGCGTAAGGGTTGGCGGGTTGGTTGAAGGCTGGTGGTGCGTACGGGTTGTTTGGAGTTGGTCCACGGTTCATCATTGGCGGCTGCTGGGGCACCGGAGGCTGGACAGGAGTGTATCCTCCAAGCGATGGCTGTGGCAGGGCTGTTGAAGCTTGTCGGGCTGCTGGAATATGCGAAGCTGCTTTGGAGGCGGCCTTGGTGGTAGCTTTCTTGGTGGCTAGTTGGATGCGGTTCTTTGCAGCGCCTCCTGCTGGATGGCTGTCGGGTAGCAAGCTGAGGTACTTCTCTGCTACCTCCAATCTGCCATGAGTAGCAACGATCTCAGCATACTCAATGTACTTGTCGTAGAGAGAGGTGAGTTTCCAGTCCGATGGCTTATCTTTTTCAGCGTCAACGAACTTGGACACTTGGCGGAACACTGTGACCTTCTCGATGAAGTCTCTGAGAACTTGGACGTGGATCGAAAATCCAGTCTCACCAGAGGCGGTCTCAACCATCTTGCTCTCATTCTCCTTGAGTTCCTGAATCCAGATAGACACAACCTTCTCCAGCTTGGAACTGGCCAAATAGCAGAAGGAAGCGTCCTTACGAGTCTCCTTGCTATCATGAGTTCTCGAGTACTCTTCCAGCCTATCACCAAGAGCTTCGCAAAGTTCGGGATAATCCTTATCATCAGCAAAAGTGCAAATGACAGCAACTATCTCCTTCCAGTTTTTAAGGTCCGCATTATGAACGACGTCCCAGATATCCTTGCCAGCGATAGATGCTAGCAGGCGGATGTAGCTGGGCCCCTCACATTTCTTGAGGAAGTACGCCTCCTGGGCCTTTTCAATGCACTCCTGACCACCAGATAGAGCGATCATAAGAGCATCAGCCATTCGGTCCTCCTTGAGGCAGATCTCAAGGGCCTTGTCGAATTGACCCTGTATAAGAGCTTTGGTGATAGACTTGTCTGCTTCAGTCTCCTCTCCCGTAAACAACTGGAAGGGACTGTTGGTCTGAGCCGCTTTGGAAGCAGATAGGTCAGTCAAGAAGCTGTCACTCTCGCCATCAGCCCCAGTATCAAAGATAGAAGTAAGCCTCTTATGTTTCCTGGCTCCTGCAGGAGGTGCGAGAGATGGCTTCTCTTTCTCCACTTTCTTTTCTTCTGATTCCTCCGTTTTAAGCCCGAGCTTGGCTAAGCTGTCTGCAGCCTCATCAACATCGCCAGAAAATCCAAGGTGAGTAATGAGTTCCTTTCTAGGTGTCTCCGACATCAAAGTAGTCATAACCTTCCAGTCAGATTTCTCTTCTTCAGTCTTAGCCTCGGCAGCTCGAGACTCGCAAATACTGCGGACGTCTCCAGAGCTCAAAGCTGACTCAAAAGCATCAGTGGCAGCACCAATGCTAGCATCTACCTCAAACTTGCTGATACGGATGGTTGACGTCCGTGTCCCTGGGGCAGTCACCACTGAGATGACCCTTCCACCAAAACCAAAGTTGGCGGTGGTAGGACGCTCAAACCATTTGGGAGCCTTTGGTAGGGAGAAAGTAGGGCCTTGTGGTTGAGTCTGTGCTTTGGCAAAGAAATCTTCATCATTTAGAGGTTGCGCATCGTCGCCCTTTTGCGCCGTTTCCGGATTAGTGTTTTGGAGCGTCTGAACGGAGATCTTTCCATCCAAAGAGGCAGTGGCAAGAATATTGGGGTTGGTAGGATTGAATCGAGTCTGGAAAGTGGCATTTGTAACAATTGGGAATTCTCCGTATGCCTCGCCGGTCTGCGGGTTCCAGCATATATTTCGGTTGTCTTCGCCACTGGAAAGGAGGAGTCTCGGGTCCTGGGGACACCAAGACAGTGAGAGGACGCCGGATTCATGGCCCTTTAGTACTCGTTCGGGTGCATTGGCATTGCGCAGGTCCCAAACAAGGATAACCGGATCAGTCTCGAGCGGAATCGACGTAACTAGTCTGGTAGGCTTCTCTGGATCCCAAGCGATAGCACTGACAGGCTTACGACCCAGGTTCTTGAGGGTCAAGCTCTCCTTTCCGGCCTTAGCATCCCATACCGTTACGAACCCGTCACTGTTTCCCGTGGCTAGGATATGGGGTACTTTCTTGTTCCAGTCGAGGCAATCTATCTCGACTTGGCTGGCGGCGACTTTGCCCAGTCTAGTTGGGTTCTCGATGTTATTCAGGTCGGTAATAAACAACTATTAAACAAGAAATTTAGCAAAAGGTTCACAGCGTAGACGAATTGAGAAGCATCACTAACCTCCCCTACGCTTCCACCACTGGCCAGGAGATTGGAATGCCTAGGGTGAAATTGGAGCGTTTTGACTGCCCCGCTATGAGCAGCCACTTTCATGGCCGGTTCACTGCTACGAACAGTCAGCTCAATGGTTTCCGTAAACAGTCAATTCCGTAATTACAAACCTAGAGCCATCCAGTAGCTTTGCAGCGTCCCATAGATTCAGGGCTCCGTTCTCCAACGCTCCCGCAATAAGCCCTCTAGTGCTATCCTCTGTCTCTGCCCACCCAAGGTCATGGAACCTACAACCAAATCAGTGAGCTGTCATTTCCAATTGACAGCATTCCACCGCCGTCTGTAATATCGCCGTGGAGCTCACCTGGACTCTGTGCTAATCTTGGCTACAGGCTGCAGCTCCGCTCCCACATTCTCACCATCAAGCTTGAGATCCCACAATTCTAGAAAGGTCTCGTTGGAGAAATCGACGTCGACGGCTCTAACATGCGTTCCGGTCGCTAGGAAGGGAGAAGAATGGCCCGGGGACCAGGCGAAGGCCGCACTGCGTGGTATCTGTCGTAGACGCACCATGGTCGACTGTGCTGCTAGATACCAGGGATCACGGAGAGAAAACTAGAAGAAAAGGGAAAAGAAGGAAACCCCCGACTGGCCGTCTAGACGGGAAGCAGGTCTCCTTTAGTGTCAAAAGGCCCTGTCAGCGAGCAGACGGTAGCAAGACAAGGACAAGCTGGCTGTTTATACTCGATATATCAAATCTCGTTTTGTTGTTGGGCTTCAAAGGGGCAACAAGGTGGCCTTTTAGTAGGCGGTCACGTGATATGAGATTTTGATAGACGACGAACGAAGTGAAAAAGGTGTGAAGAGAGCAAAGCAGAGTCGCAGAGAGAGAGGGCGGCCGCAGGAAGACAATAGATGCGGAATAGACGATGACGGACGCATCCAGGCTAAAAGGCACCATCTACGTGGGTGGGCTCGATCAGGCGGTTACAGTGCGGACGCTGAGCGAAGCGTTCATCCCCTTTGGCGAGATAACTGATATCTCGCTGCCGAAGCCAGAGCTGCCTTCGTCCACGGACCTGCACCGGGGATTCGGATATATCGAGTTTGAGCTGCCTCAGGATGCCAAAGAGGCGATCGACAACATGGACCAGAGCGTGCTGTATGGACGAACTATCAAAGTAGCGGCAGCAAAACCGCAGAAAGAAAGCAACGAGGGACTAGGTAGTAAGACGGCTATATGGGAGCAGGTGTGTTTACCCTTGGATTAAGTATAAATGGAGTAAAGAACCATAATATTAATACAGTTTATAGGAGGGATATCTGGCCAAGCACGCAGTCAGCGAGGAGGACCAGCTTGCTACAGGAGAAGCCAGCACCAGCAACAACCGGCCTGAAGATCCTATGCAAGGTCTCGAGGGACTGGACGTTGCAGGCCCGAAGCCAGCATAGCCATGCCGTACAGCCGGAGGGCTATCAAAATCGGAATCAGACAAGACGCAGCACTGAGGAAAGCAAGCAAGCTGTGCTGAATTATCTCATATATGTACAAAAGACCGCCACCAACACTCAGCTGCCGTCTTAACGATACAAGGAGATGATTGCATTCATTTTCTGCTCCTAAATCTGCTACTCAAACATATTTATGCCGCGCCCATCATCCTTTTTCTCCTTGTTCCACACCCGGAAGGAGAATCCAGGCTTAGTGGTCCTCGCGCTTCGATCGGCTGAGACGCAGAGTCTTATCCTCAAACAGCTTCTTTCCACTGGAGTAAATGGCGGCGCAAATGGCAACACTAGAAAGGTATTAGTATGGGGGTCTTCTTGGGCATTTGATAATGGCGGAATCTTACGAAAGGACGACACCTAAGTAAATAGACTGTTAGCACGATCAATTCAATTCCTGTTAGCCTATCACTTTAAGAGCATACTACTCACCGAGAGGGATCAACTCCGGAGGAATCTTCTTGAGTGTTCGCAGACGTTGGGAGATGGTGTGAGCTAGAGTTCAAGGGGAGATTGTCAGACGAGCCCGGCGGCATCAAACCACGGCATTGACCTGCCAAACGGGTAGATTGAGGGTCCCAGAGCTTACCGCTTTGCTGTTCCTTCTATACGAAGCTGTTAGAACCTTTACTACTGGAATACAGGCGGAAAGCGAAGCAGAGCAGAGCAAGGAAAACGTAGCAACTTACGGGGATGGGCTCAAAGAGAGGTCGAGCCGACCGGAAGCCGAGGGCACGGGTGGCAAACATCGTTGCTGGATATTCAGGCAGCTCGTTCAAACGCCGCAGGGTCGAGTTCAGGGAGTTTTGCAGTCGCTGGTGCGCAGGTCGTCGTTCGCTTGTTTGTATCGTACGTTGTTCACGGAGAGGATGAGAGTGGGAAGAGTAAAGCTGAATGCCTGATTCGCCTGATTCGCTTAGTCATCCGCTCTCACGGGACTTTTTCTTTTGTCACGCAACTTCAACTCCAACTTCACACCAACCGACGAAGACCTTGACGAAACGACCACCAGACGAGCAAAGAACAGCTCCCCGCCCCGCCGACGTCGAGAACACGGTCAATTGCGTTTGCGAACCAGCCACCATGCCTGTCGAGATCCCAGACGCCGACCCCGATGAGCCCGTCGAGACCAAGCCCTTCAAGTTCGTGACTGCTGTGTTGATTCTCCTTCCCTGCTCTTCGTTTACCGTCGTAGCTGTCCTTAACCGGCGCTGACTGTGTACAATTGCTGACTCTGCTCGATAGCTGGTACGTGATAGAACTCTAGGCACTCTTTACGATGACCTTCCCGTTTGGTTTGGACTGTGTTTTGTGAGGGTGGTGAGGTGGCTGACCGTACTCTAGGCTTCGACGCCCGTTTCCCCAACCAGAACCAGTAAGTCAGGTCCAATTGGCAGCAATATGTCGGCGAATAAATCAGTCTAACGGCGTGTCTAGGACCAAGCACTGCTGGCAAAACTACGTTGATTACCACAAGTGCATCAACGCCAAGGGAGAGGAATTCAAGCCCTGCAGACAGGTACTGCCCATATAAGCACCCATAGCAGATTGAACCATGCGTCTGACCCAATTCTAGTTTTTCCTTGCTTACCGATCTCTCTGCCCCAAGTCCTGGACCGATCGATGGGACGACCAGAGAGGTATGACCCCCCAGTCTGTATGGTGAATGTCAAGTTGATACTAATATCTTCCTCAGAAGCCGGCAACTTTCCTGCTCGCCTCGACCGATAGATTTCTTTTAGGATAGCCTCGGGCTGATGTTATCGATGTCACAGCTCCTCTGGCTTGCTGATGGTTAAAGAAGTGTATATAATACTGTCTCAATATTAAAGCAGGATTTCAAAGCAAAAAACGACTATCTTTATTCCTTTTGCATCAGTATCAATATTATTAAGAACAACCCCTCGCGCCTAATAGAATGTAATCTAGTCTATCCTAAACATATTACAAACTACAGTATATCCAATTGACCTTTAGATAAACTCCCAACTAGATCGATGCCTCCGACTGAACCCCCTTCAATGCACGATACACCTTCTTATGCTGCTCAAGGAACAAAAACGTCGCAATGGTATGAGGACCTAGCCGGATGAAGCTGGGTGTCCATCCTCTGAACATCCAAGTAAACCCTTCTTTCTTAAACACGTCTCTCAGCAGTCCAACGAAGCTGTGTCCTTTACTCTCCGCGGGACTGGCATGCATGATTCTGGTCTTGATCACGTCCACAGGACTGCACACAGACGTAGCTACAAACCCGGCCATGAAGGACGAAGTAAAATGTGTCGTCAGGTTATCCTTCATGCCCAGGTTACCGATACATATACCTTTGAACGCATCATAGGTAGCCAGTTGCGACGCAGTCATCAACACTGCTCTGGCCGAGTTAGGCCAAACACCTCTAAATGCACTGCTGATGCCCTCTGAGCGTATCATCCGAACTAGCCCGTCAAGTGCATGCTTGTAGTTCCGTCTCTTCTCCGGAGGGAGGCCGGCATCTGATTGCATTCGTACGTTCAATACGTCTGCGGGGTTACCTACCAGTCCGCCCAGGAAGCCAGATACTGATGCCATTGCAATAAGCGTAGGCAAAGACGGGGGAGAAGAAGGAGATGCCTCGTTGACTCGAGTCTTGAGCTCCTCGTATACTCCGAACCGAGTCGTTGAATATGTCAACTGTCGCAGGACTGAGGCGGAGAGCTAACCTCATAACCATCAGCATATCATGTCAAACTTGTCTATAGGAATAAAGAGACCTTACTCCGCTGTAGAGACCTAGGAATCCCTCATTTTTACATATATGGACTATGGTCCGGAGCATCCCGGTTGGGTCATTTGGTCCTCGAGTTTGTAGCCGGACCTGTCAAACCAGATATCAACATGATATCCTCCATCAAGAAGCCAACTTGGGAGATCTTATACCTTAACTAGAGCAATCCGTCAGTATTTAGTCCCATCAAACATCACCAAATCTGTCCAGTTGTCATCTCACCAAGATCCAAGGGATGTGTCACCCCCGCCGCACAGCAAGAAGCTGAGCCTCCAAACCAGAACGGATAATGCACGCCCGGCTGCGAGGCACCGCCCTCAATCACTCCTTTCTTGCCCATATCGACGCTCTCAAACTGCGCATCCTTGCCTCTGACGAAGCTGTCTAAGTGATGCTGGAGAAGAGCAAGATTCGCCGTTTTTCTCCCCTTTCCAACGGCTTTCTGGAGCTTTTAATTCGCCTTTGCGAGCTCTGGATTTACATGGGATCCATCTTACAGTACGATACGCGATATCTATTCCCCGGCTCACGGTAATTGGCTGGAGATAGGAGTTCCTGGTAATTTTCGATACGTAGGCGGAACATCACCGAGCGAAAATTACGACGAGCTGCTGATATTTACAAGGCCGAGCTGAAGCAGCTGAAGACGACGACGACGGGAAGAGGAGCAGCCGAGAAGAAGAGACGGACAAGATGCAGTTGCTGGCGACAGGACGGGCCCTGCGGGTTTCCTGCAGATGGTCTTTGGCTGCCTCGAATTTGGCTGCATCGCGACCGATTTTTATCAATCGATTACTCACATACCAATCGAAAGCACTACGACCCCGGTTCAACAGCTCTACTGCAGCTCCAAAGGACAAGGAGACCGTCGGAACGAAACCAGAGCCATCAATTGCATCGTCTTCTCCAGCTTTCACCGTGGGAAACAAGTCCTACCAGCCGGATGAATGGACAAACGCCCCCAGTCACATCCTCGCGCACCTCGGCCGTGGTTTATATCTAGACGAGAACCATCCTCTCTCAATAACCCGGAAGCTCGTCGAGAGCCAATTCTCCGGCCCTGAATTTGGGAACTATGCTGAACCGGATCCAATTGTTCCTGCAGCGCGGAACTTTGACGACCTAGGTTTCCCAGCAGATCATCCGGGTCGAAGCCGGACAGACACATACTATTTGGATAAACATACTGTTTTACGGACACATACAAGTGCACATCAGCGAGCATACTTCCAGCAGATGAACAGGAATGAGGCTACCAAGCCGGAAGAGAAAGGATACACTATTGTAGCAGACGTTTACCGCCGCGATGCTATTGACCGAAGCCATTATCCCGTCTTTCACCAGATGGAATGTGCACGACTATGGAAACGACCTGAGAACGAACCACTGAAGTCCTCTCAACAAACGGCTGCGCAGATATGGAAAGATCTTGAAGCTCTCCCTCGTCATGATGTTATCGTGGAAGATCCCAACCCAACTATACATCCGACTCGCAACCCGCTGCAAGATAAATATCATACTGCAGAGGAAGCCGAGGCGATTACCGCCCATCTTAAGCGTTCTCTCGAACTGCTCGTCATAAGAATCTTCTCTGCTGCTAGAGAAGCCACCGAGAACCCAGATGCTGCACAAGAACCCTTGAAAATCAGATGGATCGAGGCATACTTCCCTTTCACCAGCCCATCCTTCGAACTAGAAGTCTTCTGGCAAGGCGAATGGCTAGAACTGCTAGGTTGCGGTGTCGTCAAGCAAGAGCTTCTCAATTCCTCTGGCGTCTCACATCGAATTGGCTGGGCTTTCGGCCTGGGCCTTGAACGAATCGCAATGCTTTTGTTCAACATTCCTGACATCCGTCTTTTCTGGTCCAAGGATCCAAGGTTCCTTTCCCAGTTCCAGGCAGGCAAGATCACTCGTTTCGTGCCTTTCTCTAAACACCCAGCATGCTACAAAGACGTTGCATTTTGGCTCCCTCCCTCTGCAGCCGGCTCCGTAAGTGCAGCTGGAGGAAGTGTGCCGTTCCATGAAAATGATATAATGGAGATCGTACGAGGTGCAGCTGGCGATTTAGCAGAGGATGTAAGTTTGGTTGATGAGTTTACGCATCCGAAGACAGGAAGGAAGAGTTTATGTTATCGAATCAATTATAGGAGTTTGGAAAGGACTTTGACGAATGAAGAGACAAATAAGCTGCATGATAAGGTACGGCAGACACTGGTGGAAACTGCTGGCGTTGAATTGAGGTGATAAGGGGTATTTGTCTGTATTCTTCAGCGATATGTACAATAACCACTCATGTATTTTTAGATAGTGTTCGGGTTCATCTGGGTAGATTTGATTCAGCTGTAACCTTCAAGGTGTGTAATATGTATATACCCTTCGATCCAAAGCATAGCTGCTATTAAATGAGTCTCTAATTTGCAATTGTACATCGTTCCATGCACCATTCATACCGCACCAAAGCAGCAGCAAGAATCCGCCAGCAGGAAAGAAAAGTAGGGAAGAAAAGAAAAAGGGCATGAGGCAAAAACATACAAATAAGAGAGGAGAGATAGGAGAGACAAGAACAGTATAAAACGGGGTAACATGACAGTAGAAAAGAAGATGTAGTTTATGTATGTGTACAGATTCAATCGTCAAACTGAAACATCATCCCGTAAAGAATAACCTTAAAAGCAAAACGCCGTGCCTAGCTGCTTTTATAACCGGCTCCGCTAAAAGCAGAATAGTATACAGTATGCCAATGAAGCGGCTATGATTAGGAAAATGGGGAGGGTCATGCGGAGGGGGTAGATTGAAGGGGAAAGAGGTGGGCTGGAGAAGGCATTAGAATTGGATGAGTATCCCAGAGGGGTTTTTTGTTGTTCAGGGCATGCAACAGAGAGTTTATGCATTCTTCACGACGCCAACTTTAGCGGCCTATAGAAGATGTTAGTTATGTTCCGTCGTGGCATATATAAAGTGCAAAACGTACCCTGAGGATTCTGCCGTTGAGGGTAAAACCCTTGTTCTGAACGTGCATGATATCGCCGTCCTGCTTGCCCTCCACTGGAGACATAAACAAAGCCTCATGTCTGCTTGGGTCGAACTTCTGAGGTTGACCATCTACCAGCTCGGACGGATCGAATCTGACAACACCGTGCTTCTTGAGGGTGTTCATGAGCACGCCCTCCGTCATCTTCAGGCCGGAGAACAGCTCGTAAACATCCTTGTTTTCCTTTGCATTGGCAGCATCGACCTTCTCAGGAGGAACAGCTGCAAGCGCACGCTCCAGGTTATCAATTGACTCGATGAGGTCTGCGGCAAACTTCTGGATAGCAAAGGTACGAGCAGCTTCGATATCTCGGCGAGTCCGCTCTTGCAGGTTGCGGAAGTCAGCGACAGAGCGAAGGTATTTATCCTAGTATTCCAGGCCAGAGTTAGCTCTAATCAACTACATGCACAACTTGCATATCGATTCGATGCGCTGCATACCTTCAAATCAACCACTTCCTTCTCACGTGCTTCTAGATCCTTCTTCAATGTCTCGAGCTCAGATGGCTTTTCAGCTTCGGCAGCTTCTTCAGCCTTGGGCTTTTCACCGTTGGCTTCCGTTGAAGCGTATCTGCTCTGTATTCTGGAGGGTAATGATCGTGCTGCTAACTGTTGGGACTGGCGGATGATAGCTGATTGTCTGTGGATGGGGGAGACGACGGACGAGGGAGCCGCGGAACCGGCAAGCCGACTTTGTCTGAGAAGTGCTCTGCGGAACATGATGGCGGATTTTGTATATATCTCTGTCTATTCACGCTTCAATTGCAGCAAGAAGATCAAGGAAAAGGAGCTGTTCAGGTCGAGTTCTTGTATATGAATATAAAATTGCACGTCTCGAAGCATCAAATTTGACAGCAAGAAAAAGTTGAATTTCGCAAAGCTTGGCGGGGTCATGTTTTTCCGCTCCGGTATTTTTTTTTTTTTCAAGGTTCCCCATTTCTCATTGTTACAATCTTCAAATCAACCTCAAACTTGATATGAAAGAGCGAGAAGAAAAGCTGAAGGAAAGACTTGTTGATTAAAACCCTCCTATATGATATTAACTACGGCTATGTTTTGACTATCCAGTATTCAAAGAATTTTATCGCTTGCCCAAGGGTATATCGTCTATTTTCAGTCGCCCAAAAGCGGGCAAAACCTCTTCCCAAAGGCCCTTATCCCAGAGTCCTATGATTCCTGTTGGGATGTCCATGGTCCTATGGTCGCAAAGGAAATTATTACGCCGAATGAAATGCTTTTGGTAGAGAGCGTGGGAGGGCTAGCTCTGCCAACCCGTGCGTGATGTTTGATGGGAGAACGCCCGCTTAGTCCAGTTCAAGGTATAGATGGACGGTGTCGAATTTGATAAAAGAAAAAAAGAAAAGAAAAAAATAGTTATGTGCAATGAAAGTGGACGGTTAAAGGAGTGATCATATCCACGGTTTGTCGGTGTTTGATCGATGGAGTCCCGCATCGGCATATATTATGATTGATTCGAGGTCACTTCGCCGGCTGTCCTTTTCGCTAATGCTGGTATAATCGCTTATACTTCGGCTGTGACTGGGCTCCTTTGGAGCAGGTTGAGGTAAGTTGAGGATGGCGACCATGTGCTCCAATAGCTTCTGTTGGATCTTTGCTCGCCGCTCTTCTGCGTATTCGAGTTTTGTCGCCCATTCGTCTATCGATTGGTCGATTTCTAGCAAGGCTTCTTCTTGTTTGAGGACGCCCTCGGGGGAGAAACTGGAGACCCCGCTGGCTGATTTGAGATATGATATCACTCTACCATGCAGACGTTGTCTGTCTGATCGAAGAGCAACATGAGTGTCTCGAAGGTATTTGCAATGTTTATTGAGAGTATGCATTTCCTGCTCGTCCGTTAGCAAGGAATACTTCACTTTCTCCCCTTTTTAGTGGATTTCAAAGGGGGTCCAGCCTACCTGTGTGAGCGAAGATACTTCGCTGTATTTGAGAACTTCGAATCTCTGGCCCCTTCGCCGAGCCTGGCTTTGAAGTTCTTCAATTTCCTGACAGGTCAACAGCATGGAGGCTGTTTGGATAGAATACCCCGGCGGCAAATTCCCAACCGGAATATCAATATTGTCAAGCCCTGCTCTCCCCCGGGGCTTCTTCTTGGACGGCTTTTCTCTTATGACAAGGTCTTGTGGAACATCATCGCTCTCCCCGGGCGCAGGACTCTCTGGTCGCCGCGTGGCATCTAATCCTAGTATCTTCAACGATTTCGGTCGTTTGTCATGGTATCTTTGGGAGAATTGTGGGAGATCTGCTAGCTGGTCTGCCGGCCGCTCCTTTTCCAACAACAGGTTCGAGGTCGATCCGCCCCGCAGATGAGAGGGATTAGGAGCAGAAGTTGAGTGGACAGCTTCTATATATCTGTTCCTGGGAACTCCTCGACCAAAGAAATGCGACGGGCTGGTCTTGTCCTTCTTGGGCACTGCAGGTTCAGTTTTCGGAGGCACCTTGGGAGGGATTCCCTCAATTTCAGCCTTGGTCGGGCTCCGCTTGCGCTGCAGCCGGGCTCTAGGTTGTTGCTGATGGTGTGCCATGATCGGCTGGTTGCCTGAGGGCGTAAGTCTTCCGGTTGAATGTGGACTCGGTGACTGTCTGGATGTGTTGCAACTGTTCCCCATCTGTCTGGCAGTGCGCCTGTCGCTGAAACTTGAGTAACCCAGAGGTGAATGGTCGCGAGCCCTTGAAGATGGTCGGGAAAACCCTAAGGCAGTTTGAGCTCTCTCATGGCTCGGGAAATAACCCGGTATCGTAGCTGCAAACGCACTAAATTAGTTCAACCGGCTTCAAAACAGCATCGGCATCCAGCTTCCCGCTAAGAAACCGAAAGAGCGAGAGCAAGAAGACGAAAAGAGAGAAAAAGAAAAGAAAAAAGGTCGTGGCCTTGGGGATTAGGACATACGTGAATCCATGTGTTTTGATTGCCGGTTTGTAGATACTGTCAACAGCGACTCGCGAGAACCAGCAGCCAGCCTGTCACGATTAGGGCCGATATATATGTATCGTCCTGAGCTGGAGGACTCTGGGGTTCGTCCCCTCGAGCTCGCAGAGGCAGTAGATGACCGTTTGGCAGGCGGCCAGAATTGCAGTTTCAGCTTGTCGGTTATGCTCTGCCTGGCCAATTCCGGGGGCTCATAGGTGATCTGAGGAAGCGAAGACGGGTCAGAGGTCAACCAGCGAAGAAAGCGAAAGGGAGGAAGAGGAGGGAAGAGTCAAAGGGAGAAGAGCAGGATGTCAGGGCAAGACGGTTAAATATTGATATACCTTAGGGGAGGTGTCCTTTGCGATTATATTGTTGATGCCGACATGGACATCGAAGTCGTCTATCCATTGCTCGCAGACAGCCATTGCCCTGGTTGAATAAATAGACAACCCCAGCCAGCAGAGGAGCTATAGTGGATCTCGTTAAGGCCGTTTATGGCTATCTTTAATTATATTCTTGCCTTCACGATGTTTCAACGATATCCTGCCCATGCGAAAGCTCCACATTCATTTATTTCACGATTCTGCGTTTAGAGATCCCTGAAAATTGGCACTGCACGCCGGTGGCCTAGCGGACCGTCTTTTGTTCAGGGCAGGTCAAGGCGGATGGAGAGAGACAGGCAGAGATAGGCTGAGTGAGGGACCAAGCATAGGCAGCGTGGGCAAAAGGCAGAGGGGGAGTCAGTGTTAGAGACCCTGGTTGATGACGCCTAAGGGGAGGAACTGTGTCGAGCATCATGTCTCCATCCTTCGTGTGCCCCATAGTCGAGCCGACTTAAAAAGACTTCACTCCAGGGTACTAAATATCCCTGCCAGCCTTTTCCCTTGCCTGCAGCTGCAGAGAAGAGGGGAGCCCAAACGCCTCATCACCGGACTTCGGGGCTAGATGGCTTGCTCTAGTGTGCCTCTGCAGCAAGGCAGCACAAAACTCCGTGTGCACATCGTGACGAGGTCACCAGGAGAGTGCGAGCTGCGAGCGAAGATCTGAGCTGCCGGCGGGCTCTGATTGTTCACCGGGAATAAGCAAATATATCGACACTGAGCAGAAAAAAAGGGGGGTGGAGAGGTAACTCGAAGGCCGATCAGCTACCCCCCCCCCCCCCTTCAACTCGTCCTCTTCGCTGTACCTGACGCACGTCCAGCAAAAGTATGGAGTACTGACTAGCTAGCTTGCTTGCTTCCTAATCATGAATCGACAGGTTGACTTGATTCCCCACGATGATGGGCGGATGGGCGTGTACTTAGTGCCCAGGGGCTAATCTTGCAGTAGGGGGTGTTTAGAGAGAGAGAGAGAACGAGAGACAGACACTGCTGGCATCCCGTTTCTGATTACTTCAACCGCCGCCTGCCTGGCCTTCGGTCACTCAACCGAACACAAGTATATGCCTGGATAGTTATGCATGAAATAATTAAATTCGTTGCCCTGATTTCTCCAAATATGCCCCCGTCCATTTGCAAGGGACGGAGAGCCAACCCTTGGCTGTGAAGGGGGCGAAGGATAACTGACTTAACGTTGAAAAAAAAGAATGATAATCCTCAAAGAACCCATCCCAGTCGTTCTTTTTGATAACCTGGATGGCCACGTTTTTGCCCTCGCGCTTTTGCAAACCGACTTTAGCCGGGTCCTTGGACCTGGTCCTGGGCTCTCGGTCCTTGAATTTGGTGTCCTTTTGAATTTGGTTCTCGAGTGATTATATTTCTCTGAAGCGTTGATTTTTTGTAGTTGCTTTTCGGCTCTGTCCGCCACCCGACCCAAGGAGCAGCAGTAGTATCCGTATATCGAGTTTATTCGTTAGAGTTGCAATGATATGACCCTTGAAATTATACCTGTCAAAGAGTTAAAAGATGGATTACTTGTCAGGATACTTGCTTACAACTAATCCTGTCCTGCCCTATAGCTGGGGGAGGGGGGTTTGCCTTTCTCACCCTGCCTCCTCCCACTTTGACAACGGGATAGAATGTGCGAGGAATTTCGCCAGGGACGACGATCTGTTCTTTTCTAGCGCCCTCAAGCCCTTCGAAGAACAACCCTGATCTTCTAGCCATGGAACAAGGAGACTCACACGTGGGACGTGGATAGCGAGCCAGATATCAACTGCCGGGTACCGAGTCATGCTAGTTGAGTGTACTCCGTAGGCAGATATCCATCCGCATTGCATCAGACGAGAGGCAAAGAGGCAGCTCCAGCAGCTTCTCGCAAATCTTCCCTCGTAAACGAGAAAAAAATAAGGAAGGGAGATCATGCGCAGCGGGCCTTGAAAATCTGGAGTTCGTGCATGGTGATTTGCGGAATAAGGGGGTCGTCTAGTTGCCCCCTCGATGTGAGTGGTCCGACCGCATGGGCGATATTGGCTCGATATTCGGCGAGTCTAGCCATGAATCTCGCTGTTTAGACGGGATAAGGTGTATGGATGGGCTTTCGAGAGAGGCAGCTAAAGCCTCGTACTCTCTTAACTTGTGCAAATTGGTCGGTAGTTTAGTTCCGTTCCCGTGCCTCCCCCGAGCATCCTCTATCCCTCCATCGTCAAAGTCGCTGGGAGGCTGAGACGCCCGTGGGGAACTTGATGGAGAAAGCTGTGCCGCTGTCAAGCCAGCCTGGCAGGTCTTCTGTCCGGATTACGGAGCTCTGGGTCCTCCGTCGATGGCGTGGCAGCTCGAAGTACACTTACATATCATCTCGAACGTCTGCTTGCTTCTCCGGATACAACTCTACCGCACGCCTTGCAGGCATCTCATGCTCGCCCACTTTGTGGGCCTTAAACGAGGCGATGGCGAGCAGCAACGGCTGATCCCCCAGCTTGCGTGCATACGAGATCGATCTGGTGGGCACCCCCCTTCCCAGGAACGACAAGTAATTATATCACCGCCCACCCGTCCTATACAGTCCTCTCTCGAGGGAAGACAGCAGACAGAATCACAGCCCGTCCGTCCCGAAAGGGAGGAGAGATAGGGAGCTAGGAGAAACCACCCGTTATCCACGACCTCACCGGCAATCTCCGTCAAGACGGGAGCACTAACTAGCGGGCCAGGGGGGGAGGTTACCAAACAGCTATCGGGAGCGACAATCCTCACCAACTCGAAGCTTTCCCCTCTTCGCTCCGGGGCAAAAGAGAACAGCGAATATCCCTGCTGAACAACCCAGGACGGGCTCGAGAGAATGCAACATCAGCGTACTTCGGGATGAAAATCATCCCAACCCTCACGTCACTTTTTCGTGCCACAAGCCGTCCGTAAAGCCTGAGCATTTCGTCCGCGCCCTCGTCCAGATTGATTCCATGTTTCTTCGGGATTCCCATGGACGAGGCGGCTTTTGCTCAGCTATGAAGGTCATACCCCGAGTTTAGCGCGGATATAAACCAATCTCTCTTTAGCAAAAATATGTCGTCGTCCTCTCAGGGGTTATCCCAACACCAGCCAGATGGTCAAAACGAGCTTTGAGACCTGCATGAACGGTGTGCAACAGGTTTGCTCCGTAACTCTTAGCCCGGGCTCTCCTCTCTGTCCCAGTGTGACTGCCGCCCGTTCCAGGCAGCCTCATCCTTTGGTTCTCTGTCTCGCGGGCTCTGTTCGCCTTCCTCTCCCCGGAGACTTGTCTGTTCGACAGGTCACAGAATAACTGATTCCTCATATGTACGTCCGTTATGCATGTCGATTCCCCGTACTCCATACTCCGTACATGCCCGCTAAAAAGAACCTGTCAGTTCCACCAGAGGCTCGAGGGAAGAGAACAGCTCCTCCATACCCCATTTCGTCGCCTTGCAGCAGAAACTAAGTATATGTGCCCCTTGATCCATCTGTTGACGGCCCTTCTTCCACCTGGCTGTAGCTCATGCGGACCATAGAGTTCTAGATAAGGTAGAGGCGTTGATGAAACATAGAATTGTGGGCCAATCTTGGTGTCTTTTTTGCTTCTTCCGTGCGGTTTTTCCAGCAATAGCAATGTGCTCCGTAGCTAGATGTTTTGTTGATTGATGTCATCTCCACTGTATACGAAGAGCATCTCCATAATAGTAGTGTATACAACCAGCACAGAAGTCCAAGGCGAGTGTTTCCAGATGAACTGCTGCTCACTGACTAGCTGAGCTGTATATGCATGCACCCCATACGCATCCTCTGGCTGCTGGAGAACCGATGTCGGGCGCGTAGAGAGTCCTATCTAGTCTATCAGCCAGCCGATCAGCTAAGTAGTGAGCTAACTAGCAAGTGAGGCAGACGAAGCAGTGTCCTCATGATAGATAGAATTCTTCTCGAAGGGAAGAGATGACCCCAGCAACCGTTTTCAGTAACCGTTTGTCCTTCTGGCTGTCTCCCTGGCCTGGCCGCCGTGTCGAGCTGGCTGCCTGTCTGTCCCTGTGCGAGCTAAGGATGCCGGCCAACCCTGACCAGACCAGCCAAACAACCCCTGGACATTATAAGTAAATCATATATCTGAAATAAGCGACTTATTAACTGTCCACACGGGGCCAATGGACATGCACTCGTCTAGTTATCGAGCTCTTCATCTTCTCTCTCTCTCTCTCCCTCTTTTGAGGCCATCGATGAGCAATATCAGTGC